CCACACACAAACACACACACAGACACACACACAGACACACACACAGACACACACACACAGACACACACACAGACACACACACACAGACACACACACACAGACACACACACAGACGCACAGACACACAGACACACAGACACACACACACACACCCACACACCCACACGCCCACACACGCACACACACGCACACACACGCACACACACGCACACACACGCACACACACGCACACACGCAGTCTCACACGCAGTCTCACACGCAGTCTCACACCCACACACGCAGTCTCACACGCAGTCTCACACGCAGTCTCACACGCAGTCTCACACGCACAGACAAAGATGGATGGATGGATGGATGGATGGATGGATGGATGGATGGGTGGATAGATAGATAGATAGATACATAAATAGATAGGTAGATAGATAGGTTGATTGATTGATAGATTGATCGATGGAGAGATAAATAGATATTCTGATGTATAGACAGATAGATAGATAGATAGATAGACAGATAGGCAGATAGGCAGATAGACAGATAGACAGATAGACAGATAGAAAGATAGATAGATAGAGAGAGAGATAGATAGATAGATAGATAGCTAGATAGATAGATAGATAGCTAGATAGATAGCTAGATAGATAGATAGATAGACGTCGGCCTGGCATGTTTGATATACATGGCTTACGCCATTCGTCTCCCTGCCATGTTTTACCTGGCATGTTTGGCCTGCAGGCTGCACGTTCACGTCGGCCTGGCAGGTTAGACAGACTTGTTTCAATCCATTCAGTTTCAGCTTTGCCGTCGCCCTGGCATGTTTGACAGACATGATAGATAGCGGAGGTCTCCCTGGTATGTTTTTTTAGATGTGCATTTTTGGCCCTCAGGTGGCATGTTTTGACGTCGGCCTAGCATGTTTGATATACATGGCTTACGCCATTCGTCGCCCTGCCTTTTTTTAGCTGGCATTTTTGGCATGCAGGCTGCATGTTCACGTCTCACCCACTCACTTCACTTCACTTCACTTCACTTCACTTCACTTCACTTCACTTCACTTCACTTCACTTCACTTCACTTCACTTCACTCACTTCACTCACTCTCACATCCCTCACTCACACACACCACACACACCACACTCACATCACTCACTCACACTCTCACTCACTCACTGTACATGAACATACATACATACACACAAACTCACCCACCATCACCGCTCCATCACTCTTATACTTCCTCTTCCCTTCTTGCTCTTCTATGGTCAGTCTAAGTCTAAAGAAGTTGGTAACATGTGGGGTTATCCGGTCCTTTAATTGGTTCAACTCCCAGTTTTTTAGGTCAGCACCCGCGAAAGGGAGCTCAGAATGGAGGGGTTTATCCAAGATATATATTTTTTTAAATTGGATTGGTAAAACTCTAAATGTCTCAAAAAGTCTCTAAGAGACAAAAATATAGAGAAAAATAGAAAATCCAACCAAGAAACTTAGGCATGTTCAAATCAAATTCTGGCCCATTGGGCATGAAGCAGATCACATACAACCATTCGAGTACTTATGAGTTGTGGCGTTAAGTGATGATTGTTTTTATTGAAATAGGTCAAATTCAGTGTTGTGTCAAGTGGTGACTATTATGTGTTCATGATGCATGTTGGATCCCACAGCATTTTGGGTTGGCTTGATCATCTTCGACCAGCACCATGTCTTCCTCCGTCCACTCCCGTCCGCTGTGGCTGGCTGATCGGGTTGGACGCGGTATCCGCTGTGAGCTGTTGAGTGAAAATCGCATTGTTTTCAATCCATATTTTTCTCTATTTTTTTTTCTCTATTTTTCTCTGCCCATTAAAAACCAATTAAAAAAACATGCTCTATTTTGTTCTATGTTTCTCTATTTTTCTCTGTTTTTTTTTTTTTTTCTCTGGGAACCTGATGGTGTATCGCCTCGCTAATTCTGATTTTTTTTTGTTTTATGTATCTCTATTTATTTCTTGGCACTTGGTTAGACACATGTATTTTTTGGCCAGCATTTGGCTCCAATTACTTAAATGTTCTGGTTTTGCAAGAACATTGTATCCAGTGTCATCATGGTTTGGCACCTGAAAACAGCACTGGATCACTGTGTTTCTCCCTAGCTTGCATCTGGTCCTTTCTGGTGTCAATAGGTGAAAACATGATTTAAAAACAGTTCATTTCTTTCTTGGATTTTCTCTATTTTTTCTATTCTTCTCTACTTGTCTCTAAAAGACTTTTTGAAGCATTTTGAGTTGCCAACTACCTTTATACAATTCAATTACCAAAAAAATCTTCAAAAATGTAAATCTGTCATAAGTAAACCCCTCGGATCTAAACCTTTTTTTGGTTTTCCTGATTAGGGGCAGGGGCGATCCAAAAGATGCCAAAATCTAAATTTCTTTGGTCAGCTCCTGCAGGAAGCCTTGAAAGATGGTGGTGAAGATTTCGTAGAGGCTTTCAATGAGGTGCAAAAAAGGGATTTCACTGGCAGAAATGGGACTTTTATTTGCGAAATATGAGGCATTCAATAGAACACCTGGGCAAATTCAGGAACAAAGATGGACATGTACTAAACAAATTGCGCGGTTCACAGCTTTTCAAAAGGGATTTCACTTGCAACAATCTGCAAATTTGGGGATTCAATCTAACAAAATGGGAATGGAATTCAGTTTGTTTGACGCAACAATCATGTGGGTTTCAGGATTGACGCAACACATCTATGTACGCTACAGCGACAGTGAATGGCGGAAAGAAAACTAACAAAGATGGGAAGATCATGGGAACAGCCGCTGTTCAACTCAGCAGTAGCCTGTGGCAATCCAAGCTGGCAATGAAGGTTTATCTTCTTTTCCTAGTAATCATTAGGAATCATTCGTAATCATTAGTAATCATTAGTAATCTGTTTTGGCCCATAGATCATTATGGTTTAAAGAGTCAGACCTCATCCCATGAGGTTTCCCTTTCTTCCCATGAAATGGTCATGGTCACATCAATGTTGGTCTCATTGGTCTACCAGTTGCATTCGTTTTCTTACCCTCCAAGTCCCAAGCATTTTGTATTTTGGTCATGTTTCTATCATATTCTATCATCCTTCTTTGTAGGTCTTTGTAGATCAATGTCCTCAATGCTCCACATACATCTCCATTTCTTGGAAAACCACAAAACATGTAGCGTGCATCGGTCCCTAGTAATCAGAGCTGACTGGAATCTCCGCGGATACATGGCTGCTATGCCGCCAACCTGTCTGCTTTTGTGGTTAACTGGCAATCTTGGTTGAATTTAGTGGTTGATCGCTGCAATTTTTGGATGGTTAAACGGTTAAACTCCCATGTTTGTTGCTCGAATCCTTATTGTTGCTGGGTAAACTTCAATGTTTTCAAGGTTTTTAGGATTAGCACAAAGCCACCCAAAAGAAAATAGAAACGTAGCATCCTACTCGGGTGGCAAACTTCCATAGCTGGTGAACACCCTCCCCAAATGGTAGGTAGGTTTATTACTGCCCCGTGGCCAGGCTTTGGAAAAATGCCCAAGCCACCTTGAGCTGGATCAGGTGGTGAAAAAACCTTACTGGTTGGTAGCGATGGTGGGAATCTATAACTTGGGTATATTATGTATATATATATATATATCATATTATATTATGTATATATGTATGCATATATTATGTACGTGTTTCAACATAGTTTAATAGGATTTAAATGGATTTAATGTGATTTCACAGGATTCAATACGATTATGCATACAATGTGATATGAATGTTATATTTCTTATGGTGTACATTTTATGTGGATATGTGTATGTATATATATATATATACATGTGAGATACCCGCACCAACGGAACCTACTGATTAGGGCTGGTAACCTCTTACTAAGTGGGATGTTTCTCACTCTAGACTCTAGACGCTTAGGTTTCGGAAAGGATCTGCTTATTTTAGATATTTTAGTGTCCCATGGAGGAGGGGTTGCTCTCTTTGGCGGAGAGGATTTGTCATCGGGATCTGGTGAAAAATTTGAGACCCAATGGACCAGATTTTTCTGAATGCTTCCATTAGCAGGTACCCAAGTTGCTTTCATCAAGTCCCTATTTTGGAAGTCAAGTCCCCCAGTGTCATGCGTACATAAAGTACCCACTTCTGATCTTCTGTAGGTCAAAATCATACGCTTTGAGGGTGAAATTATGCCTCTGCAAAAGTGAATTGCTTGGCCCTTGGGTACCGTTGGATGTGGTTCAATCTCCACGTCCCCAAGTGTCCGATTTTTGTTGGTGATATTTTCAATGTTGTCGATTTTTCCATTGATTGTTGGCTAAATATGACAAAATGCCCAATTGTTGATTTGGTTATCGGTTACAGTACCGCAACCGAGCCCCGTCCGTCGCATTGGGCACCCCATTCTCTCAAAGCTGGAGGAACAAAGAGCCCTGGCGGCGCAAGCGTTTTTTGGTCGGGCACGAGCCCATTTCAGGCGCAAGACATGGCCAGTGCTACCCTGAGATGCACAATCAACAAATAAAGATAGGATTTTGCATGGTTTCGTTGATCCTGACCAATATATATATATATATATGTATAGATAAATATTTATATAAATTATATACAATAACTATGCGTGTTCTTATTACCAGTACCATGATAATCTTTATTGGTGCTTATGATAATAAGTCAACAATCGATTAATCGACCCTTTCACCGGAGTTCTATGTAATCCACAGATATAAGCAATCCTATCTTGGAGATATGGATTTGGAATCATGTCTAGGAATCAGCAACACCAAACATGGGTATACTCCTGCTTTGTTGGTTTTGGGCATACAGTGCCAAGTTCAGAATTTGGGGTCATGTCCAACACGTCAGCTGGTATCAAGATCAACGCCATTTCCAGCACCCAACACGTCAATGTGGTAGAGTTCCATGAATTCTCTTCTGACCCAACAGCCATGTTATACAGTGTTATGCATGCATTTTTGTTTTTTTTGGGGGCACCTTTTGGCTCAGCAAACGTGTACACTGACCTGCCACTGTGCCGCCCGGGCCAGCCAGTGCGGAGAGAATCGCTGCAATGTCGATTCCCATTGGCCGACCACGTGATTCACTGGTCTGCTGTCTGAAAATTTGGGAGGGGGGAAAACTCTAAAACAGCATGAGATGGATTCAGGGATTCAGGGATTCCAATGTTTCCAACATCATCCAACAGAAATTGCATCTGGGGTGGGTTTGTTATATTAATGACGACCACGTCTCATTGTCGTTGCTGCATCCAAGCGGCATTACATCAGCTGTCAGTCATTTGGACCACCTCCTTATCTCCTCCAGGATGTTCCATCAGGATATCTCATCAGACTACCCCATCAGAATCGTATCATTTCTAGGGCTGATAAAGGTTGCAAATCATACAAGATCCTAGAACTTCCCGATCGATGCCCAATCTGATCCTGAAAAACTCTTTTCCATCATCTTTCCCTCCAACATTCATCATATGGCTATGGATCAATACCTATTAATACCATTTTTAGTGGGATGAACATCCATTTACCAGCTATTCTGATGTGAACTACAGGGGTACAAGGTTTTGACACACTGCCATATCATGGTATGTTTCATCGTATTTTTCCACATTTTTCCGCCAGGTGAAGTTCGACCCGCCCCTGGAGCTGGGCCCGGCCCCAACGGAGGCGCTGCGCAAGGGCGCCAAGGCCCTGAAGCCCAACTCCTTGAAGGCGGGTTCAGCAAAAAAAATAGGGATATATTGCAAATATATTGCAAATATTTGGGATAGGATTATATGGGTATGTCTGAAAATGGGGTATACCATGGTATACCCCCAATTATAGCCATTTAGTAGGGATAATGATCATTAGCCATTGGGTGTAGGGGTACACTATTTTCAGACAAACCCATATGGGGCTATAACATGATATATAGCATTTAACTATATTAAAGATGATTGAGGTATGAACTGGAAACTTATGATGGATTCGATATAAACAAAAACTGGAATGGATGGATGTATTTAAGATGATTTGAGTCTGAAAATCATTGAACTTATGGAATTATATTTGGATATATATAGCATTTCAATATCAAAATTGATAGATTCTATAATTAAAAAACTGAAAACATTGGATGTAACATGATTCAAGTCTAAATATCATTGAACGTATGTATGGTTTCATGATGTTTCATGTTTGTAACATTTTAACATATTTTAAATCATCCAAGGCCTGAAATTTCCATATAAATGATAGTTAAATCACGATTTGTAAAAATCAAAACACTATTTTGGATGAACGTTTGCCATTGGGGCAAGCATTTTCCCCAATGGGAAGCCAGTTGGGAGCAACGAATTGAGCTTCCCAACCATTTGATAGGTTGATCTAATCATTACATGTGATATAATAATATATGTATATATATATTATTTATGATTACATTGAATTTATATAATTATATAGATGCATATAGTTATATACATAATATGAATTAGCATGAAAATCATAATGATGTCCTTGTTTTGATTCTATCACGGTTGTGAACCACCAACTGTTGCGAAACTGTCGCGACTTTTTCATGGTTTGGATCGGGGAGATACCCCCATCCAAAGCAACGTTTGCCGGAGAGTATGTTGATTTCTACAGTAGGTGGCATATATGGTGATGTACCCATTAATTTCTATAGATTTAGTATGTCTTTGTATAAATTCATGATCTATATGGTGTATACTGATATTTGATGTTTGATTCCTACTATGACTGTTGATCTATATATTGATACAGATTTACTAATATAATATATGTTGTCATGCCTATCTTTGTTGTTCCTGAAATAGATACTAATTGTTGAATATCCGATTGTCCTACAGACGTACACAAGATGGTAATCCATCGGATTGACCATTGAACTATAAATACATAGTAAATAGATCTACAATTAGATGAAGACTTCTTTGTATGTAATGTATATGTATATGTATATGGATATGGATATGTATCTGTATATGTATATGTATATGTATATGTATATGTATATGTATATGTATTAGTTATATTTGTCCTAAGGTGTTATTCAATGATTTCCCTTTGTTTCTCGTATTCCACTGAGCTCCCGGCCGTTTGCTCCCAGGCGCAGCTGTCGCGCAAGACGCAGTTGCCGCCGGCAGAGTCCAAACCCAACACCGACGACGTCCTGTTCCTTGACGTCGGGTGGGAGAACTCTCAGGTGATCCTTTTACCATACTTTACAAAATGCTCAAGATTACTCCAAGATGACTCAAGATCCCAGAATCTAAGGTTGGCCAGGGTGGATATGGTACACAAATACCACCGTTTTACAATGTTTTACATATATACATAGTACGATTGTGGAGTTTTTTTTTACTGTAGTTCGGCGTGTGCAAGGCTAAGTAGGTATCCTGATGTGATTGCGAAGATACTGCGGCATACCATAATATATATATATATATATACATCATGAATGTCCATTTCCCATCGGGTTGATGAAAGAAAAGGATTGTACTGATTCATTCTTCTCAACAAACACTGTCCCCTAGACACCCCCAGCTGCAAAACGCGCCATGTTTTGGGGGGCGCCATTAAAAGCAACGTATGAAGAAGGGAATGGCGAGTTGGGTATTTCTCCATTTTCTCCATCAAGGCTTAAGACTTGCTGTCAGAGATGAACTATGATGAACTTATGCAATGTGGGTAAAACAATAACAAACCATCCCCCAAATCACCATAGATATAAATAGGTGATAATAGGTGGAATATTTACCATTCCCAGTCATGGGTGGTTTGTCTTTGTTATCCCCACCAGTCGTTGTGATTTGGATCCGGGACCGGGGCACGTGAGGCATGCATTGCTGCCACCACGTGGTGAGCCCAGGATTGCAGGGGATGAGACTCTGAGAGCAGAAAATTCGAATTTTCTGTGGCGCACCCTGAAGGATCACAAGCTGATCAGTGACCCCATTGGCCAGCAAAATGTATATTCAGATATATTCAGCATCTCTGAAGGGGTTCACTTCACAAAATATACCATATATGATAAACACTCGAGGCCAGGCACCTTATGCCAACGTGAGGTGAGTGGATTGAAGAAGGAAAGCACTACCAGCAGTATGCAGCTTGACTGCCATCGGACACAGAATTGTTTCGTCTCAATTTCGGCGACGTTTTGAGAATTCCAATGTGATTCCAAGAAGCTGAGTGTTGTGTATGGCACATGTTTAGCGGGATAGTTGTTTTTCTGAACATGAAAACACACTTAGACGGATAAGATAATTTGGTTTTGAATGGTATTTCCATGTTTTGAAATTCGTGAGTTGATTTATTCCGCGGCCAGGAAGCCTAAGCAGGGTATGGATCAAATTTCAAGACTTGGAAACCACTGGTGCATTTTAACAAAAAATACACCCCCCAAATTGTCAACATCTAGCCAAAGCACAGCTGATTTCCCATCAAATAGCATCGTCCGATTTCACTGCAGTTGTTTATTGGTGTTGATATCTCGCTGTGCCTGAAATTAAGATGCTCTTCCAGTTGACTTGGTTGGGAAGAGTTTTCACCATGCATGGTGCTTTGGAGGAAAAGGCGAACATGGCAAATTGTGGATACTGTAATTCATAGCGAGTTCAAAGCACCTAAACAGAAGTGATGCGTATTGCGGGAAACATCAGCAATTGCCTTAAATAAGCGTTATAATTAGTAGTTATACAGCAATCCATTTACTGCATGATTTTACGCGCCATTTCCAGATAAAAATGGTGGACAGTACTTGACCTATCCAGGTCAGCAATCAAGCAGCGACCCGGCTGGATGTGATCCAATTGCAGGAGGCGCGCCTTGCTTATCCCCAATGGGATGATGATCCAATCTGACGAACTCCATCATTCAGAGGGGTAGGGCTCAACCACCAACCAGATAATATGTTTTCCTGAAAATGGCCTGTTGGCAAGGTTCACCATTGCTTACCATTGTTTTTGAAGAAGGTTCCATAATTCCGAGTCGGAATTATGGAACCTGCCAATTCTCGGAAGATCATCAGTAGTTTTTCGAACACCTGGTGGCTGAAATCCAGCAATTATGGATTCGCACCATGCTGGATGATTCACAAAGATCCGGATGGTGAACGTAGAAGAAGCCATAAATGTGGTATGAAACACAAATCCTCAATTGACCCACAAAAAAGGATTCAACATGGGTCCAACAATCCATTTTGTCCCTTATATATATATAACTTTTATAAATATATATATATATATATAAATATACATACATATAAACTCTGCATTTCAACTGTCCCAGAATTGGTGGGAAAATCTGCTAAGAAAGCCCTATATGTTCTTATAGTCGGAGTGAATTTTACCCATGGTTTCCTGTAGATGTTCCCATCGATTGATGCGGCAGGCCCTGGACCAACGACTCATGGAGCGTCAGGTGGGTCTGATGTGGGAGGTGATGGATGTAGACCTTAACTATTGGATATATTAGGTAGGGGTTTCCATAAATGGGGATGCCCAAAATGGATGGTTTATAATGGAAAATCCTATTAAATTTGATGATTTGGGGGTACCCCCATTTTGGGTACCCTCATTTCAGGAAACCTCCATGTGTATTATCAAGAGATATATGACTATGATATATACATACATGTATGATGCTCTCCAAAAGATGTCATCCAATAGCTCAAGTACATCTAAAACATATCTACATTTATCATCTACATCATCTACATCTATTAACTACCATTATCTATTTATACAGATAAGGATCTACATATTATCTATATTTATCTATATCTATGTTGGTGGACAGCTTTCCCAGGCCCGGGAGACGGGCATTTGCCCCGTGCGCGAGGCTCGTTTCGGGACATCGTTCCAAAAAAAAAGGGGCACTAAATGGGCCATAAATGGTCCATAAATGGTCCAATTCACTCGAAAGAAATCTGAAAAACGAAACTGGAGGGTATTCCAAAGGGTTTGCGTTTTGGATACCCTGTAAATGTGGGAGATCTTCTATCAACACCCTGAAAAACAATTTCAATCTGTGTGTTTACCAGTTAACCCAGGATGTATGCCACAAGCAGCAGCTGGATATATTCGTATTGGATTGAAGCTGATTAAATTAATAAATTAAACATTATATGTTTAGCATCTATTCAATGTGAAATTACGAATGGTTTTCATGATCGTCCCCTCGCTGTATTTTTGTTGCTCCATGAACATATCAAAGTTCCTATCTTAACATTACAAGACATATATATAAGATATGAACAAGGACTCCCAAAGCAGTGAAGTACGCAGGCAGATTGATGTGGTCGACCATTTCTTTTGAATCCCTACATGATCGTTTGAGTTTGCAAGTCAATAACGAGAAATAGCATGTAATACCAGTAGTGTGGAAACACAATGTCATAAACCTACCATTTGTGCATGGTTGACATCCCACCCATGTATGTTTTCCCGTCAAGTGAATTTCATGACATTTCATGACCAATAAATCTCAATCTGATTTTGTCCCTTCTTTTTTGGAAGGTCCCTTTGTATCATTCCATTCCTTTGCGCCAGGAGTTATATTCCCAGTGTTTCGATGAGCTCATCCGACAGGCGGGATCACTTCCAGAGCTGGAAGTTGCCTGGATTGCTGTAGCCACAGGGCAGAATGGTCACACAAAGGGGAACCAGAGAATAGCTGAATTGATAGTTGTACAGGGATAAGTATAAGGAAACGATCATAGATTACTTTGTCTTCAGATGTCGATTGGGTACCCTGAGATTCCATTGATCATTATTTCCCTGTTAGATAGAAAAGTTATTTGATTCTGGTTGGTGGTTTGGAACATGTTTTATTTGTCCAAACATTGGGATTTTCATCATCCCAACTGACGAACTCATATTTTCAGAGGGGTAGGTATACCACCAACCAGGTTATTTGAGACTATGTATACTCCTTGTTCAGACTCAAGGTTTCCCACATGTGCTGATCTGTGCCAGGTGACCATCAATTGCCCCGAGCGCGGCCTGCTGCTGCTGCGCGTGCGCGATGAGATTCGGATGTCCATCGCGGCGTATCAGACCCTGTACCAGAGCAGACGCTTGGATCTCTTGGCTGTCAAAGGATTTCAACATTATTCATCCCCCAATAAGGAATTATAATGAATTATACATGTATATATATATACAAGACAATATATACAGATATTTATACAATAGCTATGTGTAAATGGCCGATACACGGCGAATTTGTAGGTTATGACCATCACTGATGTGACTCGGCAAATTTGCCGTTGATCATCACTGATATAACCAAGGAAGATTCGGAAACGCCCAGCTCTTGTCGCTGCCGTTTTTCATGTTGTTTTCATATGACCACTTATTGACTATTCCCGAGAAATATTGGCAGAATTGCCAGCTACCCTTGGTTCTATGCTGATGCTGGTCACACACTGCGTGTTTGCTATTTCTAGTTCGCCAGATCTGGTACATTTTTCTTCTCTGTTGCCGTACATGTTTCTTCTCTGTTGCCAACATCTTCGCTTCTTCTGATTGCTGATCTCTATCTACATCATTGTTTTTGTCTTCTATGGCGGCATGTTCGTGTTTTTTCTAACCATCAGCTGGGATCACAAGAACCATCTGGAATAACATCAACATCTACAGCTAACCTATGGTTTCTATGATCCCATTAGATCTGCATTAAAACCAATGGTTTGGGGTAGCAACCTTTGTAGGAACCCCCGTCACATCCTACACCAAAATTTCGGCTGATCTCCTGAGGTGTCACGTTCGGAACCCGCAAGCAGCTGCAGTCAGAACAGGGCAAGGCGGAACCTTGGCCGCCGTGACCGCACCATCAACGGGTCATGGGAATGGATGAGCGAACTCTTGGTGAACCGTGTTGGATAATTTTTTCCGGAGGAAGTTATAGTCCTAAAAGATGGGCAAATATCGAATGATTTGTTTTTTGTCTGGGAAACTTATATACACAACGATTTACACATATGAAACATGGATAGATGGCTCAAGTTGGAAAAGGCACTACCCTTACAACTCCGCACTTCGCTAGCTTCGATTACCCGGGACTTAAAGAAACCAAGGAGACCGAGCAAATGATTGCAGAGCACGAAGAGCAAAAGAAGCAACGCGAGGCTACCGTTGGGATCCCTTGGGAAGGTTCAAGGCGGCTATTGGACACTGCATGGTCATGGTTTTTTGTATACATATATAATATATACATACAATTGTGTAGAACAAATATATTTAATTGTTGGAATATCAATCCCATATTATACATATCTAATCATATCTATAGATCATACGCATAATTACATGATTATATACTATATATTGTATATATATTATGTGATTATATGTGTTTAAATAGCATATTTATAGTAGAGACGTCAGGCGCGCGTGGTGGAGCTGAAGAACAAGTGCGATGCCATCGAGCGCCGGGAGGCGGAACGCCGCGCCGTGGATGAGCGAAAACGGAAGGAGGAGATCGACTTCCTGAAGCAACGCGCCGAAGGAAAAACGGGGATCACATGGGAGAATTGACTTAAAACTGTGATGTTTACCCTCTGGTTATGTCAAAATAGCTATTGAAAATGACCATTTATAGTGGATTTACCCATAAAAAATGGTGATTTTCCATAGTTTAGTTTACCAGAGGGTATTGTATGTTTATGATCTGAAAACCATATTGCTGATATATTTTTCTGTATATATAGATCTGATGGGCATTTGTTTATAATATATAATTATATATATATATACAGTGAAGGATCAAAGTCGTAGAGTTTTTTTGAATGATCATATGATCATATAATTAGTCTGTGAAGTTGTCTAGCATATTTACCTGAGAGGAAACGTCACAGTAGGAAATAATAGCAAGAAAATGGTGAAGTTAAAAAGGCATATGGAAATAATAAGGCAAACATAGGGAAATAGTAAAGAGGGACATAGTAGGGAAATAATACAGGGAAATAATATACGGAAATAGGCAAATATATAGGGACATAACAGGGACATAAATAGGGAAATAAATGGGGAAATTATAAATAATGCATAGGACTGAATATGGACATAATAGGGAAATAAAAAAGCACATAATATGCAAATAAATATGGAATTAAAAAGGAAAAAAAGTGAAATATGGAAATGAATAGAGACATAAATAGGGAAAGAAATAGTGAAATAAATAGGAAAATAATAGATACATAAATAGGGAAATAAAAAGGAACATAACTGGGGAATAAATTCGGTAATAAATAGAGAAATAATGAGGGAAAATAAAAAGGGCACAAATTAGGGAAATAAATAGGTACATAATTAGGGAAATAATAAGGGACAGGAAAATAAACAAGGAAATAAATAGGTACTGTACATAAATAAGGATAAATAATGAACTAAATATGGACATAATTAGGGACATAAATAGGGAAATAAATAGTGACATAATTGGGGAAATAAAACGGGACATAATAAGGGAAACAAATAGGGAAATAAACATGGTAATAATAAGAGAAATAAATCGGGAACAAATTAGGGCAATAAATAGGGAAATAATTAGGAAATTAATTTGGAAATAAATAGGGAAATAAATAGGGAAATAAATAGGGAAATAAATAGGGAAATAAATAGGGAGGGAAATAAATAGGGAAATAAATAGGGAAATAAATAGGGAAATAAATAGGGAAATAAATAGGGAAATAAATAGGGAAATAAATAGGGAAATAAATAGGGACATAAATAGGGAATAAATAGGGAATAGGGAAATAAATAGGGAAATAAATAGGGAAATAAATAGGGAAATAAATAGGGACATAAATAGGGAAATAAATAGGGAAATAAATAGGGAAATAATATAGGGAAATAAATAGGAAAATAAATACGGAAATAAATAGGGAAATAAATAGGGAAATAAATAGGGAAATAAATAGGGAAATAAATAGGGAAATAAATAGGGAAATAAATAGGGAAATAAATAGGGGAAATAAATAGGGGAAAAATAAATAGGGAAATAAATAGGGAAATAAATAGGGAAATAAATAGGGAAATAAATAGGGAAATAAATAGGGAAATAAATAGGGAAATAAATAGGGAAATAAATAGGGAAATAAATAGGGAAATAAATAGGGAAATAAATAGGGAAATAAATAGGGAAATAAATAGGGAGATAAATAGGGACATAATAGGGAAATAAATAGGGAAATAAATAGGTAGGGTAAAAAAAAAGGAAACACATGGGGAAATAAATAAAGAAAACAAGTGGGAAATGAAAAGGGAACACATTTGGGAAATAATTAGGGAAATAAATAGGGAAATAAATAGGGACATAAATAGGGAACTAAATAGGGAAATAATGAGGGAAATAGTAAAGGAAATGCATATGGTAATAAATAGGGAAATAAATAGGGAAACACATAGATAAATAAATAGGGAAATAAATAGGGAAATACATAGGGAAATAAATAGGGAAAGAATTAGGGAAATAAATAGGGAAATAAAAAGGGAAATAAATAGGGAAATAAATAGGGAAATAGATAAGGAAATACATAAGGAAATAAATAGGGAAATAATTAGGGAAATAAATATGGAAATAAATAGGGAAATAATGAAGGAAATAAATTGGGAAATAATTCGGGAAATAAATGAGGAAAATAAATAGGGAAATAATTAGGAAATTAATTTGGAAATAAATAGGGAAATAAATAGGGAAATAAATAGGGAGATAAATAGGGAAATAAATAGGGAAATAAATAGTGAAATAAATAGGGAAATAAATAGGGAAATAAATAGGGAAATAAATAGGGAAATAAATAGGGAAATAAATAGGGAAATAAATAGGGAATTAAATAGGGAAATATTTAGGGAAATAATGAGGCAAATAATTTGGGAAATAACTAGGGCAATAAATTAGGGAAATCAATAGGAAAATAAATAGGGAAATAAATAGGGACATAATTTAGGAAATAAATATGGAAATAGGGAAATACATAGGGAAATAATCAGGGAAATAAGCGGGGAACAAATTAGGGAAATAAATAGGGAAATAAACAGGGAACAAAGTAGGGAAATAAATAGGGACACAATTAGGGACATAATGACGGCAATAAATAGGGAAATAAATAGGGACATAAATAGGGACATACATAGGGAAATAGATAGGGAAATAGATAGGGAAATAAATAGGAAAATAAATAGGGAAATAAATAGGAAAATAAATAGGGAAATAAATAGGGAAATAAATAGGGAAATAAATAGGGAAATAAATAGGGAAATAAATAGGGAAATAAATATGGAAATCAATAGGGAAATAAATAGGGAAATAAATAGGGACATAAATAGGGAAATAAATAGGGAAATAAATATAGGGAAATAAATAGGGAAATAAATAGGGAAATAAATAGGGAAACAAATAGGAAAATAAATAGGGAAATAAATAGGGAAATAAATAGGGAAATAAATAGGGACATAAATAGGAACATAAATAGGGAAATAAATAGGGAAATAAATAGGGAAATAAATAGGGAAATAAATAGGGAAATAAATAGGGAAATAAATAGGGAAATAAATAGGGAAATACATAGGGAAATAAATAGGGAAATAATTAGGGAAATAAATAGGGAAATAAATAGGGACATAAATAGGGAAATACATAGGGAACAACTTAGGCAATAAATATGCCAATAATTAGGGAAATTAATATGGAAATAAAAAGTTTATAAATAAAAAAGAAAATAGGGAAATTATTAGGGAAATAAATGGATAGGGAGATATAATAGGGACATAAATAGGGACATAAATAGGTACATAAATAGGGAAATAAATAGGAAAATTCATAGGGAAATGAATAGGGAAATAAATAGGGGAATAAATAGGGGAATAAATAGGGGAATAAATAGGGGAATAAATAGGGAAATAAATAGGGAAATAAATAAGGAAATAAATAGGAAAATAAATAGGGAAATAAATAGGGAAATAAATAGGGAAATAAATAGGGAAATAAATAGGGAAATAAATAGGGAAATAAATAGGGAAATAAATAGGGAAATAAATAGGGAAATAAATAGGGAAATAACAGGGAAATAAATAGGGAAATAAATAGGGAAATAAATAGGGAAATAAATAGGGAAATAAATAGGGAAATAAATAGGGAAATAAATAAATAGGGAAATAAATAGGGAAATAAATAGGGAAATAAATAGGGAAATAAATAGGGAAATAAATAGGGAAATAAATAGGGAAATAAATAGGGAAATAAATAGGGAAATAAATAGGGAAATAAATAGGGAAAAAAATAGGGAAATAAATAGGGAAATAAATAGGGAAAAAAATAGGGAAATAAATAGGGAAATAACTAGGGAAATAAATAGGGAAACACATAGGGAAATAAATAGGGAAAATCATAGGGAAATAAATAGGGAAATAAATAGGGAAATAAATAGGGAAATAAATAGGGAAATAAATAGGGAAATAAATAGGGAAATACATAGGGAAATAAATGGGAAATAAATAGGAAAATAAATAGGGAAATAAATAGGGAAATAAATAGGGAAATAAATAGGAAAATAAATAGGGAAATAAATAGGGAAATAAATAGGGACATAAATAGGGAATAAATAGGGACATAAATAGGGAAATAAATAGGACATAAATAGGGAAATAAATAGGCAAATAAATAGGGAAATAAATAGGGAAATAAATAGGGACATAAATAGGGAAATAAATAGGGAAATAATAGGGAAATAATAGGGAAATAATAGGGAAATGAATAGGGAAATGAATAGGGAAATGAATTGGGAAATAAATAGGGAAATAAATAGGTAAATAAATAAGGAAATAAATAGGGGAAAAAATAGGGAAATAAATAGGGAAATAAATAGGGAAATAAATAGGGAAATAAATAGGGAAATAAATAGAGGAGATAAATAGGGAAATAAATAGGTAAATAGGGAAATAAATAGGCAAATAAATAGGGAAATAAATAGAGATAATAGGGAAATAAATAGGGAAATAAATAGGGAAATAAATAGGGAAATAAATAGGGAAATAAATAGGGAAATAAATAGGGAAATAAATAGGGAAAAATAGGGAAATAAATAGGGAAATAAATAGGGAAATAAATAGGGAAATAAATAGGGAAATAAATAGGGAAATAAATAGGGAAATAAATAGGGAAATAAATAGGGAAATAAATAGGGAAATAAATATAGGGAAATAAATATAGGGAAATAAATAGGGAAATAAATAGGGAAATAAATAGGAAAATAGATAGGGACATAAATAGGGAAACAAATAGGGAAATAAAACGGGAAATGAATAGGAAAATAAAAAGGGAAATAAATAGGGACATAAATAATAGGGAACTAAATAGGGAAATAATGATGGAAATAATTAGGGAAATAAATAGGGAAAGAATTAGGAAAATAATTCGGGAATTAAATAGGGAAATACAAAAGGAAAAAATAGAGAACAAAACATTGGAAATAAATACCAGCTAAGCCAAAACACCTGGAAAGATAACGTTTTTCAAAAAAATGGTGTTGTTTTTTCTTGAGCCGGTATTCCTACGCTAGGGAGAAAAGGTGCATCGACAGGGGTAAACCGGGGAAACATACTGTACATGGAGAAAAGACCTGAAACAAAAGATCCACAAGGACAGGGTATGATCATGTGTAGCCTGCTCCTTCGAGCAATGAAGGGCCCAAGGAAGCCACACTTAGTAGAACAAAAACCAACTATTTCTCTTTGGAGGGTTTTTCCGGGGTGTTTGTACCGCCTGAAGGTCGACATGACATCCCAACATTTCTCAAACAGCAGGAGGATCGGAAATGACATCGACCTTCAGCTAAGTGGGGATGGATCAATACCTATACATACCATTTTTAGGGGGTTATTCACATCCATTTACCAGCTATTTTGATGTGAACTACAGGGGTACAAGGTTTTGACCCACCCCCAAGTAATACTGAGGCACCAACAGCAGCACTTGGAGTCGTTCCTCAAGAGCCACGATTCAAAGTGAGAGCGGCAGCGGTGGCAGAGCATTTTGTGTCCGAAGATGTGGCACAAAAGAAAAAACCAACCGATGATCATCGATCCATCTATCTACTCTGCCTGTCTCTATATTTGTACAGACATACATATATAATATTATATAATCATATATACATCCATTGATCATATACATAAGCATATATATATATATTATCCATGTATAATAATCAAGTGCATATAGTATATACATAGATTCATAGACAGTTGTCCACGAGTGATGTCAACAGTTCGGAATGCATGGTCAGCAGCTGACGAATCCAGATCCCGTCGGGATCCTTCGGGGCCCTGGTCGAAAGAGGCCGGACCTCAACGATGCACCAAACAATGGAGCAGCTGGTTTGCTGATTTCTACACTATTCCATTTGGCCGGAACCTGCATGATGCTTGCAGTCTCTATACCGTACGTGTATTCGAGATGTATGTCAATTCACAGGTATGTATGTATATGGATGTATGTATACATATAGACATACATTTATCTTTCCATCTTTGTCCTCATACGACATTCATGTCGACATTTTTTCAAATTGCACATCATGTCCACAGGCGATGTCATATAAACATCAATTGCCATCCATGCATACTGTGGGTGGCCCCTTGGAAGCCGTGACAAGTCTCACCCGTACTGTGCATTGCAGCCCTTGTGACAAATTGGCCATGTGGATGTTGCAGCACACAGCTGGAACTTTGCGATGTGCATCTCAATTAGGGTTTGTGATGTATAAAGCATATATGGTGATATTCCCCATATGGCTGAGGATATTCCACAGACAACTGGTGACATTCCATATCAAAACTGTTGATATTCCGTATATAGAAATCTCACATTTCATTCCGGTTATTACATGTTAATTGCCCAGAAACAGTCACACCCCAGGTCTGTTTCTCAGTTTCTCGAAAACAGGCAACGACACTGGCAGGCTGCCTTGGACGATGTCTCCTGGTGCAGAGCAATGGTCATGTTTGAATATGTCTTTTAGGAAGAAAACTATAGACAACTGATACTTAATATGTTCGTTGTAGAAATTTTGATAATCTGAAGAAAAGAATGACGGTTGATCTATATTGATTTGATGGTTAATCGTTTTTTTCTTTTTTTCTCACTTGAACTAGCCACAAATCGCAGTATAGATAGTGTAGCTAATTTTTGGACAGATGTAAGTTCCTGAGAAAACTTAAAACCTCGGTGATCTGAGTTGGGAGCAATATAGAGAGCACAGGATCCTGAACAATATCGGTTTGTTTGAGAATCAAGTTCTTGGTATGTAATGGTTCTCACAGTTCCATGAAACGCAAAAGACAACCAGACAGCTCCCAGATTGGATAGTTAGGATTAGTTGGGTACTTTGTCATATGTCATAATTCAATTACACTCACTCACATCCAAATCTATAGATAGTTCTAGAGAAATACTATGTGTATGTATATAATTGTATATATATATATATACCTAGAGCATCCATCGTATACTTTATTATTGGTAGACTATGTTGTTTACCTGTTTCCAAGATATCGACTGGAAAAAAGAGTTCCTGACCACATCGATCAATTTTCCTGAAAACGACTGATTTTGAGCCCACTGGGATAATATGGAAGAGATTTGTATTTTGGGGTCATAAGCATCCATCCATCCAATCTTTCATCCATCCATCCATCCATCCGTAGCCCACCACAATGCCAATCCTCGGCTGCAGTGGCCCCACGCGTGGAGACAGAGAGGAATGTGGAGACCTGATATGCATATTCAATTCCACAACCATTTGGCAGTTAAGATGTTCAATAAAAGAAAACTATGAACAAATGATGAATCAATGTGTTCCCATGAAATTTCAATTCTACATCACTGATCACATTCAATCATCTTGTTGGTAGCACTGCGTAATACTTACTTATGGTTGCGCTTGGACCAGTGACTGGCTGGACTGCCTACGTGCTGCTGCCAACTATTATGACAGCTGAAGGCCGGATTTTTTGTTGCATCGTATCTTTCGAGATTCAACTTAAAATATGATATGCAGGAATTTCACTGACATTTTTTGGTGGAAACGATTGGCAATCAAATGAACCCCCACACTGCAGCTGGGCTCCAGGAGCTAAGTGTATGAGTACAAAGTGAGAATCCATAACAAAAAGAGAAAGCAAATAGAGAAAGCACCACTCTGAACCCAGAACAAAAAAAAATCATATGTTGAAAAACACATGCACATGACTTACATATCCTGCTTTCTCAGGGCTGTTGCAGCCATGGCTGTAGTGGATGATGATCGCTCTTTGTCTACCACTGACTTGGCCCGTAGTTGGGAAAGTATCCCAGAGCTACGTAGGCGTGCTCACAAACTTCAACTGGTCACTAGGCTTTTGCTACCTCTTCAGTTCAGGCATGATGCATGATTCTGATACTGATTTCATTAAGGGACCTGTTGGATCCAGATTCTTTACCTTAGGTGACCTTCACCCAGGAGAACTGCATCAACCGAGACACTGTGGTGCAGAACGAGTTGGTTGTCACGCACACGTTGAACCACCTAGGAACACGGGTTGGTGTCGCCACCCTTGAAGTGCATGTCGAAAGCTTCTATGCATTGATGAACATTCCAATTCCCCGTGACTCCACTCATTTTTTTTGGATACAACTGATACTATATTTTGTTTAGTTTTGTTTATAGTATGTCCTAGATGAACACTGATCAATTGCAATATTTCATGGAACAAAGTGTTGCAACACTAAGGCAATTGCATTACGATTCAAGCATGGGCACTTCGGAGGATGATCTCTGTGTATAACGCTGTGACACGCCGACCCCATGTTCCAAGAGAGAAAGGCTTGAGAAGGATTCTGATCAGCCAGGGGTTTGACATCCCGTTGGAATCCCCACCACGCTCAGGTCCTAGCTCAAGCTCCTTGGAGAATGGAGGTGCAGAGGGGCATGAACCTGAGGACATGGAGACTCTCGAGGAAGAAGAGGGCGAATCTGAGTCTTTCACTGATGATGAGAGTGTTCGTCTTGAATTGGAAGATGATGACGATGAGAGTGTTCATCTTGAATTGGAAGATGCGAGGAGTGGAAGTAACTTTGATCAATAGAATTTGTCCATACTCAAAAAATCTTGGAAGTGTAATAACAAATGATGACAATGATTAATTATTTTAAATGCCACTGGATTTTTGGATTGGATATCTTCCACTTCCAGGATGTGGTTGAACTGGTTTCGATACTGTACCCAATTCCTACAACTTGGTTTTTCAATCCCTAGGGGGCTCATCACAGAAGTGGCGATCCTAGGTGATGACAAGAAGCTTGAAGATCGATCTACTTCGGTCCTAGCCTCATCAAGGGTTTGTTACAACCCTCTATGCACATCTCCGTCCATCTGGCCAGGAGACCATTGTGGAGTTCGCTGTGGGCTGGGAGAAGTGTCTCAAGGACGCTGTCGCCAGGAACTTCCCTGCATGCGATGTCAGTGACAAGTGTGGAGAAAAATTGAAGATCATGGCGAATGGAACGGTTCAGGGTATCCCTAGTCCTGATCGTTTTCCTTTGGTAGTTTCACCACAGAAGCCATCAACTAGCCTGTCACCTGGTGCCACTGTGATTGGACCTATGCCAAGCACCGCTCCTTTGACATCTGCGTGTGATCTTCATACTCCCAGTCCATCAGGCAGGGTGGTGAATAGTGAAATACAAAATATGTCAGGAACTTTAAGATTTATTTGCATGTATGTTTTGATAATATATTATATTCTCTAAATATGTCATTTAGTGGTGCAGGCATTGTGCCTGCTGAAGAGACGCCACCCAAAGTTGAGAAACAGGTGCCCATTGATTGGTTTCAATCAATCAGCATGGTTATATCTCTGATCATGCTTTGCCATTGCCTCCCCAGCCTGGTGGCCAGGCTGCCTTGCAACCGGTTGTAGACCAGGATGCTTCGAAAGCTGCTGCCAGTGCCTACCAGGAGATGTTGCAGTTGCAAAAGCATTTGGCATTGCTCACTGAAATCCAGTCCCTTCAAGTTGAAATTGCCAAAATGCAAAAACTGCAAATCCAGCTGGCTGCCCAAAACAAAGAGACCGTGGTACCGTACAATGTGGCACATCCACCTGCCATCTGTTACCTGTCACATATTATACATTTTTTGGTATGTTCAAAAAATGATGTACATATGTGAACATATATGCATGCATTTTATATAATAGTTTGTGGTTCATCAGGTTTGGACAATGTGGAGACCCAACCAATTGTGGACGACACGGTGATCCAACCCTTGGTGTGTGAAGAGCCAGAAGGCAGAGATTCTAAAACCATATAACAGATGCAGCCTCATTTACTTCATATGATAGTATACATGCTTTACATCCTTTGCCCAGGCAGCGCAAAGCAGTCAGCTACAAAGGCTCAGGAATGTGTCAGTGCTGCTGTGATGATGGCATGCAATGGATCACCAATGGCCACTGCCACCGATGAAGATCATATGGTTATCGAGGAACTTTCAGAGGATGTAAGGAAGAAACTTAGGTTTCAAGATGCTCAGTCTCGGCCAAAGGATCCTAGTACCCCACCAAGCCCTGAGCCTGAAATCACGGAGACAAAAGGCATGGGACACAACACAATGCACACACATGAAAGCAAGACCGCAAAGTCAGAACCTGAATGCACTTCAAAGTCATCCTTGGCCCCAAGTGTTCGTTTGCGCAAGTATCTAGAGGATGTGAAAGAAAACAGGACCATGAAAGACACTGCGGAAGAGGGAGCATGTTCTGCAGACTTGCTACCTGCCAAACCTAGTGATTGGGGCCAGCACAAGCCTGTGACTGCCAATGAACAAGAACCACCCAAACAACGTGGCCGCAAGCCAAAGAAGGTTGAAACAAAGGAGCATGAGGCAAAGGAACCACAGAAACGTGGCCGCAAGCCAAAGAAGGTTGAAACAGAGGAGCATGAGGCAAAGGAAACACAGAAACGTGGCCGCAATCCAAAGAAGGTTGAAACAGAGGAGCATGAGGCAAAGGAACCACAGAAGAAGCGCAGCAGAGCCAAGGCAAAGGCCACAGCCTTGGCTGAGCAGGCAAAGGACACAGCAAACACCAAGCGGAAAAGCAAAAAGGCCACCAAGGCAGATGAGTCATATGAGCCACTTGAAGCCGAAGGAGATGTCAACTTTGACAAAGGAGCAGCATTCGATGCATACGCAGCAGCAAGTGCAAAGGCAGATGCTTTTGTACTGGGAGAACAGCAACGGATAAACACGGAGAAACCAAAGAAAACAGGCAAGAGAAAGAACAATAGCACCGAGTCCGCCCAGGCATCTAAGAAAGCAGTTAGTGATGATACCCCTGCAACTGCCAGCAAGAGGAAGGCTGAGGGAAGCACAGCATGCAAAAAGGCAAAGCGAAGCAAGGTCAACACAGAAGCAACGAGCAATGGCGATACAGTGGACACCACCTGTACAGAGGCCACACGCTGCGCCACCACGCCAAGTGAAAGCACTGCCCCTCCCCGTCCCCGGGCTGTGAAATCTGCAGAAACAAAAGCCAAGTACAGCCGAAAGAGTTGTGCCTACAAGAAGAAATTGAGAGATATGATCAACCAGGGTGTAGATGAGGAGGAAGCAAAACTTGCAGCACGACAGGTTTCCATTCCTTTTGCTTAGCACTTTTGTTTTGAAGTTTTCTGAAGATGTTGTAATGTTTTATGTTTTGTACATGCATGTGTATTGTGTGCATGCACGCAGATATCATATATGTTCCAACTGACTGGTCTCATGCTGCTGAGTATTATTGGCTACGAGGCTTATGCAGATTGCCAGTGAACTGGCGCCGGTGTCTTCTCAGACCCTTTGCGAAAGTGTGCTGAGCAGTGTCGAACACTTCCGTTTCGACATGAAATCTTGTCAGTTCCTGACTGCTGGTATTGTGAAATTTTAATTCGATATAACTCCATTTAACTCCCAATTTTTACAGAATCCGACTTGACACTTTAGACTGTTGTGAAAAACTCCATGTGAATCCCAGCAATCTTTTCTCACAGGGAATGATGCGTTTTTCAATGCACAACTTTAGGCCCTGTCTGGCTTCGCTCTCAGAAGTGCGTAGCTAGTATATGCTTTTCTGACAACTCAGATGCTGTCAGCCAGTTCCATTTGAAATTATGCCAGTGATGGCATTTGGGGGCCCAGTCAATTGTGATAACACGATTGCAACTCTTTAGCGATTGAGATCAGTTGAGAACAAAGGCGTGGTAAAAGAGTTGATAGCAGATGGTGCAAGCTCATGACCGTGCAGCCACAGCAGCAGCACCACCAAACAATACTAAACTAGTTCTCAAGAACATGGATTCCCAAAAGATTCTATTTTCTATTTATAAACATCTTTTCGGGATCTCACAACTGGCCCCTTAATTTTGAGATAAACCCATATAGCGTTTTCACAAAACTCTCAGTTGAAGTTTGCTTGCTGCAGGTGCTCATGGAACGATGGATGGCCAGATCGGCAACCCATGGTCATCCCTGCTCAGTTTTGGATGGGAGATATGTGGATATGTGTGCATGTCTCTAAGTAGATTCCCTAGCAGCGCTCTGGTACTTGGAGTTGTTTGTGATTATTTTCAACAGCAGTGGCTTCAGTGGCTTGATCAACGTTGCAAGTGTACCTGTAGCCTTCAGCAGGCTCATACATATCCATGCAGGTCATAGATTATCCCAGGTGTTTCTGTCATGGCGCCCAGTCGGTCTCAATCAATACTTGTGAACCTGGCCCAGACTCAGTGTCCTAAGGCTGGACACCAACCAGTTTGCATATTTAGCATTTACAACTTGCAACATCAATTTTGGAAATAAAATCTTGGTTCTGAGTAGTTGTTCCCTCCTGGGTTGCAAGGCATTCATTGCCTGCGTGTTGCTGGTCCTTTGGAGCAGTGATGTTTCTCCAAAGTACTCATTGGTGGAGTTATTCTCTGGACTTGGCCAAGTAGGCAAAGTATGGAGGCTGGAACTTGATTCTAGATTTCCAAATCTCGAATGTATCATCAGTTGCACATGCCATATATGCCATATTGTGCCATGTTCTTTCAAATGTGCTGCTAGGGAAAATGGTTACAACGTGGGTCAATACGACTGGGACTATGCAGAACGTGGCATGAACTTCTTATCCAATGGTGGATTTGCGTGTGTCACTCAGATATGTAACACAACACGCCCCAATGCAAACCTATTTGCGTTAACTGGTCAAACATGAACTGGTTTGGTAATAGATGTGTCACGTGTGCCCAGGACAGCTATCTACTTGGTGGCTTGTTTGGCCCCACTGGGCCTTTTGCTGCTTGGCCCAGACTGCAGCAGCTGGACGTTGGTATCCAGAGGCAGCTCCTGGAGATCGGTCATGAACCCGAACGGACGGCTTGGTTTGGACTGGATTCGAAATTCAAACCTGATGATATCTCGGTGATTTGGTTGAATTCTTTTAGATCAGTATGATTGTGGTTGGTGAAGTAAGTGTAGGTTGGACAATGCATGGGGCATCTCAACATGAACATTGAACCTAGGTGCACTTTGATACTCCATTTATGTCTGGCAGTTTGTGCCATCTACGTGATGGAACAACCACGTGGGAGTGAAGAGGTGCTTCCACGTCACAAAAGGTTTGAAGCATTCTGCAATTTGATTTCTTTTGCAGCATGACTGCACAACCAAAAGTATCACATATCACTGATATGGAAACGGCTTTGCAACACTTATGGGGATTGGTCAAAATATGAGCCCTTTGGTTAGTTATACAAATTACTATCGATCGATATACAATAATCTATCCATTTGTGGGGTGCACAATTTTGACCTATACCCATATTCCTATATGTTTCTTTTCTTCTTGGAGTCCTGGATGTCCAAGGTATTTAAGAAACGATTCTGGATGATGCACCATGGAGGCTGCACACCCAAACCAACAGTGGTTTGGGGAAATGAAGAAGACATTTTGTCATCGTTGGAAGCTAGCCTGACAAGAATACGCAGTGCAATTGCAACTTAAGAATACGTATTATAATCTTAATACTTTGGCATGGTTAGCCAAGGACCTTGGAGTTCTTCCCAGATCGGTCCAGCAGACCAGCACTGTGAACACCACTCGCAAGAACCTCAGAGTGACGTCATGGGTTGTAGATTTTTTCTTGCCTGTTTGCTACTCCAAAGAATGCCACCACAAAAGGACAAGTACCGAAAAGGGTGTGGGAGTCCTGTTTTTATTTGTTTTTGTTTTTTTGATGGTGGCAAACCAGCAGAAAAAATACAAATGGGTTTCGACACTAAAGTGCACGAATTATGGATGATTTGCAATACTCCTATCTGAAGGTGTAGTCTATTGGAGCTATAAGTTTCAACCTGGTGCCAACTTGCACGAAATTTCAGAGTCATGACACATTGAGTAAATAAGGTCGATATGTGGCCAAAGACGGCAAGATCAGATTTCAGGGCACAGAAGCCCTTCGCTCCACGCAGCCCATCCCTTATTTCACTGATTGGTGTAGAAGCTGCATTCTGAATTTCAAAGCTTAACACACCCCTGAAAACATGTTATATGGTGAATCCATCCTGGTTCAATCACACTCATGATCCCCCATACTCCTACTTCTGAGGCAATATCCACGTGGACTTGGAGAAAATCTTCTGCGCGCCTGGGAAAGGTTTCGAACGAAGCCCAGGTTGGATCTGAGGCAAAAGCCAGCATTTGATCCACAGAAAACAGATTTGCAGATTTTTCAATCCTTAGAGGACAATGACCCCTGGACCGATGCCAAGCTTCCCAGTCTCTTTCTATACCTCTATGACAACCAGAAGCTTGTAATCCCCAATGAGTGGGAAAACACTATGGAAGAGATGCGCAAATACATGGAACAATTTGTGGCTAGGCATGCAAAGGTGTCAGAACTGATTTTCATATGTGCATATGGACTCCCCGATCCTTTTTGATTTCCTGCCTTGTGTTGGCACTGCACCAGCAGTTCTTCCCAGGTTCTGACCAAAGATGACCTGGCTGGTGGCCCAACAGAGTGATTGGAGAGCAGTCGCAACCCAGTGCATTCAATTCACAATTTGAAAGAATTACCAATTGGTGGTGCTGGCTCGGTGTGTCAAGAAGAATTTTGAAGATGTTTAGGTGAATTTGATGGTTTTGGGCTATCTTAAGTGATTTTTTGGCAAAAAATGGTAAAAGTTTGCGCCTAAAAAAAGTTTCAAAACGGCTTCAAAACCCTTCAAAACGACTTCAAAAACCATCAAACGCCTACAAATCCCAAAAACTAGGTCAAATGGGTTTTTGGTGAATTTGGCAAAAACCGAGCTTTTCAGCACAATTCGAACAGAAATGGCATGCTTTTGCATGCTGTGCAGCCTCAAGTGGGATTGCCTAGTTGGGGCAGCGGGTGGACATGCGAGATTGTGGCCAGTGATGTCTAAAATGCTCGGGGTTCTTGACAGCGTTGCTCGTTCAAACTGGTGGTTTGAAATCACAAATTAAGTTGGAACATCAAGAATGTCATTTACCCAACTTAATGAGGTGTTTGCTCAAGGACTTGACTCTAGGAATCCCTAGGACGTGAGTAGCTACTGATGTCAGCCAGTGACAAGGCTAAGCCATGCCCTTCTTTTGAGGAGGGGAAGGTGGCATTAGATGCCCAAAGTGTTCTGAACCCTGTGGCCACTGACTTCAATCCGATGATACAAGTAACGAAGCAGCATATATGATGTACACACATGTTTTCTTAGATATGTATATATATATATATGATTTTTTCCAAATAATCTTATATGGCATCCCTGCCCACTGAGGCAATGCAGGCCAGGCTTGCTGCTTTGCAGGGTCAGCTTGGACACCTCTCAGGCATGGATGGTGCCCCACAGCCCGGAGGTGGGCCCTGACAAACGTACCCACCTGTTCGTACTTTTATGCAGTTGTTTGATGCCAGAAATTTGATGCTCTTAGAGACTAAAATAATTAGAGGACATGGGATGGGAATTCAATGAACTTCTATGATGATATAATTCAGTTTGGGAAACCACTGTAAGAATCCAGCATGAAATTTCACAGGCTGACCCCGTTCAAAAAATTTAGATGTTTCCTGAAATGATAGTAATGGCAATGGCCCCAAAATCACGATAATTGGGTGTAAAACTACCATTTGCATCAGGTGGTGGAGTTGCCCTTGCTCGTGCTGCGGGGGCCTTTATGCCGGGGTTTGGTAGCAAGGATGGCAACAGCTTGCCACCAGGAAGTTCCCAAGAGTCACTGGTGTCACCACCAGCTACACCAGCAACAGTGGGGACCATGGGATTCAACAGCCCACCACCCCCAAGAAGTCTCAGTGGTGTTAGTGTAGCTACAGCTCCAACTTTGAAATATGGTGCCACCATAGATCTGTCCACGCCACAGCCAGAGCCGGTTCTCCCAGACCGCCTGCCAGATAGCTGCTTTCCTGATACCTTGCGCCCATGGAATTCACCTGCGACCAGTGTGGTGGGGAAGCCAGACAGTGTTGAGTCCACGCTGCATGATGCCCCATCACCTACTGGAACAATTGAACATGTGGGGTCATTGGAGGCATCAGTACCTGCAAAGACACACACCGATGCAAATGAGGCACAGGTTGGTGGGTCACCGGGAACAGTGCAAGCACCAGCAACTGCAGAAACACTGACCAATGAAAAAAACGGAGGGTCACCAGGAACAACAGTACATGCATCAGCACCTGAACAGACGTTGACAAATGGTGGGGGGTCACAGGAGACAGTGGCACCAGCACCTGCACACACACTGCCCAATACAAATGGTGGAGGGTCGCCCAGAACAGCACCAAATGAACCAAGTGGTGAATCGGGAGCACAGCCAGACAAAGCACCGTCACAGCAGCCCGGTCCCAAAAAGAACAAATATGCCGATGGCACCTACTGGAAGCCACTCTTCAGCACTTTAAAGATTTAAGATTTCATCGTTTGAAACCTTTGCCCTTGAAGGAACGGAAATGGGTTAGGGTAAACACATGGATGTGAAACTTAGGCTTCGCAATTATGTCAAACCGAACAAGAAGGGTGTGATCAAGGCTAGCACGAATGTTATCAGCATGTTCAAGACTGAGAAGGGCAGACACTTGGATTTGATTTGTTAAGTTCACAAAGCGCAGTACAGTATCCTCACTTAGCCTTTTGTAGTTTTTGTGTGTCAATGCCAAACCTAGGAGAAGAGTTGCGCGAACTACTCTTGAAAGAGGGTACTCTTGATCGTGTTGAGGTTGCCATTCAGCGACAGCATGTTGAAGAGGAGACTAACACGTTGCGGGGTGGGTGGCACACAGCAGTTTCTTTGGAGAGAGAAGGGTGGACCACGTCCCCTAGCTGAAGACCTTCTTCACAATTTTGCATATATTATTTATAACATATATGATTATAAAACATTATAAATATATTCATGAATACTATTATTATTACATTCTCTTCCTTTATTGATCCTATCACCATGTCAGTGATGCACTGAGGCAAATGATAGAGAACAGCAAGAAGTGGGCCCAAGCGAGAAACCTTGTCCATCGCAGTGAGGTTCACGGTGAGGAGGAATGGCGTGTTCCCCTGCAGCGTGAGTTTGAGTTCAAGGAACAGAACAGAAAAACAACGTCTTCAAGTGCTGGCTTTGTCACACAGGACTGGAATACACAAACATGTCCTGGTCATGCAGTCTTATATCACTTTCTAGCTTATTTGGGTATCAACTGTTTGAAGGACTCCACGGGTGAAATTCTTTGTTCACCGCTCGATGCAGATGCTGCCATGCACATGACACTCGAATACCATATGACAATCCAAAACAATCCACAAATGGTTTAATCAATGGCATAAATAATAGCTAAACCTCAACCGCTTGCTAAGGAGGGGAGAGGCTCCTGCAGCAGGCGTCGCTGTGACCCAGCCCGCTGGAAATGCCAAGTCCCAAACCTTACCAGTCTTGCAAGCCAACCAGTGCCCATTTGGCTTCTTTATTGCAAGTTGGTTAGTTCTGTTTTGGATGTTCTCAAAAATGGTCATGCAGTCCAATTCTCTTTCCCATGGAAGTTAGTCTGCAATTGCTCAGGATTGCTGCCGGCTTTCATTGAAGGTGTTGCCAAGAAAATATCCAAAGCTGAAGAAGCGGAGGATACCATATAGAACTGATCGAGATATAAATAGCAGTACGTGAGAAAAAACATATTCTCATATAGTATCTCATATATGCTGCTTTATTCGCAGGAAACACTACGTGGCCTGAACCTAGAGCGCGCAACAAAGCCGAAGTCTCAGCACAGGCAATCAACTCATTCTGATTCATGCTAGCATATAGCTATATATAGCTTACCATGGGCCATATTGGGTGGGCCATGGTGGGCCATATTGGGGGGATAAAATGAGGCTGGCCGACGAACTGAATGAGAAGACCCAGCTCTTGGACGGCAAGTACAAAGAGTTGATTACTCAGCAACAAGACATTATGACCCAGAATGTTCCCAATAGGCCTGGCTGAATTCCATCTCGTTGACATCAGTGTTGGTCAGCTACCTGTTGGTGCAACATGGCATTTGCAGCTGCTTTCTATTAGATATCTTGACCACTCTTTTACCTGAAACTGCGACAGTTCTACGAAAGACTCGTTGGTGAAGCTGTACATTGCCTGTACCCAATGTGATGTTCTGGTCAACAATTTGCTGTCTCGTTCCAGGACTGCTGATGGTATTTATCAACATGTGCACTGCATGTCCCAGAAGTCATGATGCATATACATATAGCATGATCTATATTATATATGTAAGGACCCTGAAGGAATGTGAAAGCACCGAAAGCGAAGTCAGACTCGAGCAAGCCGTCGAAAGCTTCTTTGAGTGAAAAGAAACGTGCTGCTACTGTGACTCCAACTGTAGCACCAGTGAAAACCAAGAAGAAGCGCAAAGCTTCGGCTGCATCTGCAAGTGCAAGTGCTGCCCATAAGACTTCCAAAAAGAAGCGCAGAACCAAGTAGATCTTGTTTGAAGTGGCAATATGATTTATCAAGACAACTGCTGCTCCCCACCTTTATTATGATTATTATGTTGTTCAAGAACAATATCTTAGGTGTCATTATGTTATTCTTATTTTTCAATCATAATCAGCTGGGAGGCTGGGAGCGGCAAAAATTTTGCTGGTCACTTCAATTTCTTGTTAGCCCATTTGGGGGGCCCGTCCAAAAGGCCTTCTGTGAGGCCAAAGCATAGGGTTGCCAGAGGATTCAGCCTGGCCCGGGGGAAAAGAAATCATTTCTTTTGTGCGTGGTGGGGCCACCTTGACCTATTTGCATATTTGCCAATTTTGAACTGCAACAATAACAAGTGGAACAATTTTCCTTGAAACTCGAGCCAGGTGGATTGGGATCTCTGATTGGTGCTGGTGCCCTTAGTCAGCAGCCCAGCTCTTTTCAGCTTCAGACCTATAGAACTGGTAACTATCTTTTTGGGCACCTTCTCAGGTCGACGTGAGACAGGTGCAGCAGCAGAGGAGGATGGGTCTTCTTCTTCTGCTGATAGTGAGCTGGCTGCTGAACTTTTTACTGAATACTTGACCGGGGTAACTTGGATCAACTGTTTTGGATTCCAAAGAGGCTGTGGTCCAAAAATAATGGAATAAACTTAAACATCCATAAACGGTTCATATGGAGTCCAGGCATTTCATAATTGTGTGGGACTTAAGCATTCCTGTTCAATCTTCTTACATACCAGCCCTAGGCAGAATCAGCGGAACGCACTTCCAAGCTTGCCAACATGATATGTCGGGTGCGCAAAAATCGACACTTGGTTGGATTCCTAATCTTTTGATGTTCAACCAACTTGTAGTGGTCATACAATTTTCACACAACCCCGAAGAAACCAAGAATTCAGGGAATAAGGGATTAATTTTATGGTGCATCAAAAAGTCAAGAACCCAGGAAGAAAAACAGATCTACTGTGCAAACTCTCCCGAGCTGGTCAGTCGAAAGCAAATGCATGCCGAAATTTGCATCGGTTGATCAACCGAAACAATGTGCTGTTTCCAGTCCCTATTGATTGTGGGCTGGTAAGGGTTGCCTTCAGAAAACCTGAATACAGAACAGAACAAGTTTACTGGCCCTTTCTCCGGATGAAGGACTGGATCAGGTGCCTCCTCCGGGAATCTCCAAAGATGCTGCTGGCAGGGTATGACCTAGCCGATGCACCAGGTTGGACCGGGGTGTTTTCAACCTTCTGGTCAAAGTACCGATTGACAAACCCTTCCCATTGCATATTCAGTGACAACCTGGACACTCGATATGCTATACCGTATTTCCTGCATGGAGATGAAGGTCGGGGTTACTGCCGTCGCCCGTTCATGGTGGAATCCTTTCAACCAGTGATATCACACAAAGGCTTGGATCACATAAACGAAAGTGGGTATCTTGAAGAAATTGATTGTGCTTTACCTGTGGTTTCCCTGAAATTTAGGTTAGGGATCCCTACATTTGCTGTTTTCCCTCCCAATCCTAGAAAAAAACAGGCACTCAATGACCACGAGATTCCTGCTAACTTGCATTTCATCATATTTTTTGATGAAGAGAACACACTGGACGATCTACATCAATTCATCGCCGAAGATGCAACGGACTTGTACACCAATGGCATAACTGTACTTTGACTGATATATTTTCTGATTTCCCCACAAAACTTTCTTTGGGATTGGCCCCAAGAGAAAACTGCTACCCCTGAGTCCATCACTCTTCCTCTCACCGCTGTGCAGGTGGATTCTGTGACCCTGCGGCTGGTTTGCTTGGGCACTAAGGGGGATTGGCCATATCTACGAAAAGATACTCGGACCATGCTTATTTACAAGCCTTTAGTGTGAAGTTTCCAACATCTGGGATATGAAACATATTGCAGGGTTTTCTGATTTTAGAAACTTGAAGCGCCCAGGCGTTTCATTTGAACTGTGGGTTCAACTGCAATGAGAAGTGTCACTTATGTGATGCTTCTGACTGGGAAAATGTCTCCACTACAGCGAGGTGGCGGTCAACCTTGGGATCAAATCGATCCAAGAGCCCTTTCCACCCTGGTGCCTCGATTCCACTGCTTGCAATCCCCGGCATGGGGCAGCCGGAAGCCATCCTGCCGGACAGCTGTCATTGCTTCCATCTGGGATGGGGCATTGACCTAGGGAGTTCAGCCTTGGTTCTTCTAGCCCGTTGTCATCTGTTTGGAGATGGAAGCTTCAACACCATGTTGGCTGAAGGGTACCGACTGTTCACTCGCTGGTGTCATACCAACAAGAAGACTACTGGTATAAACGGATGGTCATTGAGAAAGTTGGACATGACCTCGTGCCTAGCATGCAAGGGTTTCCCATGGTTTTTCTTTTCTGTGAGCCACCCAACAAATACCAAACAAATACTTGTGGGTGAATCTTAAAACACATGTCCAAGCTTTCCCGTCGCTGCTTCTTGAGGATCAACTCCTGGCCTACGTCTCTTGGAAGTTGCAACTCAAAGGCGTATGACACGGCCTTGGTGCTGCAGTGGCTAGAGGATTTCCTTGAGCCAGTGGACACTTATACTACTTAAGAAACGGGCATATCCGAAAATCATCAATTTACCAGATGTTTGGGGTCTAAGATTTATCCAGATAAACCCCATGCATATATAATATATTTAATGGGATAGCTTAAAGATAAGGGTAATGAACTCTTCTTGGGTTTGGCCATAGCTTTTGAATCACCGAAAGATTTTGAACACATCAGCCCTCCTCCATGATTACCAATTTCATTGGTATTTGTCTAAGGATGGTGGTGATGATTTGGTGCAAGGGCTGAAATACGCGCTTGCCACTGCCAATCTGTTCTTTCGCACCCTCCGGTCCTGTGGTGTTTTCATTGAAGGTGCCAAGAAAGAGCTGGTGTTCTTTGCTGGTCAGCAAATGTGTGTATCTTGCCATATCCAATTGATTCATTTTGTATCAATAAATAATGGTTTGGTCCCCAACCAGAAATTATACATATACCCAGACCTTCCAAAGTCCAAGATTTTTTGGGTGCTGCCATTTGTATCCTTTTATCTTTGAGTTATATAATAATGCCATACCAGGAAGCCTATGGTCACATGGCGACAAAGTGCTTTCATCTGGGCTGGAAGATGTTTCGGCTACGCCCCAAATTACATTTTCAGCAGCACCTGACCCTGCTGATGGGACCGGAGTCAGGGCCCATTGCCTTTTCGGCATTGAGTTCCTAGGCTTGTGTAAGAATAGCACTATATGCAAATTGGGAATGCCACTGAACTAATCGGGAATCCCCCAAATAACTGTTAATTGATTTACTTCCCAAAGTACTCTTATATGTCGATCGAGTTACTAATTGGGAATCCACCCACATAACTTTTGATTTACTCCCCAAAAAAACTATTGTGTTGATTTACTACTTGGGAATCCCACCAAAAGAACTTTTATGTTTTTACTAATCAGGAATCCCCCCAAATAAACTCTTGATTTACTCCCCAAAAGAACTCTTATGTTGATTTGCTAATCGGGAATTCCCCCAAAATAATGATACATGGATGATTGTGAATGATGGGAACACTGTTCTTTGACCAAGCATCTTCATCCAAGATTTTAGCTGCTGGGCCGATGAAGACTACATAGGACGAATTTCGAGACTATCACGATCGGTTCATCCTTTGAAGTCGTCATACCGGTGCTTGCAAAAAGCCCTAGGCCTATACAAATGTCAATTTCAATCCATTCAGGGTGGCTGAACTGTGGCCTCTGAGACACCGGGCAAGCTTGGACAGCTTGTCCACCAAGATCGTGTCGATCAAGTGCACCACAAGAGCAGTGCACGGGAAAATGTGGAGAGTGTGGGGAAGTGGCGCCTGGTTTTTCCCAAAACGCCTGATTTCAATTTAATTCGACTAAATCTACCTATTATGGGGTAAGCGTCCAGAAAAAGTTATACAAATGGCATCGCCCAAAAAATCTTGGACTTTGGAAGGTCTAGGTAGATATAATCATCATTAATCACATGTTTAGCCACAATTTTAACCAGTTATAATCATCATTAATCACATGTTTAGCCACAATTTTAATCAGTATTAACCACTATTAACCCAGTATTAAGCCAGTATTAACCCACTATTAACCACTATTAAGCACTATGAACTAGTATTAAGCACCATTCATCACCATTCACCATTAATGCCACCATTAAAGCCGCAGCCAACTCCACCAGTCTGCTGGAGCCATGAGTCCGGCGCAAGCTGCAACGTGAGGCAGCCGACTTGCGGCGCGGTAAAGGGATAGCGATAGCTTAAGGTTTAGTGAGCCACAATAACTAGGGTTTATGTTAATATAATTTAATATATATATATAGATAGATAGATAGATAGATATAGATATAGATATATATATATGTATGATTATATGTATAATGTTACCTTATATGTAGCCATAGGGGATATATCAATTCTATACATATATATAATTATAAGTCATATATCATGTGTAGTTAAAAAGAGAACATCAAAAAAATATCCTGGGCTATTTTTCTGGGACTACCTCCTGGGACCGGACGAGAGACTTTCTGGGGCCCTTGGGGCCATTGGGGGTTGGGAATTTCTCCATGTAAACGGCCGCAGCTTTTCGTGAATCTTAGTGAATGTTAGTGAGTTGGATTGAGTCAGTGAATTATGGATTTTAGATTTTAGATGATTCTAGAGAAAGATTGATTTTCCTTGAAGCTTGAAGAAACATGTGGAATTTAGCCATATTTGGCCATTCAACGGTGGTTTGCTTGGTCGCGTGCAGGCGTGAGCGCATGGAAATCGCGTCGGTCGGGCTCTGAGATGCCGGAAGCAGATCAGCCGTCGCATAGGTCGCACGGAAGATCGTCCGGGACAACTTGCAGTTATGGCCCGAAATACCAGTTATAAGTACTAACAAGTCACTCCATTTATAGAATGTAAAATCCCATTTATAACTATAGTTATAACTAATTAATGGCCATAACTGTTGGGAGTCTCAGAAATCCCTGGACAAAAAAAAGGATGGGAAGCGCCTATGGGAATAGGATTCCGAATATGATTCCTATTGCTACTGTTGCATGTCCCTGAAAATGCGACCATCATAAACAGCAGGAGCTATGCTACCAGGATTTTTTTAGAACTCGGCTATTTGTCTTTACGGTTTGTTTCCCATCCCAAATAACACCCAGTCACGACTGGGTTTTATCAGAATTTTATCATTTGGACTGATCGAATATTCAAATGGCATATGCTTCGAGTCCTATTGAATTTATAAAAATTGCCAGGCCACGATTTTCCTATCCCCAACTTCCAAAACGATTACTGTATTTTTCCAAAGCTAGTATCGAACAACAAAAAATGGTCTACCTTGCTGCTTGATGATTCATGAATCCCAGGTTGTTTCTTGATGCCCCATCATCAATTATCAAATCATTAATGGATTATTAGCCATTATAAACCAGTCTTAGCCGCTATGAAAAACATTATTAGTCACCATTAACCACTAATTATATTGACCTGTTCTGTTAGTCATTATGAGCCATTATTTATCACCCACTATTAATTAATTAACCACTATCAAATAACTATTAGCCACTATTAAACAATTAATCATGTAAACTAGTTGTCCCTCCCGCTGCTCGGTCATCATAGCTCAGGCTGCCTGTTGCCATGATCGAAGGCGGTGAGGTGCGAATTTTCGGCGCTGTTTGGGGCTGGAGTGGGATGAAGCTACTGATGAAGCATATATATATATAATGTATATATATATATATATTATATAGGGTACCCCCATTTATGGAAAGCTCCAAATGAGGATTTGACAAGATTTGGCGCTGTAAAGTGGACATTCACCGGACCAAACATTGAAATTTAGCCAACAAACCAGCAATACATGCCAACATGTGACATTTGCCAATCAAACCCGGCACTTGGAAATCCACAATCACTAGTAATCGTTCTTTTTTCCAACTATAAACGCCATTTTGGAACCTCCACTTGGAGGTTTCCGAAGTCAGGTACCCCCAAATCATCCATTTGAATGGGATTGTCCATCACCATTTTGGAGTCCCCGAGCTGACACCGTTGCGGCTACAGCCGAGCTCGGCCAGGTGAACGCTGCCTATCCTCCTCCAAGTCCCCCGGGCCTGGCTGGCCTTTGCTTGCCAGGACCGATTTCTGCGATTTCTGGGGAGGAATTTGGTTGAAAAAAGGGAGCCTCAGGGAAAAAATCAGGTAACACATTCACATAATATATCTAATATATATATATATATAAGAGAGAGAGAGAGAAACTCCAAAAAACATATGGAGCATGAAATAATGAAATCCTATAGGCTAAACTATAGTGATAAATCCTTTTCTTGTTCCAAGAATGAAAGGGGTGAATATTTCCGAAATATTGGCATTGGATGGGCTGGATGGGCTGGATGGGCTGGATGGGCTGGATGGGCTGGATGGGTAAGTTCAGCTCAGAAACTACATAAGGGGATTATTTTTTGACATGCGAAATGACTGAACTCGCTTGAACATCATGATCAGAATATATGGGTATGGGTCAATACCTATAGATACATTTTTAGTGGGATGAACATCCATAAATCCCAGCTATTTTGGGGTTCACCAGGGGTACCAGGGTTTTGACCCATAGCCATATGATAAATAAGTTGGTTTATAAACCCCATTAACTATAGTTATATCTGCCATAAACCATAGTGAAATGGGAGTTATGTTCACCAACTTATCTAACGAACTGGGGCACCACCTTGTGTGAATTAAGTTTTTTTTCCACCCGAGTTTTCGGAGAAAAAAACATGTCAAAATCAGCGTCGTCCGACGAGTCCAGGAGTATCCTGCCGTGGTCAGTCCAGTAGCCCACCTCAAGGTGCGATCGCTGTGCAGTGAGATACGGAGAATTTAACAGACATGTAATTCGATCATTTCCTAGGGGAAGTCTATGGGATTTACCCTCTGGTTATTTCACATAGCCATGGTATAGATGGCCCATTTATAGATGGTTTAACCTATTAAAAATGGTGATTTTCAATCGTTATGTTAAATAACCAGATGGTAGATAGCTAAGATAGGTTGCTAGAGAATAAACCCTAATCTATTGGCAAGTTGAAGATATGTTAAGCAGGAAAGTGTCAGTTAAAACTCGTGTTACGACCATAAAACAAATGGGGACATATATACCTCAAGTTCATGGCCGTGTTGAAAGGGACAACTATTTTCTCAACGTCAAGTTTTGGCTGTTTTATGCCATTTTCCCACAATTTTCAGACACACCCAGGTGTTTATCGAAATTGCGGAGCCCAAAGGCACAATAATATCTCTTTGGATTCACCTGGTAACATGGTTTCATGTTTCTTGTAGTCCACCCAAACCTTTCTGTGGATATCACATTGAGTAAAGAACATTCTTTGTGTGTGTGTTGTTTTGATGTTGATGCAGCGATGCCTTAAATCATCAGTTGTGTTATATGTATCTAGTCTTTTCTCATGGTTGTCTGCATTAATCAAATTCGAGATAAACATACGCAGTACATTCTTAACCATATGACAAAATGCTCATTTCATGATAATCCATCACTTGCCAATACCTGGCTCAATCGCACGGTCACCGCTTTGAAGATGGCTACTCACTGAAAGAACATCAGACACTGGCTCCAGGACAACTTGTGCGGCTCAGCACCTTCCGCGAACTTTGCAAAAACCAGTTGCAGCAAGATGGTGGCGATTCTGCCAGTGATGCACATGCTCCCCGAGTCGTTCTTTGGCAAAGAACATTTCAAGGTACCGCCAGACCATCGCGGTCACTTAACCCCTGGCATGATCACTTTGAAATCCATTGCTCTCATTGCCTCTCATGACAATAGGCCATCCAAGCCATAGTCTTTTTGAATTGACCCTCTGCCAGCTTCTCTGGGTACCCTGCGGTATTCAAACATGGCAATGAATCATTCCAAATTTTCCCCAGACTTTCCCATTCAAACATCTTCATTTGTAGGGCATTTTCCAGCCATTCGCCTAGCTGGGGAGGTCAAGATGCGGTCTTCGCGCCTCCTACCGCGACGGTGCGGGAAATCTGCGGGAAATCTGGGGGAAATCCCGACTGCGGCCGCCATTTCACTGGCATTTAGCTCATTTGAGTGGCTTTGAAGCCATCAACTACCGCGCTTATTCGCCGTTTGTTCTCCCACTAAAACGGGGGGCCAGCACCCATTTGAAACTGGAAACGAACCAACGTTGTATTTGGATGAAATAAGAACCCAGCCTCTGGATGACCAACCTAGACTTGCAAAACATCAGTAATTGTCTGGTCTTATGGAAGGTGATGGTTTTGCTCGATGTGTTGTAACTGGTTCCCTTTTTTGCGCCACTTAATCCTAAACAAGGTACACATTACGGCTGGGCTTCAGGCTGCATCTATCACACATGTCCGTCCCTTTCCACACTGTAAGTTCATGATTCATACAAATTTATCAAACAATGATACTGTCAGGCAAGCATGGATAGAAGAATTTATCAAACAATGTCAGAGATTGGACATACACTTGCACTTTAGCATGTAGCTGATGTTTTTTTGTTTGCAGTGCAACGTGTATACGGCCCGTTGGCACGGTGCGTTTGGTGCGTTAAGGCTGGCTCCACCTCGCATTCTGCGCGAGAGGAGGCAGATCCCATGGGGTGAGCCATGATGAGTTCCATGGGGAAGCATCTGACCCAGTTTTACGTGTACCGTATTATAGCTTAGATAGATAGAATAAAATAGAAGAGAAAAGAAGAGAAGATAATAGAATAGAATAGAACAAACTCCATAGATAGATAGATAGATAGATAGATAGATAGGTAGATAGGTAGATAGGTAGGTAGGTAGATAGGTAGATAGGTAGATAGGTAGATAGGTAGATAGATAGATAGATAGGTAGATAGATAGATAGATAGGTAGATAGGTAGATAGGTAGATAGGTAGATAGGTAGATAGATAGGTAGATAGATAGGTAGATAGATAGGTAGATAGATAGGTAGATAGATAGGTAGATAGGTAGATAGGTAGATAGGTAGATAGGTAGATAGGTAGGTAGGTAGATAGGTAGATAGGTAGATAGGTAGATAGGTAGATAGATAGATAGATAGGTAGATAGATAGATAGATAGATAGGTAGATAGGTAGATAGGTAGATAGGTAGATAGGTAGATAGATAGGTAGATAGATAGATAGATAGATAGGTAGGTAGGTAGATAGGTAGATAGATAGATAGATAGAGATATAGATCAAAAATATAGACATACAAATACGGATGTGCCCAGCTGGATCTGATTGGGTTTTATGGGGCTTCACCACTGACCAACTGGTTTGCAGATCCAGGAGGGGGGCCTTACACAACTTCTGGATCTGCCAAGGGTGATCAAACGCCTTGAACAGCAACTTCTGGATAGACATGCCCTCTGGAAATCATGGCAATGGACCATCTTCCATTTAAGGATGTTTTTTCCATTTGAGTTTCAGTTGGCCATTTAGTTCGGACATTTCCCAGCCACGGTTTTAATGACATCAGAGGGTAGATTCGGAGCAAATCCCCCGCCATGACCCCGCACTGGCGCAGGCAGTGCTTCCGGGCTGTGCCACCAATGAGATTCAGGCGCAGGACAGCTGGGCATTGCCTCAATGGGCTGGGTGGGGTGTGAAAAAAAATGGCTACCTTTGAGCGGCCAATTTGGAAGGGAAAAAATCTGAACATGTCATGATCATGTGGGCAAATAGTAAAACAATGCCATAAACCATCCCCCAAATCACCGTACATAGGTTGTACAAACCATTCCCAGTCATGGATGGTTTATGATTGTTTTACCCACAGTAATCCAGTTGAACTGGGCGCTCGTAGCCCATTTTCAGAGCTTCACAACTGCTTCAGTATGAGTTTATTGTATGCCAGTGCAGCAGTGCGGGGCAGTCTGTTTTTTTTTCCCATTGGCTCAATTAGCATCGGCTTGAGGGTCGGATCCCTGCGGGTCTCCCAGGCTTTTTGGGAGGTGTGGCAATTTTTCGATGGGGCATAGGGTGATTCTCCCCTCTACTGGTTGTAAGCAGTATTGATTATCATTATCAAAATTACTTTACTTCGTGTGATCCCCACCATGACATTTATACATTTTCTTACTGGCAAATCTTCTGGCATTCTATCTGACATATCTTCTGACATTCTATTTGGCATTCTATCTGGCATATCTTCTGGCATATGATCTGGCATCTCTTCTGGCATATCTTCTGGCATTCTATCTGGCAAATCTTCTGGCATTCTATCTGGCATATCTTCTGGCACTCTATCTGACATATCTTCTGGCATTCTATCTGGCATATCTTCTGGCATATATTCTGACATATCTTCTGGCATTCTATCTGACATATCTTCTGGCATATATTCTGACATATCTTCTGGCATATCTTCTGGCATATCTTCTTGCATATCTTCTGACATATCTATCTGGCATATCTTCTGGCATATTTTCTGGCATTCTATCTGGCAAATCTTCTGGCATTCTATCTGGCATTCTATCTGGCATATCTTCTGGCATATTATCTGGCTTTCTATCTGGCATATCTTCTGGCATATATTCTGACATATCTTCTGGCATTCTATCTGGCATTCTATTTGGCATTCTATCTGGCATATCTTCTGGCATATCTTCTGACATTCTTTCTGACATTCGTTCTAACTTTCTTCTGCACATTCTTTGTCCCATATCTTCCTACATGAGGTCCGGCAGGGAACACTTGGCGTGGATACTCGCGTTTGAGGTCCGGCAGGGAACACTGGGCGTGGATGGTCGTGGTTGAGGTCCGGCAGGGAACACTGGGCGGGGATGGTCGTGGTTGAGGTCCGGCAGGGAACACTGGGCGTGGATGGTCGTGTTTGAGGTCCGGCAGGGAACACTGGGCGTGGATGGTCGTGGTTGAGGTCCGGCAGGGCACACTGACGTGGATGGTCGTGGTTGAGGTCCGGCAGGGCACACTGACATGAATCGCAGTGGAGCAGGAGGAGGACGAGGAGGACGAGGAGGAGGAGAAGGAGGAGGACGAGGACGAGGAGGACGAGGAGGAGGAGGAGGACGAGGAGGACGAGGAGGAAGCAACTGACATAAAATCTAACAACCCTCACCTGGCAGGTGGGGAAAAATAGTCTACCATACACCGTAGAATTCATCAAATCTAGTGAACTAAACCAACTTGCCTAACTAAAGGACTGAATCCTATGAAATCACCAAGTCTAACGCCTGGTGATCTCTCCCAATCACTGTAGTCGCCTTTTGTCACGTCACAAGGCCAGTGCAGCTCCACCCATCTTGGGGATCAAGAGCCGGCAGGCGAGTGACTGGTGGATTATCATGTTTGTTAGTACATGTTATTACTCTATTATTATGATTATTTGATATTAATTGTATGATCATCCTGTGTGTTGGCTTATTACTGTTGTTATTATTATCATTGGTATTAGTGGTAGTAGTATTGGTATTTTATAGTATGATTCATGTATTCAGAATATCTTTAGGGAATAATGAACATGACCTGAAGCTAAAGGTTGAGTTCCCGGTTTTTTGGGTTGAACATGGATCAGGTAGTCAGGTGATTGATTAGTTGGATTCAGATACTTTTGACGGATGATGGGCATTTTTTTAGTGCCCCAATAGTTGGATAGTTTCATTCATTAGATGCATAAATAGGTGGTTGATTATTTATATGGATATGTGTACATATATTGGTAGATATATATATATATATATAATACATATATATATATATTATATTAATACACATATTTTGGTTCCTATATATTCATGGTCGATACATTTCTTCTGCTTGTCGTACACTACATATACTATTTGATGGTTGGTTATTTCACATATACATATAACATATGTATGAAGCAAAGTTCTATGGGTATGCCATTAGCCTATAAGTTCACTTATAAACCCATCTAACTTGTTCGATATACTTGCATCACAAATAAAGTCAACACTTATTATAGTGAACTAAACCAAGTTAACTAATCCCTTCCTCCTAATACTAAACGTCCCCCTAATACTAAAAACAGGCATCCATCTCCAATTTCCGAAAATTTCAGTTTGGCCAATTTGACTTTTAATTGATCCCCTTTAAAAAACAATTCAAAAATCAACCTTCCATTTGTGGGTTCTCCCCCCTAATACTAAAAACTAATTCATCCCGGGGTGTTTAGTATTAGGGGGGCTAGTCCTACTCCCCAAATCCAAGCTGCCTGGCTACTCTAGCAATTAGGGGTAAGCTTCTAACTGCCATTTTTGGCAATATTTTAATTGCGTTATATAAGGAAATTTAATTGATTTTGAGATCGGAAAAAATAGTTTTTAGTATTAAGGGTTTTTATTTAGTATTAGGGGTAAGCTTCGAACTGCCATTTTTGGCAATATTTTAATTGCGTTATATAAGGAAATTTAATTGATTTTGAGATCGGAAAAAATAGTTTTTAGTATTAAGGGTTTTAATTTAGTATTAGGGGTAAGCTTCGAACTGCCATTTTTGGAAATATTTTAATTGCGTTATATAAGGAAATTTAATTGATTTTGAGATCGGAAAAAATAGTTTTTAGTATTAAGGGTTTTAATTTAGTATTAGGGGTAAGCTTCGAACTGCCATTTTTGGCAATATTTTAACTGCGTTATATAAGGAAATTTAATTAATTAATTAACATGACTTCGATTTGGTTCCCTAATAATAAATACCCCCCTAATACTAAAAACTACCTGCCGTGTTTTGTATTGGGGGGGGGGTTTAGTATTAGGAGGAAGGGATTACCGTTCATACTAAGTGGGTTATAGTTATACGTTATATAGGCTATATATCTTTAAGTTATAGATTTGCTGATATGCTATCCCTATGGTTCCCATGAAAATATTGGGTGGTTCCCATAATTGCCCACCATGATCACCATTAATTAAATCACGTTCAATCACCCTATTGGTTGCTAAAATCTTCGTGATCTCCCCATAGCCATTTTCCTTTTCCCTAGTTAGATTCCCAGGTTGGTGGTGGTTTGGAACATTTTTGATTTTCCCCAATAGTTGGGATGATGATCCAATCTGACTAATATTTTTTAGAGGGGTTGAAACCACCAACCAGTTCCCATGAAATCCCCATCTAACTAGGCTCAGTGAAGGGGCTGGATTCGAAACGTCTCAGGCTTCGCATGCCAAAGGAAGTTCAGAATCCTCGGTGCCTCACTTGCAATTTACCAGTGTGTAAGAGATTAGAGTCCACTCAACTTCAACCAAACTACCATCTGATGAACTAACAGGTGGCCATGGAAATCAACTATGATCAACTATGATATGGGTCATGATGTCCATTCCCCATAGCAAACTGCTAGGCCATTACCAGGGGGCAATGGCCCAGGGGGCAATGGCCTTTAGGAAACGTCTGTTCCGGCTGTGCGTTTGCTCAGGTGCAAACGGTCGGAATTCCGATTCCAAGCAGAAGAGACGCTGAGGTGCGGAATGGCAATCGAGGACAGGAGAACTGTGGGGATCAAATCAACTTGGAAATGAGAATCATGATTCATGGTACAGTAATCCCATTAATAGTGGTTAATAGTGGTACACAGAAATATCCATAAAAACTAATACCCATTATTTGTTAATATTAACTATCCCACTATGAATGAGAATCAACTTGGTACAGTAATCCCATTAATAGTTAATAATGGTTAATAGTGGATAAAAATTTCATGATTTATGGATATTTATGGTTAGTAGTAGCTAATGATAATATAAACGGGGAAGTATTGGTTAATGATAATGCTTTATATTCACCATACTAGAATGTAACATTCACCATTCAATGGTATTTGTCTTAGCTATTGCAATACTGGAATATATATATATATACACCATTATTGTTGTGTAAGATATGTATTATACAATGTGGCCCCACCCTGGTGATGTTTGTTGGTTTAGATTCCCCCCATGAATATTACAGGTGTCATAAACCAAAATCATTATTGGAGTTATTTCAACCAATTTAGCTATCGTAAACGGGGGGGCCCACATTGTAGACCTTCCAAGTGCCTAGAAAAATGGTGTACATTACATTCATTTGCCCGTTATGTTGGTATGTCGACATATTTTTGTTGGCTACTTGGAGTATAAGTATCTATGACATATGGGAGTCTGAAAATTGCGTATACGACCCAAGAAAACAAATCTTGAGGAACATGTTTCAGTGGATTTAGAGGAATATTCTATTTTTAGACAAACTCATCTTGAAAAAACGGACACATCACTATGTTTTGCTTGGTCATACATTTTTACACATGAAATTAATTGTAATTTCATACTTGCCAACGAATAAGAGCGTTACCAATCAAGAATCAAGAAACGCCAAGATTTGAAAACAAACAATATTGTAATATTGACATTATTTTATCAGTGGATTGGTTCCCAGATCATAGTGTTGTGTTTATTTAGTATGTGCTGTCCGTTCTATACCTACAAGTTCTGATCTATGAAAAAACCTCTATATTCTGAGCCAACAAAATGTTGGTTGAAGAAATGATTTTAACTTAACCTCCAGCAAATTTACATAGAAACACCCCAAGAACCAGCACATGAGCTTTCCCTGGAGCAAGGCATCTCAACTGCTTGCTGGTTGACAGGTGAACTACGTCACAGATACTGTCACCACGCCCACTCGGCAGAACAGGCCGTCAGACTCGTTGTCTCTTTTCAATCATGACTCGGGTGGCTGGCCTAATGTTGAATAGCTGGTAGTGATACATATCATATCATTTCTGTGTATGTTTGTGTTTGATAGATGGTTAATGATTTGATATATTAATGGAAATTATGATATACCATCTATTTGATAATATGATACTGTGTAAAAATTTAATGAACATCATGTTTTGTTTGACCCATGTTGAGATTCTGAATGAGTTTGAAAAGCGACATGTACCAACAAACTCTGCATTGTAGTCATGTTGGTAAAACACTGTCATAAACTAGCCATATGGGTTGATGGTTTGTACCCCCATAAAACAAGTCATTGTGGATGATGGATCCTATTGTTTACTGTTTTTAACATGCTTAATTACTATCATTAACAATTCATTAACTATAGTTATATATAATCTATAGCTATCATCATAGTTCTTGGACTTATTCCAACCTGTAGTTTAGTGATTTTTTTTTTTTTAACGGGTGCCCCACATCGTACCCCAGAATTAAATCCTTAGAGGTGATCGGAGCGTTGATCAAATGTCAATAGCCATTGCTTTATATAAAGAAATCTGGTTGGTGCTGAGCCTCCATAAATGATAACATATAATCACCTTTGGTAATGTTATATACCCTCTGGTCAATTAACATAGACCCTGGAAATGACCAATTTATAGTGGTTTCACTAGTCTTCCAACCCCGATGACTGGCAGGGTCGAACTGTTAATTTACTGGAGGGTACCATCTGGTTGGTGCTTTGGAACACATAGCACTCGTGGAGGTGTCTTGGAGATGACACGGAGATGACCCAGCATGAAATTTGCTCGTCCAACATATTAATGACCAACTAGTAAACATGGAAAATCACCATTTTTAATGGGTAAATCAACTATAAATTAACCAATGACTTAATTGCTTGGTGGTTTGGAACCATGGAATTTTATGACTTTCCATTCACTTGGGAATAGTAACCCCAACTGACGAACCCCATCATTTTTCAGAGGGGTGGGTCAACCACCAACCAGAAATAATCACACATAGCCTTTTTTGGTCGAGGCCATTTTTATATTGAAAATGATGATAGTCAAATCATTGTTGATAGAGAAAATGGGAGGATGATGGGAAAACAAACGGAAAATTATGGTATACGATGAGAATACTGGCAATGTGTCCTCAAGTTTTGCTCAGAAAGGTCATAGGTCATGACGCATCTCCACGTCAACTCATGTCCGACGTGGGAAGACATGTCGGACCTAGTGCAATCCACGTATTGATCAAACCTGCTCGGACTCTGGGGAAAACAAGATGTGTATGAAGTTTCTTAATGTTTCTTTCATGATCCTGATCTCAAGGCTTCTTTTTGGAAGACACGGCATTTACTGTAAATGTCTCAATGCTTGCCCCATCAGTTTTCACAGGCAGGTCATAATTGATGGCGCCCCAAGCTTCAAAACAAAGCTCGCCCGCTCCTCTTACACTTCTCAGGTAGGTCAAAGGAAAGTGGCAGTGGCAGGATCGCACCATGTCCATGGCTATGGCACCAGAGTAGTAATCCGGTTGGTCCAAAAATCATCTCTGGGACCCCGGCTTAGAGTATTATATACCCTCTGGTAAATGAACATAGGCCCTGAGAATCACAAATTTTTAGTGGAAACTAATCTTCCAACCCCTATCTGCCAGGATCTATGTTAATTTACCAGAGGGTATATATTCTCTGACAAATTGATCTTTGTATATAAAACATGTTTCATTTGTAGATGATCTACCTGGTAAACACAGTGATTTTCTGTAGCTATGGCTATGTCGTTGGAGGGTAAAACAGTGGACTCATACCACACTTGGGGCCTTGATCGCCTCAACTTTGCAGAAAACGCACAGGTTTTTCAATCATTTGATTTCGAGATATTTCTAGATCACTACATTCTTAAGCAAGCCAATACAAAGTTCAAAACCCGTTTTGATCATCATCAGTTAAACTTTAAACTGGGTCGCATACAAAACATCGCCGAACATTTTTATTGAGAACGTAAATTGATGTTCTCAGCCTCAAAAATGCGTTGGGAAGCTCAGAGATTGTGACTGACTGTGGCTGCGCGAGCTGAATCATCGTTTTATTCTTCTACGGTTGAAATGGGATATACCGGTATACGGTATATACATGTATATACCCAAATTATTTGTGGGATCAATTTATGGCAATAGTGTAGACCCCCATTTATTGCCTTTCTAATAGGGACAGCCAGCCATATCTACGGCGAACGGGGGAACCTCAGTTTGGAGACTCATCCTGTCCTGAAAGCTCCAAGTTGGTTCCCTCTTTCTGTATCCCCATCGATGTGCATCCCAGTTAGTAGTGATTTAGTCATTATAAGTGATATTACATGTTATTACACTATATGTCTATACTATACATGTTCTTAGATATATTAATATAAATACAGTATATACACATGCAACTTGTGTATAACCCAATTTTACTGGGACATCATATCGTTAGCCACGAGCCAAACCGAACTCAAGCGTGGTGAGTGCCATGGTGATGGCCCATGTCTTTCATATTTTTCAGAGGGGTAGGTATACCACCAACCACTTTGCCATGTAGAAAGTTATAGTTGATCAATGTTGATTCTAATACATTCTAATATGATTTAACTAAAACATGTTGATTTTCCAGTCCGCAAAGTCTCGAATTAACAGGTCATGTCCGTAAACTGGAGTAAATCCCCAGCATTTCAATGACAAGCCACTGCGCAAAGCCTTCATTGAGGTGGTCCATGAGGTTTCCAGCATTGATCGTGGCAGCGGGGACACCAAATGATTGGATTGCGAAAAACCATGGTTTGCAACAAACAAAGCATTTATGCTGATAAACAACAAGTAAGGATTGCAACAAACATCCTTTTCATTCCTCTTCAACACATCGGTTTACGATTAAGTAAGTATGTTGATGCTTGTGTTTCTTTTCTTCGAGGACGTGTTGTTTTCGATTAAGCCATAACGCCAAAAAAGAGATTCGTTTCAGCATCGCATGGCTCGAAACTGTTTCGGGGAGGGGCCACTCAAATTCATCAGCAATCTCGAAGGTGCGAATAAAATTGCAATTGGTTACAATTGCATACAAGCGGGATAACCCCATAATTCTGTTATCTAAGTACCCACCCACCATTGTTTTACACTATCCGTGAATTGCGGACATCAGTAGTAGACCATGTGTCTCACTGTGTGCAAAACATTCCGAAGCGTTTGGACTTAATTGGCATGTGCACAGTCACCTGAAACCGCAAAAAATATGGGGATGGGTCTTAAGTTACCTATTGTTACCATATTTGGGGGAATAAACATCCAGCCTTAACCAGCACTTCTATGTTGGGTACGTAGACGTAGGCACCAGAGTTGCTCCTGAGAGATGGCTTCTGATTGTCCAGCCATGTAGATCCATCCTTGGGATAGCTGGCCATGTTTTTTTCTCGTTTTCCCCATTTGTTTGTGTTTAAATCAACTATTAAAATGGCCATGTTCAATAGCAAAGTGTTCGTTTACCAGATGGTAATTATGGTTGGTTGATGTTGGTTTAATTCGATGTTGGTGGTGCAATAGTCAGTCTCCTGTGGCTGCTAGGATCCCCAGTATCCCTCACTCAACTCTGACTCTGAGTACGACTTGCGATGGGACTTTGATATCCCCGGTATATCCCTGAATGTTCCCAGCTTTACTACAGCTATACATTACCCTCTGCTAATTTAACATAGCGAACTGGAACATCACCATCTATAATAGGTAAATTATCTACCAATTGGTAATTTTCCATAGCTATGTTAGTTTACCGGAGGGTAACCCCTTGTGCCAATATTCATTCCTTTGGTTGGTCCGCATGTTCCCATTATTCGTTCGTCCGAATGTTGCTGGTCACAATGTGATTACCAATGTTATAACCATTATCACCATATACTTTAACCTTTTCCCAAATCGACGTAACAGTTGCAACTTTGGAAATATGAGGTATATATCATCTACAACATCCTATCTTATGGCTTCTATCAGTACCTTTGGGAAGTACCATATTCTCACAATACTATGGATGGAAGAAACCCTGCACCGTTTGTAAATGGCTCATCTCATTATAATCCCATTATTTATAAGTTGTTTCATACTTCCCAATACTTACCAACTGGTGCAGGATGGCCTCTTGGCTTGTCCATTCACAATATGACTATAGCATAATATGATTGTCCCATTTGACCCACAATATGATTGTCTCTTGCCTCTACAAGGTAGCTACAAAGGTTGCATTGGTGCGGTGGCCAAAAAATATTGGGGCTGTGTCCGACGTGTAGTCCGAAGCGGGGATCGGCCTCGGTCCAACCATTTGTTTTATATCAGGCCGTTGATGGTATAAATCAACACAGACACATTAGACATGGTAAAAAAAAAACGGGCAGGAAACGGGCATAATCAAATATATATAGTTTAATAAAGAACACACTCTCTCTGCTCCAGCGTCAGACTGTTTTTTTGTGCTGCTTCTCTGCCTGGAAAAATCTTAGTAATTTAAAGATGTAGATTCTAGTTTTGGGCTTGAACATGGACACATCATATCACCAAGTGAGCCACAAGAGGTACTATTGTTGATGGATTGTCAAGATAGGTTTATAATATATACATACCTGACTGATTTGGGATTAGAATCACCCAAAATTAGCGGGATACCTATCAACGGAGTAGTGTAATGGGATGGGATAGGTGTATTTATCATTACATACCATAGCTCCAATAGATACGATGCAATGTGGGAGGTAGTATGTAAAGGGATTTAACCTACCTTTGCAACCAAAGCCCTATGAAAAATATACAACGGTGCCCTCAAGTTTTCTTTGTTGGATGAAATACTTGGAATCTGGAGAATCTGAAGAACATGTCACTTATGTTAGTAACATGCACGGGGAATTAAACAAAATCATCCGTTCTCTTTGTTGTTGACGTCTGTTTATTCAAGCTAAACGGCTATGTAAATATTTAAAGACATCAAATAAACCCCAAATTGTAAATGTAATGTTGCTTAACTTATACAGCATATTAGTTGTTGGCTTCGTTCCAATTTTCTGTTGGCACGATTTTCATATTTTGTTGCGTCAACAACGTTCCATTTCCTGGTTGCAAGGCCAACTTTTTGTTGTTGTTGTTGTCGTCAAAAATCCACATATTGTTGTTGTCCAAGATCCGTTGTGTGTTTTCTGGTCCATATCCCAGCTAAGCTTCGCTAAGCTTCCAATGTTGGATTGTCCAATGGTGGTTACCCCAGTCAAGAATGGACACACGCAGAACAGGACTCGCTGAAACAAATTCCCCTTTGACTTATTCGTCCTGTGAGAACCTTAGTTATGGTGAACTACAAACCCTAGTTTTATTGTAGTCGCACACCCATTTTCCCATCTTCAGGCCTATATTGTAGGGGTCCATCATGGTAGTCCTTGTTGCTGAATGTACAAAATACAGGTTGGTGGTTTGGAACATTTTCTATTTTTCCATTTATTGGGAATAATCATCCCAGCTGACTAATATTTTTCAGAGGGGTTGAAACCACCAACCAGAATAGTTGCGACATATTCTTATCTTTCATGGTCACAAGATTCCCAGTACTCTCCAATTTCCCACTAGTCCCCCAATAGACCACCATCATTAGGATGTAAACCAGCAGAACCAGTTTCTAGATATGTATACCGACTACATGCCCATTATAATCCATGACATATTAGCACTATTTTTGCTGGTTAGATCCCCAATCCAATGCTTCCCCATGTTTTTGCTGCTGAATCCCAATTCTACCACCATGTCTGTGGTTACATCACCATTACCTCCATTATTTTGCTTAGCGAATTCCCTACAATATACCGACCCAATCGATATCCCCTAAAAAAAGACATCATATCCCCATAAGATCCATAGATATCCATAGTATGATCACTCCCTAGACCATCCAAGTACCCTAAAAAATGATGTGTTACCCCAAAATCTTAGTTTTTTCATGTTTTTAGGAGATTAGTGATCCCCCATTGATAAAGCCACTTTATTATTGAAGTCCCGTCTTTTTCTTGGTTTTAATGGATATATACTTAAAACACATATCCCCGTTATATCCCTATGACACTATGTCATTCCATTATTAGTATTGCCTAGACTCTCCAAGTATCTTTAATATCTACAGGATTCTACAGGTATTTTCATATCACGATATCCCCATTATATCACCATATCCTGATTATATCCCTGCAGGAAGGGCCACCCGAGTTATAAGTTGGTATCATACACCATTGTTATTGTAGTGTTTGACCAACTTAGCTAACGAACTGGGGCCCCTTCCTGCATGATATTCCATTATGATTGTTGTTTGTCAATTCTTATTATATATATATATTGTTGCTCCATCGATTAAAATTGTTATACATATATATATATGGCCCAGCGTTTGGTGGTCACCCCCTCCCCCCGAGATGGTGATGGTCCCTATATGTATGTGTAAATAATAAATATATATATATATACAATATATATATATATATACATATATACAATATATATATATACATATATATATGTGTGTATGTATGTAAGAAGTGTGTATATATATATATACACATGCGTGTGTATACGTATGTAGTATGTGTATGTGCAAATGTATACAGTATGTATATGATATGTATGTGTATACGCAATGTATCCCTCCCCCCCTGCGGATGTGGTGGGGGAAGGTGGGTGGGGGGTGTGGAGCTTGGGTGGTGGGGGTTGTAACCCCCCATACCATATGGGAGGGGGGGAAGCGCGAACACGAGACACGGGACCATTTATATATATATAACAATGGTGTATTATTATATAACAACTATCATATATATATATAATTATATATTATCATTACTATCATTGTTGTTCTTCTTCTTTATTTTCTTTTTGTTTTCTTCCTCCATGGTGTATTAAATATGTTGATATCATTCTTATCATCGTTCTCATACACCATGAGCCAAGACCTTTCCAACAATCGTCCCAGGCTGAAAACTGCAGTGACTGCGTTGTGCTCCCCTGGCGTTTGGCGCACACGGGAAGCACAGCCAGCACTGGGCCCGCCATTCCGCCACGTCTCTGGGGATGGCTGGAGATGGCGGCTATGGGTGGAAATGGCTGGTGATCCGATTGAAGTCACGTGACATGTGTTTTTTTTGGGCGAACCCACCTTGACTTGCTTGGATTTGCTAGCCCCCCAAAAGATATAGAACATACTCCGAGTCCATATTTTCCAAATGGTGGATGAACCTGGGACAACAAATCACCTTCAGCAAACCCATGTGAGCCATTAATAATTAGAGTTCTTTGTTCCTGCTATGGGTGATTACCCCAGTACCACCCAGGTAGTATAGCTCTCTATAATAACCAATAACTCATGGTATTTGAGGGTTTCTATAAATGGGGGTACCCCAAAAGCTGGATGGTTTATAGTGAACATAATAAAAAAACAAACAATTGATGATTTAAGGGTACCTCCATGACTTGGGAAACCTCCATATGGTTGGGAAACTCTTAGTAGTTCCTTGACTCCCTAGTTGACAGGCATATTATTGGGATCTATGATGATACGTGGGATATGTAACCAACTCAACAGGATATCTTGCGAGGTGGGGCTTCCTAGAAAACTAAATTGGTTTATGACTACAATAACTGTTGGGTTTATAGGGAATACATCGAATTAGTTCGATGGGGTTATAAACCAACATATTAACGGGGGTTACTTTGTAGAAGATTGATTGTATGTAATGTGCATAAGGATCTATTGGTGAAATGTGTTATTTTTTTCACTTGGATAGTTTATGTTCAATATTATTCAATACTATTGAATATTATGGATATAATTGATTAGAAACTGGTTTCAACATATGGGATTTAGCTTAAAACCGATCAACATCGGGATTTAACCAGCACACATGCTATATTAACCTTTTGGTCATGAACCAGCCGATATAGAGCATGTTAACCACCAAAACGTGTTTTCTTTACTTCCTATAGGGATAGAACCAATGAATACTCGATATGCAACCGTGGCCCAAACCATGGGTAATTTGACTTACAGCTGGGCAAAGTACTGGTTGAATAGAGAGGACATATTTACACCTCGATGCTTGAACATAGTAAATATGTCCTCCATGCCATCCTGGCAGCCGAGGATGCTTTCCGGACCACGATAGCAAGAACGCACAGGAAAGTGAAGGCAAAGGGGTTTTCAGATTGAAGGGGAAGGTCCGGGAAGGATCCTGCCAAAAAGCCGGGATCTCCTCGAGTCGTTGGGGAGATGTATATAATTTCTATATATTTTAGAAATAAACATAAATAAACCATTGGGATGTATTTAAGCTATAATTGGGAGTACAGATTGAAGATTGCATCATGGGGATATATGTTCATTTGAGCCACTCGGGATGTCAAAAAAAAGCCAGGTATTTGAGCCATTGACATTACCTCTGTTGATGGGTCATTGTAATGGATCAGTATTTTTCATGGCTCGTGTAGTGGATAGTTGTGGGTACCGAGGGCCCTTGGGGAGATCCAGTCCTTTTGGGTGATAAGTTTGATGAATCCCCATTTATAGTGAAAGCACACGTGGTTGTAGGATGTTTTAGGCCAACAGTTGGTGGAGATGTATCAGATTTATAACGCTGAAATGACTGAACATGTTGTTTGGGCATGTTTGGGCAATGCCAAGAGCGTGCTGATGACCAGACTATTTCCATAGCCTCATGTTGGGGCTTCCACTTCTTCGAAGCAAAGAAGGTTGATCTCATGATTTCCTGAGGATGATGTTTCAATCCCATAGAATCCATGGTGCTGGAATATATATATATATATATATGCTAACATAAAGGGGGTATATTGATGGGATCCATGTTACCATATATAGCAGCACCATGGATCCGTCATGGGAATTGGATGGAATTGGTTTGTGTTCGGATTCCCCAGCCCAATCATACATCCCTGCAGCTTGGTGTAACGTCACCATTGACCAATCATAGCTGTTGGTTTCCTAGATGCACAGCTCCCACTGTAGCTAAAATGGTTGAAATAACTCCAATAACTTTGGTTTATAGGTGATATATCTATAGTTAATGGGGTTTATAAACCAATTTATAACTAGGGGGCACCACCTTGGACTTTGAGAACTCCAGAGAATCCTCCGAAGTCTTGGAGCATTTGCAAAGCTGAAGCCCTTTCCAGCCGAACAAGGCATGCAGAGAAAATTGTGGAGTCATGGAAGCAAGGTGTTTCAACCAACTTGTTCTGTGCAGTGTTGACCTATTCTTAGGTAACCCCGTTTTGTAGGTAAATTGAATTTCAAGTTTGATCAGATCATATGTAATATATATATATATACACATACTAGTATAGCGGCTTTAGCAAATGTAAAACTGCCCCCAAAAAAGAAGACAAAACACTTCCAGCCCTGACATAAAACGCTTGGAATTTCGCTCCTGAGTTAAAAAATGGATGATTGTTCCCCTTATTTGCTTCACGGCTTCAAGCATAACATTCTACATCATTCCAATACTCCAATACTTGCTACAAAAAGGGCATTCGAAGAAAAAATAAACACAATGGAACCAGGTAGCCTTTCCGGGGTTTGTCCATGGTGTAATCATCCGCGGGCGCCTGGCTCTTGCCATGGCCTTTGTTTCGCCGGCAACGCTGGGTACACGGCAAAGCCGTGCCGACCTGCCTGGGCGGCTCCTGCAGTAGATGCAGAGATCTGGTACCTTGGAACGAGCAGCTAACCTCGTCATCCCATGTGGAGCCGTCAAACAATAGTAGGTTTCTGTTAGTTCATAGCTACAATAACTATAGGATTTATGGTGGAGATAGGATATCTACAGGTGAATTGTGCACATCTTAACCCGTTTGGAGGGCCAACATTGTTGATTATGGTTTGGACAGGGAGAATAATCGCAAACATGGCGCCCATCTCGAGTTTATATAGGACTTTCTTGGCTTGATTCTTCTAGCTTGCTCTGATACCAGGAATTGGACATGAATGTGACATGAATCAGAACCATTGTTGGATCACCTAGTTCTGTTTGCTAAAAAAGGCCGGTTGCTATCCAGTTGGGATTCTTGGCAAGAACAAATCAAAGTACTATAGGGAACATATCATTCTTACTAGTGGTTTTAGTGGTTGATGTAATAATCCTTTCACTTGCTGAGCATTGTTTTGCCATGGTTTTGCCAAGATGCGGCCATTAGTCCGAGCCTCCAGTTCTTTCCCTGCAGGAAGCGGCTTGAAAACACAAAAGAGCCAAAAGCGGACCAAGGGCTTGCGAAGCGGTAGCAATGTAGGCGCCCGGTGTTTCGCGAGGAACAACAACGACTCGACTCGATGATTCACTGGCCTTAGGTTTTTTTCAGGATTTGGAAACCGAATTCCTCATACCCTCCGGTAATTTGTGGCTATGGAAAATGGTTCATTTTTATGGATAATTGACCTAGTTTTACCTATCAAACATGGTGATTTTCCACGGCTATGTTAAATTACCAGAGGATAATTGTTAAAAGAAACAAACTTTCGGGTTGGGTAGAAAGTTGGAACTGGTTTTCTCAGATGTCCCTGTTTCTAAAGAGTCGTATTCACAGTTCTTGTTCCCTGAAGTTAGCTGAACGAGTCGCAAGGCACTCACATTGTTGATGGCTACATGTTTCTGATTTTCATCCCTACTTATGGACCCTCCAAGCACCTAGAAAAATGGGGTAAGTATGGGTAAGTGATATGATATACTGTAATATATCCATTACTTTGTTACTTTGGCTATATTCTACCAATTTTCATGGATGGTCTAGGTACACAGAGTGGTTAGTTTTAATTGACCGTTTACCCGTTTTTTCCCGTACGTCGCCAGACGAAGCGCACGGCAGTTGCTGTGAAAGATGCTTCGACTACATCATCACTGGTGACTTTTCGGGTCTCTACCGAGGTAGCTCAGTTGAGACGGTGATAACGGTGACGCTGAAGGATTTCCTACGGAAATGGAGGTGAAGTGAGCTCTTCAAAATGATCCTGGTTGAATCTGGTTGAAATAGAGACTTATTATACTATACCTGGGTTGGATTGGGGATTTAGATCTAGACACTCATAGTAGGGAAACCCAATGGCTCACTTGAATTTGCTGAAGGCGATGTGGATGGATGTGGATGCTGAATCCTCATCGTAAAAACATTTCCAAGCTACACCGGCATGGAAATCATGGAGCAATTTTAACTATCACCCGAAAAGTGCCTATAATTGATATATATATATATACAATATACACATATATTGTTATTTATATATAGATATATAAATATATATATATATTATGTGTATTTTATATATATATATATTATGTGTGTTATATATATATATTATTTCTATTTCTGTTACATGATGTTGCTTTGCTTTTCCACTTCTTTTTCAAAGGGTTGGTCTCGCTGTGATGAGTGATTTGCCGCGCCCAGGGGCCAAGAAGGGGATTGTGACTTTCTTCACCAACCTGTCGGAGCGGTATCAGAACTTCCAGAAATGGTTCGCCGTGAAGCGGAAGGCGATGGGCTACAGCCGGGACCTTTTTTTTTTGGTTCCGGGCCTAATATTATTGATCCATGGTTAATTTGGGGAACCCCCTGATTTAAGAAACCCGCAAGATTCCACCAGAATTCAATAGGATATCCAGCCAACCGAACGACAACAGGAACAGGAGCAGAGGGCCATGGACAAGACCATAGAGTATCTCGTTGAACTTCGTGCTGGTTGATGCCGAAACGCGGGGTTACAGTTTACAGATACTTTGTATCTTTACATATGTATACATATGTATATAGTATACAAAAACATTACATACATTACATACATACATACATACATACATACCTACCTACCTACCTACCTACCTACCTACATACCTACATACCTACATACCTACATACCTACATACCTACATACCTACATACCTACATACCTACATACCTACATACCTACATACCTACATACCTACATACCTACATACCTACGTACGTACATACGTACATACGTACATACGTACATACGTACGTACATACATACATACATACATATGTCTAACAAAGGTCCAAAAGTAAATTCCTATGAAATTGGTGATACAATACACTTAAATATTTTTATCGACCTACGATACAACACATTACAACTGTATACAATTGTTAGATAGATAGATAGATAGATAGATAGGTAGATAGGTAGATAGGTAGATAGGTAGATAGGTAGATAGGTAGATAGATAGATAGATAGATCAATAAATCAATAAATCGATAGATCGATAAATCAATAGATCGATAGATCGATAGATAGATAGATCGATAGATAGATAGATCGATAGATGGATAGATGGATAGATGGATAGACAGACAGACACATAGAGTAATCCCTAAAGTTGAATATCCCCCCTCAATCAGAAGGGAATGGCGGGCAGTGGCACCAGGACTGCCATGCCATGCTTCCCTTGCTCCCCAAGCAGTACTGAGGGTCCTTTTAAATCGTCCCAAGTAGGGTTATACCCAACTGGATAAACCTCAAACTTTGGGATGATTTATGATTGGGTTTACTAAGATTATCAGAAATCCCGGGGAAGGAAATCTATGAAATCTATCCTCCGTGGCACTGCTTTCAACTGAGGCACCCATACCCAAGGATCAGAAAAATTGTCCACACCAATTGCTTTGAGATCGTTGGACTCTTGGCAACGGTGCAGGAAGCTGGAAACTAACAGTTGGGACACATTGGTCATGGATCACATCCCCAAGTGCTTGTGTAATGGATCTCAATGGTACAAAATGGATGGTGAAATTGTTAAAAACCATCAATTTAAAATGTATCTTGAGATCCATTGGGTTTTAAGTGTCCCTTTGTTGTTTTGCCTTTTACGGATCAGCAAGCTGATCCCTGTCAAAGAGTATATCATTTGGATTCATCTGGAATGTCTGCAAGCCACCCAGTGGGAAGTCTTCCACTTCTGCCATAGTAATTACATGTGCCATGGTCAAAAGCCGGATTATGTTCCTGTCAAAGGTAATCTTCGAACATATAATTAAAGGGATTGCTATAATATATTCGCTATATATTTTAAAATTGGGTTATGTGTCCTTTAAACATGGTAGGATTAATAATACGCTCAATGATTCGCAATTTGACCAACTTCGCGTTGAATTGAAGCGATCTTGGGCTGACTGGGATGACCATCCCCAATTCGTAACTTGACCATGGGAAAAGTGCGAAAAGTGTCCCAAAAGAAGGGGTCATATCGCTGGTTGGTGGTTTGGAACATGACTGGATTATGACTTTCCATGTGGGTGTACCCCTAAACCCAATGGTTAATGATCATTATCCCTATTAAATGGCTATAATTGGGAATATACCCTATTTTCAGACAAACCCATGTATTGGGAATAGTAATCCCAACTGACGATTCGTCCATCATTTTTCGGGGTAGGTCAACCACCAGCCAGTTCATGTCACAGGAAATCTTGTGATCTTCGCTAACACCTTTGTGGTTGGTTGGCAAGCAGAGCTGCTGCCACACACGGTCACGGATCGAGACAAGTGCCTTGGAGGCAGGTTGATCGGAGAATTCTGACTGGTGAGTCTTTGTAGATGAACATAGTACAACTAACAATAGTATATTGAAGAAAGAAAGACACTGACTTATATAGTCATATAATATATAGAAATATGCAAGAGTAGTATATTATAGTATACTATGTTTCTTGGTTTGAATTGTGAACCACCCCAAAAAGATAGGAAAGTAAAATCCTATTGCAAAATACCGGTCAGCTACCTTTTTATTGGGGAAGACCATAATCATCATTCATTTTTGGATGTAAACCCAATTGTGGCCGATCCCTATATTTGGCCGGGGTCAAGACATAGGCTTTTCAGTTCAGCTTTCGGAGTTCGGACCGCTCACATGCTTGATTTGGGCACACTATCTCCTTTTGCCTCACATATGTCATATTGTTGTACATCTATTTGGGCCTTTTTCGGGGTAAATGCTATTGTACATGGAGCATATGAGCTGTGAAAAAGAATGAAGGCGCAAGCAAATTCCAGTGACTCTGTGTGAGATCCCCTTCAACATCGGCCACCGAAATGGCGGGCTTCAATGGTGTCAACCACATTGGATGACGCTTGCTGAGCCTCAGGATCTTTTCCCGACAAGAACTCCACCAAATCCAGACTTTCTAGGGATATGTTTAAAAGTGTCAGGTTAATGATTTTGATGGTAAATCATGACTTTCCGGGGCCAGACACCCCCATCAATCAGCTAGGATTTCAGACTCCTAGATATGAAATTGGCGAGCGGGGATCAAAACTGACATCTCCCTTAATTGTCCTGAATTGAATTGATGAGTCGCAGATCAATTCTGAGTTTTTCGGATGTTTCGCCTCCTGTTCAACAACCGGGTACCCTTTTTTTCAAATCCCCGGGGGATGAGGATTTAAAGCTGAGGTTAGTGTCGACGATCTTGGAAAACTTCTTCACCTTTGCATTTGTTGTTCCTCGGTGGCAAAGCCGATACACCAGTTTCTGGCCTTCGCTGCTGGGGGACCTAAAGGTGGTACCGACTCTTAAACTTCAAAAAGGTAAAATGAGGTGTCAGAATTATATATTATAAATCCAGTATATAATATATATATATACACATGTGATCTTCTTCAATGGTTCAATGATTCGTCAGGAGACTTAAACAACCTAGGGATGGGCACTTCGAGGGGCTGATGCCAATGGCGTGAAGCACTCAATGCTCCGAATGATCATTGCAACACCCTTAGCATCACCAGCTGGGCTGGTGATGGTTGAAAAACATGCTATTCCCTTGCTCCCACTGAACATGGAAAGTGTGTTTTCATGTTTTTTTTTCGGGAAAAGTGGGAGAAAACGACAAAGTTCGATGGTAAACCCCCCCTTTTGGATGGCTTCCCTGGCTGGGGATAGATTGGATGGATGAGACCCTATTTTCTGGGTAAATTTCATCACGACCTCACTGTTCTCCCTCACTGGAAATCATGGTTAGGATTCGGGCAATCATCCCCAAATGGCCGAACAATTCAGGTTAGTGAAATATGATTTCATTTACCCAGATTGATTATATCATTATGGCTCATAGTCTACCAATGTCTACCATACACCATAGAATTCATCAAATCGAGTGAACTAAAGTGAACTAAACCAACTTGCCGAACTAAATGATTGAATATTATAATTTACCCAGATATTTTGGGTGGATGGACATCCACTAAAATCCCAAGTTTTCAGCCAGGTGGAATTGTCCTTGTCGACTCTTTGTTGGGGATGGACCTCCCTGCTGGAACGAGCCTTGTCGCCATGGATCCTTTGGAATGGGGTGGAATGGGTTACCTATATGGTTACCTTACAGTTATGGCCATGTATCAGTTGTAAGTACTGACAAAACCCCATTTATAGAATGTATAATCCCATAGAAATAACCACTTATAACCGGTAAATGGCCATAACTGTAGAATCTTGTTGAACATCTTTATGGGTATGATGGAAAAATACTGTAATCACACACACACATTTTACTTGGGAATTCTTTTTGTAGGATTTTTAGAAGGACTATGATATTTGGACATGGCAACCCAACTTGCTTCTAGAATAAGATAGCTTCTGCCGGATTTGACGAGCTACCCACAGTGAGGGCATGTAAGTTTCGGTGCATCCTCAGTCCTGCTGCTCCACATGAGTTTGTTAGGAGACGGCTCTGTTCAAGGGAAACTTTGAGGGCAAAAACACCTACAGTTCAAGCGTAACATGTTGTAACATGTTGTAACACTATGAAAAGAGTAACACATTGGTGTCCTGTCATCGTTGAACATCACCCCAGTGAATGTCCAGTAAAGCTCTCCGTGTTTGGTGGGCGGTCTCCATTTATGTCATTGATCTATTTGTTTCCACAAGAAAGGATAACAACACAACATGGATACCACCTTAAACCAAGCGATTTGTTGATTGTATGTGTTGTTTTCTGCATTTCTTCAACACATCCAAAACAGTAACATTGGTTGAAACGGATTTTGTACCAATGCATGTTGTACCAAAGGGATTTTTGTTACCATAACATCTTTATACCAATGCATTTTCAAAGGGATTTTGAACCAAAAAAACACACCTCAAAATTCCCTGGAAACTGCCAGGAGAGAATTGGATGGACGTCTTCTTGGTCTTCCTGGGAGTGCTAACCACCTGGATCCTGGGTCCCTTTGGGATCGAGGTGGTCCCTTGGTCGCGTAGGGACGCAAGGGATGTTTCACAGATGGGGAAATCCATGGGCAAATTCCCATCTAAATGTTAGGATGAGCATCTGGAAATATCCGCGGCTTGCTATTGAAACTCATCGTGAATATTGCTACATCATATGTGTGTATTTATATACATAATATTTTATATATATATATACATCGGCCATGTTCACCCATTTTGGCTATGTTAAATTACCATGTAAACAGCTTCAGAGTCTTTAGATAAAGAAAAGTACACGAAACTGCAGGGCCCCCAACACCCGTTTAATGCCCGTTACTACGGTTATCTATTCACACTTATAAATGTTTATATAGTGACCATTTGGGTATGGCTCAAAGATGGTGTGCCAACACATCCACAGGACTAGATATTTTCGTACCATCATTTTTTTGGTGGTCAAGCCATACCTGTATAGTTCCAACCATGGCCATGCAACAAGTGGGAAGCTAGGCTAGATGAAGCTAGATCACTGATCTTGATGCTTTAAATAAGATGCACAGTCATCATATGTGGTCAAATCTCTCCGATTCCAACCAAACGTTTCAACATGTGTCAACATCTATCAACCCACTTGGCTGATGATGGGGCAAGGTTCACAACATACACACCTCTCCGGACTTGGAGTTTGCAGAAAAATGACTGTTGCCTTAAACCGTTTAGCCCATGAAATCCCCCATAAATTCCAGTAAATCTTCATACATCCCATTAAATCAACAGTAAATCCTCATGAAATCAGCATTAAGTCCCCAAAATCCATTGAACCCCCCCTTGATTTTTTGGGACGAAGCTGGGGACATCGTCCTGGTCAGGACTTCCTGCGGAAGCTCACCGCCTTACGCACCCTGCGCTTGATCCGCCTCGCGCGCGCCGTGCCTCCGGTGATGGATCTGACTGGATCTCAATGGATCAAGGGCATTTCGGGATGGATTGTGACTGCTTACAGTGGTGAAAAAACTATATAAATAGTATCCATGGAAGAGTTTTGCCTTTTTGGATCGTGGATCATCAAGCCACTAGGTCACCAAGGGCAAGAGTTTTGTTGGTACCAAGAATCTATAAGATTCACACAACTACCGGTCATCAAACATGGCAACATCCCCATGAAAAATGGAGGTTTAGAGCATTTATACTTGGGGACATCATCTATAGATGAGAAATTTCCCCTAGCCACCGGGTGATTGCCGAAGTGCAATTGATGGGGAGCCGTCGCAACTCACCTGACTTCAAATGTCATTATGTCATTGATAATACATCTATAATATGTCATTAACAACATATCAACATATCAATGATATTGATAGATAATAATGATAATAATCCATTACTATATATATATATATTATAGTCCAAATATCTTCACGCGTGCTAGGTACGCCTTAGACCCGAGTTCAAAGAGATGTGGGCCTTAATGAAGGGCTTGACGGACAGTGGTGAGACCTTGCAACTGGGCAGCGCGTTGAAAACGCCGGTTTTGGTGAAGCAAACGTGGTAGATTTGGGTCGGTTTGAACGATGTGTCATGGGGGGGTTACCATCTGGTAAACATACAACAAGCTACTGAAAATAGTGATTTATAGTGGATTGTCCCATTAAAACTGGTGATGTTCCATAGTTTTGTGAAAGTTTACCAGAGGGTAACCACTAAAAAAATGGTATCTAAGTGTTTCACCAACGAAGCACAAGGGGAATATTGATGAAAACCATCACATGGTGATGGGTCAAAAAATCATGGAATCTGTTGGTTTTCACTCCAATATAGCTAGCTGGGATTTGTGGATGTTCATCCCCGGCAAATCTATGGTATTTCTATGTATTTCTTCCTAGGTGTTGATCCATTCATCCATTCCCATATATGTTTCATCCGTTTCAACCATTCAAACATGAGGCTGATTGGTGGTTTGGAACATGTTTTTTTCAATATATTGGGAATAATACTCCGACTTTCACATTTTTCAGAGGGATGGCTCAAGCACCATCCAGTTTGTTATTTGAGTTTTCAAATGGCGCCAGTATTTAAGTGGATCTTCATGTTCCATCTCGTTGGGCCATCACCAGTGATCCTGACACTTATTGTTACCAGCAAATCAACATAGCTACCGACAATGGCCCATTTATAGATGATTTACCTAGCTATGAAATAGTTCGCAAGCGGTCTGTTTACCAGAAGGTAGAATATCCCTTTTTGATATGTAGCTCTCTGTGAAGTCATGATTAAATCACCACTATATAATAGCTATATCTAATCACCATATGTCACCATATGAGCTATGGTGGTAATTTAACTGCCCAAACTGATGCGAATTTGGGGTGTAAGTCCGGTGTAAGTTATGTAAGCCGTCAATCAAAAAGCACGTTCGGAGCACGTTCGGAAGGGGCCCCTATGTGTTTTTGTATAACCCAATCCAACCATATCTAACCATACCCAAATGCTCCATGTATGGTATATTTACCTACATTTGGGTGATTTATGGGGTAAATGTTGGTAAATATTCCAGCACCATGGAGCATATGGGATAGATATATCCACCAATCTAACCACCATAAAGCCTGGGGACACGTGTGGAAACCAAGGATCGCCAGGCAGACTCTCCACTAATTCGATGATAGATTTTTTTGGGTATGACGGTACGAACAACGCGTGGAAATACATTGGGTGATATACTGATATACGTGTTATATAATGTTATATAATATGGAGATGGATCAAGTTAGCTATGATTTTCCATGTTCAAAGGATTATAATATAATCTATAAATCCAAGCTATTTCATAGGTGTTCAGCAGGGTACCAGGCTCTTGACCCAGCATTTCAGGTTCTGGACCTATGTGATGATTGTGCCTAGTTGGAGCAATGGATCATGCGGTGTTTTATGGGGATGGTCAAACGTGATCCAGTATGGGGGTTGGCTATTTCTCTTATTGCGATATCTATCCTAATAGTACAGTATCCTGTCAGCCCTGAAGCACTGCATCTTTGTGGCGCAGGAGATTAGACGGATGCCCTTCAATGCAGCAACGTAGAAGTGGAATTTGTTGGTCATTTCAACCAATCCAAACTGTTTTCTTTGATGCTACCACATGATGATGATTATCATGATGGTGATCCCCACTTGGCTTTCATATCTTTCAGAAGTGGTTGAAATCAATTTTTACTATTTGTTGGTCAATGTTCCCATTCTCTTTCCTGAATGTCCCAAGATTGCTGGTCAAATCCTGATTTGTTGCTTTGCAAATCCCCTGTTTTTGGTTGGTTAAATCATTTTATATAATCATCATTTTCGAATGTTCAATGCACATTTCTGTAGTTCTGGTTTCAATCTGTTGGTAATTCCCCGGTGCGACGCTCAGAGCGTCGCCGTCAGTTTTGCGTGTTGTACTTCTTCGCCATCATCGCTACCTCGTTGATTGGGAAGGCGGAAGCCTTTCAAGACACTCGCCGCAACGCTTTTAGTACGACTCCCCACTAGAACTTGAACAGCTTCGACATGGCCAGAAAAAAGACCGGTTGTATCCAGCAAGATACCCTCTGGTAAACTAACATAACATATAACTATGGAAAATCACCATTTTCAATGGGAACATCCACTATAAATGGTCATTTTCAATAGCTACGTTAAATTACCAGAGGGTATACGTTGTTCATGGTTTTTCTATGTTGAATCGGTGTCTTTGCATCAATGACGGGGATTGAACTGAGCTACTGTAATACGTAATCCTCTCCCCCAAATAATAAACACCTCAGGTACTTTTTATTATTAGGGAGGTATTTGTTATTAGGGAACCAGAGTGGACCCTAATAATAAATCTAAACCCTTAATTAAAAAAAAAACTATGTGTTCCATTTCAAAGTCAATTACTGTATATAAATTTCCTTATATATATATATCGCAATTAAAAAATTGCCAAAAGTGGATTTCGAAGCGGACCATAATGATGAATTTCAACCCTTAATAAAAAATATTAAAAGTTTCGGACGGACCCTAATAAAAAAAGACCCCGGTCTAGTTTTTATGACTAGGGGGTGAATCCCACAAATAGTAGCTTTATGTTTAAATTGTTTTCTGAAGGGGGTCAATTAAAAGTCAAATTGGCCAACCTGAAACTTTCCAAAATTGGAGACGGACCCTAGTTTTTATTATTCGGGGCGGTTTTGTAATAGGGGGAAGGGATTATATTGAGTCAAAAAATGTAGGTGATAGATAGCAATCAGGCCTTGGTGCACCATATAGATGTGCTCGTTTGCCTGTCGGTGCTTGGACAGGTCGTGTGTACAGTCTGTAGAGTCAATGTTAGCAGATGAGTTACCCTCTGGTAAACATACAAAAAGCTATTGAACATTGCCATTGAAATAGTGAGTTGTCCCATTAGAAATGGTGATTTTCCATAGTTATGTTAGTTTACCAGAGGGTATTCTTGTTTTGACTGTTCCTATCCAATCTGCCCTTTGGATCCCTTTGGGTCAAAAATTGGTACTCAAAAGAGAAGCTATTTCATACCAAGATGAAATTGATTGGTTCCATTGGTACTCAAGTTTCCATTTTGACTTGTTTCATGTGGATTATGCCACTGAACATGCAGTAATAAACAAAAGCCTGTCGCACTGTCCGTTGCGCCCTGTTTGCTAAGGATGATGCACTGGCGCAGGAGAGCATCTGCTTCTTCAATGTCAATATATTGAATGCTTCTTCAATGTCAATATATTCAATATTGTATCAGTTGCTTCCCATTTTAGCTAGCAATCTCCCATCGAGTGTATGATATGGCGCCCGTAAGTCTAGATTCTAGATGAGACGAGTAGCACCATTGGAATTGCACCATAGGACAACGTAGGATCACTTCATCGAACAATCCCGGAGCGTCGGAGCGTTGATGCCAGGAGTACTTTGGTGATGTGATTCTCTCGATGCTCTCGCTTTTTCAGCTCATGACCTTAGACTCCTGGACCGTTCCTGGCCAGTTGGCAGTTGAGTCGATGTGGTGAGGCATAGCTACCTCCAACATGACAGCTAGCGATCCTGCGGTGTGAGGATCCCAACGGATACAAAATTGAGGGAGTCAGGCTGTTGGGCTTCATTTGAATCAGAAGAGATTAGTCTTTCACGGGATTTTTATCCAATGTCATGGTGGTTCATAGTATTTCATAGGATGTCCAGCGTTCATAGATGTCCATAGTATTTCCATAATATCATAGTATTTCCATAGCATTTCCGTTGGTGGCACCTATGATTGCCACGCTTGTTTCAAGCGCAGCGTGCAGGACTGGCTTCGCGCGACCTCTCATGGAGAAACAGGTTTGGGTTGGCCCCCTGGCGATCACTGGGCCAGTTGGGAGGGTTTTGGTGCCACTCTTATGGGCATTTATTGGTTAAGTTATAACCGGTGAAATAGCTCGTTATTAATGGTGATGAATGGTGATGAATGGTGATGAATAGTGCTTAATACTGGTTAACAGTGGCTAATAGTGATTAATGGTGATTACAAATGGTTATGTCTATGAGACTATACATTCTATAAATGGGGAAACTTGTTAGTACTTATAACTTATAACTGGTATTTTGGGCCATCACTGCAAGTTTTGGGGAAATATAGGGGTTTCCGTTGTGTCACACCCAAATCATCATCCAAGTCATGACCGTGACGTGGGATTGAAACAACCATGGTTTTTGGGATCCTCCATTTTAAGAAATCCCCATATTTACAAGAACACACCACATGTGTTTTGTTTTTAAACGGGAATATATAGATGTAGGTAAACATATGAAAGCCCACCAGAGCCCACGTAAAGGCTTGAACAGATCAAAGATGTCTAAGAGCTGCAGACTGGGAGCTTACAGCTGGATGGCAGATCCTGTGATATTTGCCTACAGTTTGTTTTTCTTGGGGGAGAACTGTAAATGAATACACATACTAGGTCCATGCATTATGATGATCATGATATTATCATGATTATGTTTATTATTATATGTTTAGTTGTTATCATTATCATTGCATTAGAATTGTGTGGAAATTGTGTGTGTGTGTGTTTTCAGATAGATCGACTACCGTCCCTCAACCCCTGGAATGTGGGTACATGTCGCTGTACCTCATCATGATCCGAACTTTCGATGAGTAGATACCCCCATCATATGCTCGACAGTTAATCTCTGGTAATTTGTTACATAGCTACTGAACATGGCCAGTGATATATAGTTGATTTTTTTTCCATAGTTATGTTAGTTTACCAGAGGGTAATCTCTGATTTGACCATATCTGAACAGATGCTAGTCATACCAGTGCCTTGGTCTACCGATTCTAACCTATGGTGGAAAGCTATTATGGTAACCTCTTGTTAGTACCATATCAATAGCCTAGTGTAGTAACATTAAATAAACCTATTATATAACATGAATCAACAATTATTATCAATTATTATTACCAGATAGATCTATATTATATCATATTACCCTATAATCCTAATCTAGATCTATATATGTAGCCTTAAATGGCACTTGTTCATTTTCGCAAGTTCTGCTTCTCTCAGCGCTGTTCTTCATTTTCTTCATCGCCGTGGCTGTCTTCGTGATGTTGAACCTCGTCACGGCCGTCATCGTGGAGAACTCCTTCTCGGCTCCTCGGTTTATTTTCGTCCCAGCGTCGTGTGTTTGATGAGGCTCTTGGGGTAAGCCGCAACGGTAGGTGAATGGTAGGTGAATGGTAGATGAATGGTAAGTGAATGGTAGGTGAAGGGATTCCTATTCTTTAAATAAATCGAAGAATATCAAAGAACATGTATCCACCTACATCTACAGACAATTTCCCACATCACTCAACACAATTTCCAGTCAATTTCCCACATCACCCAACAACTAAAACACAGAATTGTGTAAAGGCAATCTAAGGCCTGGCCACGTACATATCTGGTATGCAACCAGTCACGTGATTGGGATATAATGTTTGAGTTGTTAGTTTCCATCATGTTGCACTTTCCGTTCTCAAGCTCATTGACAGGTGGCAGGTGGTTAAGAGGTTGCAGTTCCGTTGGAGGAATAGCCGACGTTCCATTCCTACCTGCTCGATGGAATGGTCACCGATAAAACACAAAGGGGAAGAGGTAGTAGATCAGGTACAGAATCAATGCTCATTAAACAAAAGAACGGATGATGATGATGATGATGATGATGGTGATGATGATGATGATGATGTTTTATGATGTTTTTGTTTTTGTTTTAATCTATGTTCATGAAAACTTAAGATATGACATAATGCATTTGCATATGCTAAATGATAAAACAACACATATAAATAGACAACAATATGGATCAAACAAATCTACAATACAATATCAGATTTACCTGGGAACATTATGTTTCCATGCAAAGAAAAATCATGTTGCCATGCAAAGAAAAGACCAAGCACCATGGGTTTTCCTTTCCGCAGACTTTGAGGAATCCAAAAGCGAAGAGATCGAGCTCGCAGTGCGACTGGAACGAGAAAAGGAGGAAGAACTTGAAGACTTAAAGCAGCGCCTTGGCCCATTAAAAAAAAACATGAGCCGGAAAATAACAGTTGGTGTTCTTATTTCAGTAACCATAGATGGCAATATGGAGATATAATATGATATAATCAAATACTAACTTATATATATATATTACGAGAGTAAATCCTCTGCAGGGATACTCTTGAGTAAACACACAAAACAATGTTGAAAATCCATATAGGACTATGTCATCGGGATTTAACTAAGGAAAATTGTGAGACACTTGGAATCTAATGGCACATGATCCAGATCAATTATCTCGACCTCTGACGATGAAATGATTGTTTTCCCAGTGCCAACTATCCCAAATGGAGTTCAGCTTGAGGTGGTTCACTGTATTTACCAACAAACATAGGAACTTAACCAACAGAATCCAACAAACATATAAGGATTTCATCATCCGGAACGGTGATCTCATGGGTATATAACCAATGATGGTCTGGTTGGTGAACTTCCATAGGGCCTCAGGGTTGCTGAAACTTCTGAAACCACCAGCTGCTTGAGTGTGGGATTCCAGTTTGTTACTATAGTGATGGTGAACTTAGGCTGATTCTTCGGACCAATACTATATATATATTGTTATATAATGTTATATATATATATATATCTAGAGTATAGATGAGTTTGGGTTTAAGCCGCTGCATGTTTTGATGTACCTAAATTACTGTTGAGGTGAGCTCTAAACCCCTGCACCTAGGGGCTAGACAGAGAAACTATGCGGGGGGGCAAGATATTTCACATTTTTCTGGTTGGTGGTTTGGAACATTTGTTACTTTTCCATATATTGGGAATTTCATCATCCCAACTGACGAACTCATATTCTTCAGAGGGGTAGGTATACCACCAACCAGCTTTTGTTTGGGGTTCGGGGACTTGGTGGGCAGGTTTTGTTTCTACGTATGCTATGTACAACTTTCGGCCGGGCCACTCCTACACTCTTTGGAAGATGACACATTCTAAGTGGTTGACATGTTGATATTGTCCAATTGTGTAGGGATGAGATGGAGTGACTCATCAACTGCTGTTTTCCGGCGCAGTTGTGGGGGTCCTCCTTGTATTACGAGAAGTCTGTTGCTGTCAGCTGCGGATTCCTCAAGGTATCCCCCAGGGTCCTCGGGTCGGCATAGTGATTGGATGTGATTGGTCATCCCACACTGTAATCATCCATCATCCCAGGTTCTTCTTGCAGATCGATTTGGATGGAAGTGGCTCTTTGACCAAGCAGGAGTTCTTTCGGGCCACCAAGCAACGATCCTCGGTCGAGCAACAATGAAGGCATGGAGATTCACTTGGGAGGGTGCCTTTAGGTGTGTCGCCATTTCAGAATTATTTTTGAATATGTGGTAGATACGGTCTTGTGGGTGGAGTTGAATATAATTATAATTACATATTATACAATTATATACATATAGATATATATAGTAATGTTAGGGCAACATAATTCAAATTGGAGGATGCCACACACCTTTTTGACCCACTACCATTACTCTACAAGTTGTAGTCCATGTTGCCCCAGCCAGCCAGGAAAGATCCGCAACAAGCTTCGGGCCCTGGATATCTTGCCCAAAGATATCGATGAACTTTGGGACATCTTGGACGACGGCAAAGGGGAGTGACTTGTCATGCAAGGTGGTGCCCCCAAGATAGCTAAAATGCTTTATAACTCCAATTTCACTATGGTTTATAGGTGATATATCATGATATATCTATAGTTTATGGGGTTTATAAATCAATTAACATAACGTTTTTTGGGGGGGCACAACATTGTGGGAATGTCAAGCCAGTTGGAGCAATGGAAATCGGAGGGCTCAATGGAAGATCTACCATCGAAAGATGATGCTCTTGAACAGATGAGATCACCACAGAGGACAAATTCTGAAATTGGGAGATTTCAACACGTGGCACGTGGTTTTTTGTTGATTTCTGTGTTTTCTAGCCCTCGGCTCGAAAAAAATGGACAGTGTCTGAAACGCAGGTCCGCAGGTCATCGCAGGTCCCGGTTGCATCTCCAGAGATGTCCAGTCTGTCCAGGTTGCAAGTCGAAGAGTTCCAATCCGGCATCCGAAGATTGCGGGGTGAGGCCAAGTCCAAGGATATCCTGAGATTGCCACTCTGGCTGCTGAGTAGCCTGTGATTGGCCTGTGAAAAGGGTACCAAGTGGCCATCAGATTTCAATGATGCTTCTCTCCAATCATCTCAAGTTCTCCTACTTGTTTATTCCCACATCATCTAAGAACATCTGAAATAAATTGGGATCATCTAATGATTTCCCATCATTTCCTGGTGAAATACATTGCACTATTCGAAAGTCATTCAGAATCAGTAACGCTGTGCACCTTTTTATCATCAGCCTACGAGGTCCAAGGAGCTGCGACAGTTCGAGATGTCCGTGGCTTGAAATCTTCGCAAGGGAACTGGGGGGCTTCACCATGAACAACTCAAAACCTGGGATTTGTGTGTCATGATTTACCATGATTTAAGCACTATTTAAGCCGCATAAACATGGGGGGTGTAAACAGGGGAAGCTTGCAACATCGTGGGAGTACTGTGGTCGCAAATATGCAAACACTTTAGACAGATTGGGATTAATTTGGGTTTCACTGCGCAATACTCCAATAAAATGTGGCCTACACGTGGCCAAAATAATGGGGATTGAAATGAAATTGAACAAACGAAAACGAGGATACAAACCAACCAGCATCGGGGTATTCTGTGATCAACATTGGTTTCCCTCAGAAATGACCAAACTACCTTCGATGATATCTTGGAGCCCCCCATTGCTTAGGATACCCCCAAATATTGGGTTCATGTTGCCCCTAAGTCCTCAAACAAACTCGTTGGGTGCCAGCAAAGTACCCATCATATCCCATCATACCAGCCAAAAAAACAGCAAGATTTGAGGATGCTGATTCTATGTCCTGGAAAAATTTGAAGGGGGTGGTGCAGAGGGGAGAACCAATGTTTGTCCCTGGGCCCCAACAGATAAACATTACCACTGTAGTAGATAACTTTTGGACAACGACATATTTTTTCCACGTCTCACCTAGCTGGTATCGCTTGTTGTCCTTTCTTTGGAACACTTGTTGTTGAGCGTTTTCTATGTGCCATGATGATTCTAATGTGGTATTCTCAGAAGGGGTTGGAACTAGCAACGAGTACCCGTTCCTGACTATGTCTTACCATTTGTGGTGGTGATTTTCCCTCATGTGGCCAATCTGTCAAAAAAAATAATGATGTGCAGCAACCCCAAGCCTCTCAGTAATCCTCAATTTGATTCAAATCTTCCTGGCTACAATATGTCTAGTAGAATTGATAAATCTTCCTGGTTACAATATCCTGGTTGGTGGTTTCAAGCATCTTTTATTTTCCATTTCATATATGGGATAATCCCAACCCCATTGACGAACTCCATCATTTTTCAAGATGGTTGTTGCACCATCAACCAGTATCTCTTCCTGGTTACAATTGATAAATCAGACATAGTCAGAATCTGATTTTTGTCGTCCTATTTTCCAGGAACTGAACAATCTACAACGAACGGATCATCCGTGTTCATATTCATCCCAGTTGGATCACCGCGGATCACAGACACTTGGGCACAGGTGGATGAGGTGGAGGGTTACATCGAATCCAGACACTTGGAGCGATCGAAACAGAACGGCGGACTGGGATTTGATGATAAAAAACCATCCGAGATGTGGATTGAACCATCAACATACCCGTAGACCCTGGTGAAGTGCGGCCATCAAAAAATCAATGGGATCTTAAGAGTCTTAAGGAACACAATAGGAGTGAAGCAGCAAATACCCATGGAGATACCTGGTGCATGGGGAATACACAAGCATTGAACATGGCAGATGCCATGTGAAAAGACAGATGTGTCAACTCTCGTTCAGCAAGAAACAGAGAGTTGTCAACTCCAGGGAATCAACATAATCAACCAACTTCAGCAACTTCAGGTTGCAGGCCGGAGGTGACTTGCAACCCTGGTTATAAGCCCATATAAGCCCCCCGGTTTCTTGGAATATGGAGCCCCGAACTATGGTGAATCAGTGAAGTCAATGGAGACTCCATCATCCAATGGATAAACGGGGCACCTCACTCAGCCAATTCCATTCCAAAGGGGAATGATCCCAACTGGAACATACCACCCAATCATGGTAGTACATATAGAGGTTTTCATACATTGGGAAAGTCATCCATAAACGGAGTCTTTTTATGGTTAATTTGTTTTCAATTTGTTTTCACGATTGTCGGTATTCATTCGTGTAGATTGTTGTCTTACTGGTGCTTAGCAGGGAATTTTCGGGAATGATCCATCATCACTATCAATAATCATCCCATTCCCCCATTCCCCCATTCCCATCCATTCCCTGCTAAGCACCAGTAAGTTTGTTTCAGTTCAGATTCGGGTTTCTCTGAAAATGCCACGCAAATTCGATCGACTATCACCATGGATTCCATGGATCTCAAGTAGAACGGCCATATGTCGGGACGGTCGATCCTCATGTTTTAAATACCCAAGTCATATGAATTTCCACATCATATTCCCCTTGTATCTCACTATATCTGATTCAACTTCCATTATATCCCCATATCGCAGTAATTTGCCCATTTCTGACCTGGTGATGTCGGCGTCTTGAGGTAAAGGGCGGCTCAAAGGTCTACAGAAACCTGGGCTGAGAACAGCTGATGGCTACAAAGTGGTTCCCCAGTTGGGTAAGCTTGGTATTGAGCAGCAACAAATGCTGATTTCATGGGATTTTGCCAGCTAAGCTGGTTTGTAACTAGATTGACTGTTGGGATTTATGCTGGTTGGTGGTTTGGATTTTGTTTATTTTCCATAATATATGGGATAATCCTTCCCATTGACTAATATTTTTTCATTATTTTTCAAGATGGTTAAAACGACCAACCAGTATGGTAATTATAACCTCTATCTCTCACCATACTTATATAGATGGGTGAATAAAGCAAGTTAAAGGGGAACAGGCACCACCTTGAATAACCAAGCACCCTCTGAACTTTGGGGCACTGACTCAGAGATGGACAGTGGAGCTGGAAGATGACTGGTTTTTGCAGAAGGTGGTGCCTGCACCGAGATGCTTTTGACCATAGGAAACCATAGGAACATGTGGGTTGAATGGGATTTATGGCTGATTTATGATAGCCAAGTTGGTTGAAATAACTCCAATTTCACTATGGTTTATAGGTGAGATATATCGAACTAGTTAATGGGGTTTATAAACCAAATTATAACTAGGGGGCACCACCTTGTAGGTTCTGTTAGAGGGTCTAGGTGTATTTGCTGTTGCCAATGTAGCTTTCCCCAATAATTTATCTCAAGAATTATTGGAATTTTAAGTGGCGAAAGTTATGATCATCGACTGGAATTGAGGTTAATGACATTTTCAGACAAATCCATGTGAAGTCGTGATGTAAATGAGAACTCTGAGGAATCAGCTCACGCGATGTCGAGCGGATATCGCAGCTTTCACAAGGACGCTGGTGAGAGCAGCTGGGCATATGATCAGCGTAGGCATGTACCTCTCAGGAACTGGCTCTTTATGATAGAAATGTACGATTTATATAGTGTGTTTTTGCATACCCCTCCCCTTCCAATCTTTCAGTTACCTACCAGATAAGTAACCAACCCCAAAATCATCAGGTAAACTCATCCTAGTTAACTATATCAGAAGTAGCTGGGAAGCTTAGGGTATCTGTCAGCATTTTGAAGGTTCTAATGATATTCCCAAGAACCTGGATATGCGAGAAACTAAAGGTGACATTTACGTCATTTACGCACCCTTTCGTTACATCTGGCTGATATTTTGGTATAAATACATCTATATAAATATCTCAGTAGCTAAAGAAGACCCGCAGCATTCGGGTTAGCCTAATAATATCTAATAATGGGGATACCCCTCAATGGTCAGTTTTCTAAAAGGGACGTGAATGAACATAATCATCAACAGTTGAATTTAGGGGTACCCTATTTTCACGACAAATCCAAGTTCTCACCATTTTCTCACAGCATGGGCTATGATTCATTCAACACAAACCAGGTTTTGGGAACCTTTTTCCCCAACTAATGGCGGAGTCTGTTACCTTAGGATAAACATACAAAAAGGTGGAACGGCCATGGTTTCCCTAGGACAATGATCTACAAATGGTGGGTTTTCCACATCGATGTTAGATTATCCTGGAGTAATTTGGGGATTGTAATAATTGTAATGGGACGGATATAGCCAGCAAAAAAATGGACGTATCTTAAACAATAGATGGATGGTGATACCGGGTTCCTGTCTCATATCCTTCAGGAACCAACATGACAAGGGGTAAATTCCCTAAATGGATGTCTTACTGAGAAGATAATCTGAAAAAGGTGTTTTTTAATCCATTGCCATGTTTGACTAACAAAAAATGGTAGATCCCAGAATGCATTAATCCCATTGAGGTTTTCAGATATAAAACCTTGCTAAATCTAAATGGAATCCCAGATTTTGCCATGTTTGATCCTCACTGCGACCTCACTGGAATGATGAAAATTGTAAGGCGTAACTATCCCAAAATAGGCTTATTTGTTCTTGAAAGAACAAATTATTACCCATTTTCTATAATTCCAATCTTGCCATTTGCCAATCTGGGTAAATTTGTCATATGGTATGACCTAATTTTACCTATTATAGTAATCATGAATTTCAAACATTCCATATCTGGGTACATGTACGCCTAATATTTACCTCATATTCTTCGTGAATTCTTTGGGGATTGGTCAAAATCTGTTACAATACGATGGTTGCGAAAACCGATAAACCACCAATTTGGGATGGTTGAAAGCCTATAAATAATGGGATGTCTACTATCTATCAACCATCCTATAAAATAGGCTTTCAATCATCACAATTTGCTAATGGTTTACCATCTATCAATCGATCAACCACCTTATAACCCTATAACGAACTGGTGCAGGATTTCGCATCCACCGCTGAGGCGAAAGAGGCGGTGAAGATGGCGGCGCAGACGCAGAACATGACGCTTGGGCTTCGATGCGATCTGAATGGTGATCGGGGGAATGATATATGAGCTATGGTCAATACTCATGGTTAATAACCATTAATAGGGGCTAGTCATCCAATGGTTCATAGGGATTTATAATAACCATTATAAGGATCCTTATTATGGATGGGATGACTATCAACCATATAGTGAGTATTGACCATGGCTCATATCATATATATATATAATATGGTTATATGGTTGTTTAAAATACTACTGGCATCAAAGATCTGGGATGATATGATCTCGTTGGTGGTTTAGAACATTTTTTTTATATTTTTCCATACATTGGGAATAATCATCCCAACTGACGAACTCATATTTTTTCAGACTGGTTGAAACCACCAGTGATGTGTTTTTCTGTTTAAATTGGAATAGTTGGGATTTCCAGTGCTTTGAGTCAAGAGAAATAGGGGGACTTCCTTGGAAAGGCTTTATTTTTTCTGGGTCTCTTGCCCGAGGAGCTGATGAGCTGATCCATCGCCGGTCGCGCCATGCCTTGGGTCAATGTGGCTATGGATCAATAGCTATGTCGCATCACCAAAAAGGGGGATGGACATCCATAAATCCCAGCTATTTTGATGTGAGCATAAATGGGGTACAAGGTGACTTGACCCATTCCCATGTTTCTGGGTGATTCCTCCACTTGAAATATGAAGCTTTCTCACAACTTGGGACCCGCAGAAGCACCAAAGCTAGTCATTTTCACCAAGAAATTCGATGGTTTGGGTGTGCCCAATTCAAAGAAACACAAAGCAATGCTTTGGGGATGCGTTCCCGCCAGCCACAACAAAACTTCCCTTGAAAGATCTTCCGAGAACCCAGGACCGGAACAGCCAACATTGACAATGGGGTTTGGATGTGTCTTTCGACGGTTTTCCCGTTGGAAATTGCAGTTCTTAAGGGTTTCATGTGCGTTTTTTCAGAGGCATGTTGCGAGGCTGTTTGCATGTTCGCCGTGCGCGGTCCCTGCAAGATATCCTACTGTTCGGGGGCCAGAGGATCTGTGAAATGCTGTAACATTTGACTGGCTGGATTAGTTGATAGTGTCACGTTTGTTATATCATATTATAATATGATGTAATATAATATGTAATATGTAGAAATCACCCTAGTATAAGACACGATAAAACAACGTGATGAACTATGGCTGAAGATGCTTTCGCAGATCCTCCGCAGTCCTGTCCTCTCGCCGTTCACGCCGTTCAAGACGGCCAGTGAATGACCTGGTTGAGTCCCAGGAATTGTCACGAATTGGGCATGTTGAAACAATGCTACTGGGCTTACCAAAAACACTGGTTGTTGGATGTTGTTGGATGTGTTTGGTAAATTGATGTAAATTATGTTTCCTTGGTGGTTTCATGTTTCTTTAAGTGTCTTCATTTTTAATATATATACCCTCTGGTAAACTAACATAGCTATTGAAGATTGCCATGTATAGTTTATTTACCCATAACCAATGGTGATTTTCCACAGTTATGTTACAGTTATGTTAGTTTACCAGCCATATAATATGATATGAATTGATATGATGCTTCCAACTTTGAATGGAATTTGAACGGTCTGTACGGCTTCCAAAGGTTTTATATGTAAACATTGCGGGTATTAATCTACTTGAACGGTTGGTTAGCCGGGTCGGCTATGATTTTCCATTTTGTTCCTCCATCAAGGAATTAGCCCTACTTATATACAATATCATACATCATCACCAAAATCCTTTTGAACGTTTTTGAATGTATAATATCATACATCATTACCAAAATCCTTTCGAACGTTTTTGAATGTATTCAAGACTGATTATCAATGCAAGAGCCAAAGGGGCCTCTTCTGAAGTTGATAGACTAATCAGCCCTAAAAGGTGCTGCATACAATTGACATCAATTGACAATCATGATCATTCTACACAAAACCAGGGCCAGGTGTGAAATGAGACGCACCGCCGCGGCGGCGCGAAAAAAAGGGCCGACTGGCGGAGAAGTTGCCGACTGACTTCAGTCACAGTGCTTGACCCTCTTTAAACGGGTCAAAGTGTATCAAAGTGTCATATTTTTATTGGATTAATGAATCTATAAATGATAAATCGATGGTTTCATGAAAGGTTAGATCCTGTGGCAATTGTTGGTTGTGAAAATTCGACGTTTAGCATCGAACTAGCAATGCGTCAAGGGTCCGAACATGGTAGCAGACACCGATTCCAAAATGTTGATCCCAGAATTTGTCAACCTAGACATGTCTTTAAAAGGATACTGGTTGGTGGTTTGCAATATGTTTTATTTTTCCATATATTGGGAATTTAATCATCCCAACTGACGAACTCATATTTTTCAGAGGGGTAGGTATACCACCAATCAGGATAGTAGATGTGTGTTGTGTTTAGTATGCCCCGAAAAGGACATCAGTTGTGCAGTGATGGTTCTTCCTGCCAGGCAAAGCTTGGCACTTTGGTTGTTTTTCCGCCGCTGGGCCATGGTGGAGATAGTTGTAAGTTTTTTTTTGGAAAATCTATGTCCAGACAGAGCCCTCTGGTAAACAAACAAAAAGCTATGGAAAATGGCCCATTTATAGATGGTTTACCTATTAAACATGGTGATTTTCTATAGCTATGTGAAATTACCAGAGGGTAATACTTTTGTACATGACAGCTACAGAGATCATTCCACTAAGTTTCACGTCTTCGATGTTTGTTGATGGCTTCTCATGCAAATACGCGTTCTGCGCTTGTCCAGAAGAGAGTCCCCAACTGAGAAAACTCAGATTCGTTCCTCCGGCAACCATTTGCACCATTCTTTGACCAGCAAGTTTACGGTTTTGTCATGTTTTGTCCCTGTTTCATACATAAAGCCATCCTTCACTGAGAGCAAAAGTTTGTTCAAAGAACTGTTTTGTTTGATGTTTATCTCTTTCCCAGAAGTGCAAATCCTATATCAAAAGCTGTGGGTGAAGCTGTGAAACTGTCGTCATCAACATATGGCGATGGTTCAAATTTGGGACAGAAATGGAATGTGTTCGACGGAAATTGACTGAAATCGTTTGGAATCTGGATGGATTGTAGCCCTAGATTCTTAGCCTTGGGATTTTTCATGGCAAAAACCATTTGTCCAACTGAAAACCCTTGGAGATCAAACCATCAAGTCACTGCTGTCCTAATCCACTCTGAGTTTCCGTTTGGTGAAATCATGTACCACCACTTGGGCATGTCCTACCCAGCTGCAGGCAAACCCTTGTGCCGATATGTGGTCAGAATATCTTAGAATAGCCATGACATTGTTGGTGTGACATAGATTTTCACTTGAAGAATCAGTGCTTCACAACATTTCACAAGCATCGACCACTGCTTAAAAGTGGATGTGTCTCCACATTGAACCCAATGAAATCTATAGGTAATAAAGCAGCAAATATATATATATACACACATAGAACCATCATTATAGTTTATGATTAACTATTCAACCAGTACATACATATCTGTTCCACTAGTGATAATCATAATTGATATGTCATTATTTATATAGTTATACCGATCCATATTGTATCAATATACACTGTATATAATAATCGGTTGACCATGTCCGTTGATCCACAATTAAACATCTATAAATAACTTTACTCTGCTATTGGTTCTAACAATCGTAAATATAATCAATAGGCCAATAGTACTCCATAATAGATAACTACATTCGCATGACATTTGTTTAACCTGTGTTTAACATTTGTATAACATTCGTATAACATCTGGTTGGTGGTTTGGAACATTTTTTATTTTTCCATATTTGGGGAATTTCATGATCCCAACTGACGAACTCATATTTTTCAGAGGGGTGGCTCATCCACCAACCAGTTATGATGGTGATATCCCAGTGATATAAACTACTGTTAGCTAACTACTAGTGGTTACCACCTATACTAACCATTATTTGTATAACATTCGCATAACATTATTTGTCGATGATGTACTGACCCACAAAGACTTACGACCCTTGTGAGGTGACCTGTGCCCAGAAGGACGCGAAGATACCCCTTTCCAACCGAGGTTTTCCGCTCGGGGCTGGGTGTTTCGGGAGGGCAGGCGCCGCAGGCGCCTGCCATCACTTCTTAGCCTTGTAAATGGAAACAGAAATCATCACCCTCCAAAAAAAGTGACGAACTTTCCCATAGGATCCATGTATGGTATATATGCTAACATTGGGGGTATATTGATGGTAAATGTTACCATATATAGCATACATGGATCCTATGGGTTTTGGAGATGATTTGATGGTTGTTGTTTTGTGTTTTCTGATTCGGGAGTCTTGGATTGGTGCTCTTCCCCGATGCAATCCCACAAGAAAGAACCAGATGTAAAATACACATAAACAAAATAAACATGAACACACGCATTACTATGGGTGTGAAAACTGACGGTCATAGAATTAGCACAATTTGGAAATCGTTTTTGGATGAAATATCAGAAAGGAATCCGGGGACATAACAAATCCCTCCATCGTAGTATTGGATACCTCCCAAAAACCCTGATGGAATGCTTTGGATCTTCTGTAATTATGTTTTTTTTGTGCTGCAATAGAGGGGGAATTGACTATTGACTATTGGAAGTTAAATTGGAAGTGATGACCGTTTCATTCTTGGATGTGTAGTTACAAAGTGTATTGTAAGTTGATCATCTAATAAATCTAATACCCCAATTCTACAGTTCTACATGGAATCTCCCGACAGATATATCTAATATATACGGATACGGGTGAAGAAAATACAATCTGGTAAACTAACATAGCTGTGGAAAATTACAATTTTTAGTGGGTAAATCAACTATTTCGACTGGGCCATGTTCAATAGCTACGTGAAATTACCAGAGGGTAACGCTTGTTAGCCACTTCCCAGTCCTGGGTCCCCAAAAACTCCCGTGCTTTTGCAGTGGCGAGGCTACACTGTCAAGCTACAAAACCTGGGCAGCGGCTTCTGTGGACGGACGGAGGACGGCAGCGCTGGCGCCAGCAAGTCATGGGGCATACCTCAGTGGTCACCGTTGTTTCAATAATCCCCTAATGTGGGTAAAACAATGTCATGTTTACCATCCCCAAGGAAAATCACAAATTTGATAGGTGGTATAAACTTACTTACCATTCCCAGGAAAATGGGCGGTTAAGATACTGGCATTGTTTTAACCACATAAAAATCATATTTTGTGGTGTGTTCTTGTATGGGGATGTCTTAAGTCATGGTGGATCCCAAAAAAAACATGGTTGTTTAAATGGGTGATGGTCATCCATTTCGATGATTTCACGGATCAAAGGCACATCTACACCCAGTGCTTGGATCAAATATGTTCAAATGATCAACCATTGTGCATTTTGAGATGTCCAGAGGAATGTTGATAGAAAACGCAAACACAAACCGGACAGATTTGCTTGGCATACAAGTAGGTATGATGTCCTCTAAATGTGAGGAATGAATGTTTCGTGGTTTCCCAATCAGAGATCTCGTTCAGGCTTTCCTTTTTTGGCTGAACATGATGCAATTACTGGTTGGTGGTTTGGAACATGAATTGTATTTCTCCATATATTGGGAATGTCATCATCCCAACTGACGAACTCATATTTTTCAGAGGGGTAGGTATACCACCAGCCAGATTACCGTTTCAATCCTTTTCATATAGTTTGCTTACCGCCATATTCAACTCCAAAATGGTGAAAACCATCTAAAACTAGATCATTTTTTCAGGCTCACACATTCACAGATCCCCATTCCCTCTCCAACAAAATTCTCCTTATTAAGTAATATATGCCCAGTATATGCCCAGTATATCCCAGCATATCCTATAACCCAGCCATTTTCAAGAACCACCCCATATATTCCCTTCACGTCCATTGGTTTCACACGCGCAGGTAACCATAACCATGATCCAATCTTGGTCTGGCTCATCAAAAAAAAGTATAAACCACGAATGAACCATTTTTCACCATTATATGCCATGCCAACATGATTATGAATGATATATATACATATGCGTAAACCATTCCATACAATGTATATATGACATAGATGCTGTTCATACATTAATAATGTTTAGTTACAACCATGATCACACAGAAACCATTATTAATAATGTCTGTTGATCCCAATGATTGTTCTACCCCATCATGATCAATGACAGTCAATGAACTGAACCAAAATCATTAGATCATATTGAATCACCATTACTATCCATTGAATCACCATAATAATCACCATTTCAACACATAAGCCATTGAAATTCAAAGCATGACTGCAGGATTATAACCACTACTCGTATGAACAACTATTGTTTAAATCTATTAACCCTTATAAGCGATGAGGTTGAACCAATACAAAGAAATTCACATATCGACTCTTGACTATTATATATAAACCACTATAGTGAACCTTTTGACCACTATCAACCACTATATGAACCATAACCACAATGATTCTAACCCATGATCGATATTGGTGCTAAACCCATTATTGATAGTGGTGCTAAACCCTGATAACCAACATATTATAACCATAACCACATTCCAACCACTTAGACAATATAACTACCATATTAACAAGTATACTAAACATATGATGAATTCTTCACATATTATAACCATATTAACCACTATCAACCACGATTATTATCTGTTCACCCATAATTTCAGCCATGACTTTAGCGAGGATCAAATTTTGGTTGCGGCGGAGCCGGCATCCAACAGCAGCGCCATGTCCATCTGGGTGCGTTGCGCCGCCTTCGCCGAGGCACCGAAGCGTGAATTTTTTGGGGAATATGAAATCCCCATGGAACATGAGGAGTTCCATTGTTTTTTTCATGGATTTTTTGCACACAAATCCTGATTTCTATGGAATGTTGATGGGATTTCATGGAAACTCAGGGGAAATTCTATTGAGATTTGAGGTTATCTTTTTTTCGGTTTGTTAACTCATCTTGCTATAGTTGAAACCAGAAATCCTGGTTGGCCTACTTCGCGCAGCTAACGAACTGGGGCACAACTGTTTCCTAATGTTGTTGAATTTGGATAATTTGGGAAAAACTGCTGAACTTAGGGTTAATGTATAATTATAATTAAGGATATTTTGTTGATGAACATAGGGGGCAGAATGTGTGTTAGGAATGTTGGCTATATCCCAAGAATACGTGGGTTATACCTCAAACATGCGGAATTCTTGGATGTGGGTTTGTTGGTGAGCAAAGAAAAATATGTTCTATAGTATATCTAATTATCTAATTCCATTATACTAGTTGGTTCATAAATATCACCTAATATGGGTTTCAACCATCCCCCAATCAACCAGGTAGTATAACTGTAGAACCCACTCTAATATACTAAAATCAACCAACCATTGACTAGCCGCTAGTAGCCGTCATCCATCACTATCATGTTTATCCCCATATGATAGCCCATATGATAGCTCATATGTTTACCCTCTGGTTATGTCAAAATAGCTATTGAAAATGGCCATAGACATAGTGGATTTACCCATGAAACATGGTGGTTTTCCACAGCTATGTTAGTTTACCAGAGGGTAACTTTTAGATATAAATTGGTTTATAAACCTCATGAACTATAGATATAACACCTATAAACCATAGTTATTGGAGTTATAAACCAACTTAGCTATCTTGGGGGCACCACCTTGTATGTTCAATGGTTAAATCCCATTTGTTTTTCAGGTTTGAATCACCATGAAGTAACCGCTTTGCGCCCCAGCCTCCACCAGACTCCAGGTGTGCGGCGAGTCCAACTCCGAGTTGCCCCTCGGAGCGGGTTTCGAAGAGCTTTCAGTAAATGATCTGGTTGGTGGTTGGGGGCCACATAACTAACATAACTACAATAACTATGGTTTATGATATTTATATATATTTATTCATGGGATTTAATCATGAGTTCATGGATTTAATGGGATTTAATCATGATTTTCATGGTGATTTACCATTAATGGTTGATTTACCTATGAGTTTATCTGGTTGGTGGTGACTGGAACCATGGAATTTTATGACATTCAGTTGGTAATCGGTAATGTCATCATCCCAACTGACGAACTCATATTTTTCAGAGGGGTAGGTGTACCACCAAGCAGTGATGGCCAGGATTGGAATCATCCACAAGAATTGCAATAAAACATTGACATATTTCTCAAGAATTCAAAGGACTTGCCAATGAACGGGGTACAGTCAGTATAGTCATGAAGCGCGGTTAATAATGATATGCCGGTGAGATATTTGCTGCCATCAACAACATACAATAACTAATGCTATTGGGTATCAACAACCGCGATGTTGATGTTAACCATAGGGGATTCCTGTTGTTTTGGGGTAAAAGTGGGGAAGCCCAGGGAAGTCTAGCAGCGGTGTAGTTGTTTGCCATCAAACGTCAGGTACCCACAATCGGCATCTGGGGGCCTGCTTGGTTGCATGTATCAAGCATGAACTGTGGGTTTGATGTCTGATTTGTATGGATATATCTCCACTAATTGGCCCGGTATATATGTAATGTAAAGATATATATATAAGTGTAAAATAAAAGTTCATAAGGGCGAATGTGATCAGCCAAATTGGTATTTCAAGGGAATGAGGACCTCTTCAATACACCAGAATCCTCTTGGATTTTTTGGACAAGCACCTACTGTAGGGTCCTTAAGTTTGTGAAAACCTTCACCCGTGTGAGTACAGTATACCATGGGTGATCTTGTTATGATGTCTGGATTTCTGGTGGTTATCAACCATTGTTGCTACGCAAACCCTGCAACAAACCCAAATGGATACAGAGAACATCACAGTTATGGCCCTTTACCAGTTATAAGTACTTATAACCCCATTTATAGAATGTTTAATCCCATGTATAACTAGTTATAACTAGTTAATGGCCATAACTGCATGAACATCCACCTGAAATTGCTCATGTCCGGTTTTTTGGGTATGCCTTGTGAAATCGGATGTCCCACCTCGTTTTCAACGAACCTCCGGCAGTGGAGAATTTTCTCCACCGCTTGCGGATGGTTATCTTCTCGTCTCCCAGGGACGTGGAACAGATCTTCTTGCTGGTGCTGATTTGTGTCGGAACACCTGGCAGAGAATGACCATCAAGCCTTGAGATTTCTGAATGGTGGTACAGAAATATGTTGTTTTTTTGGTTTTACCCTCTGGTAAACTAACATAACTATAGACAATCACCATTTTTTATGGGTAAATCAACTATAAATGGCCATTTTCAATAGCTATTTTGACATAACCAGAGGGTAGATTTTGGGAGATTTCAGGTCATTTGCTGCACGCAAAAATACATACCATCCATGTGACCCATGTGAGTTTGTTGATGCCCGTCTCCAGTGTCGCATCATTCAGGGTTTCGAAAACTGGCTGTCCATCATGTTGGATAATTTGTGTTTTGGCAGATGTTTTGGGACTTTGGGGCATCTGGAAGTCGGCCATTGATTAATTATCAATATCAATTCTTGGATATTCTTGGTTCATACAGTTATGGCCATGTATCAGTTATAAGTACTTATAACCCCATTTATAGAATGTATTTCATCCCATTGAAATAACCATTTGTAATCATCATTAATCACTATTAGCCACTGTTAACCAGTATTAAGCACTATTCATCACCATTCATCACCATTAATAACGAGTTATTTTAGCAGTTATAACTGGTAGCCATGGCCATAACTGTAGTTGCGATTCGTTGCGATTCCTCAGAGAGCTTCAAGGGCTGCTGTTGCTGCTGATCTTTTCCAGAACGGTGGTGGGACCGAAATGTGCCGAATCGCGGTGCCGAATATGTGTTACATAGCTGATCTGAGGGCCTTGGAACATAACATAACTATAGAAAATCACCATTTTTTTATGGGAAAATCAACAGTAAATCAACTATCAATGGGCCATTTTCAATAGCTATGTTAGTCATTACCAGAGGGTATCATTGATGTGACCTCCATCTTAACTGCTCATGCCTTCCCTACAGTAAGCCCTGAAGGGCACTACCAAGAGATCACTTGAGCTGAAAGTTATGAGTTGGGCCACTTGTCGGTGACGAACATTCAGGGCCATTCTGAAGGTTTTGCAGCAGCACTATAAGGGATTATAAGGGAATTATAGAGGATTATTATGAATTATTGGCTCTAGAGAAATTCGTTATTTAACTGACTTGCCCCAGCCAGCAGATAATGAGTGTCAAACACCCAAGAGTGTTGAGACTGCTTTCTATGAGAATTGATGATATTTGCACATCACACATGATACGAACGTCACGTCGTCACGTGACATGCCACAAGATCCACAAGAACCTCACCAAATCACCGATGATGTTTAGGCTTTTTCGGTGCCAAACATCATCATTTCCCGCAAGTAAAGAAATAGTAAACTCATAGTTTGCTACTATAGATATATATGTATATATGTATAGATGGCCCGTAAATTCCATGTTTTCACGGACATGGTGATGTCCCGCAAACTGTCCACCTTTCCCTGCTACAAACACTGGTTTAGAAAGCAGTTTACGCAGTAAATTTCTCGTACACTACTTACGAAGCGTAAGTGCTTAACATTACTGTAACTTGAGAAATATCTGCAGTAAATATCCTATACATCCGTGGAAATGGTCCAGTGGTTAACCATAGTTCTCAAGTTGCACCTGTCGCCATAGAAATCTGGGACAAGCTAATTACAACCGAGGTCGCGACGTTGGTGGTCATCGTGACCGGCATCTTGATGCTCAAGTACCCTGGCCGGGACTGAAACTGAAACAAGGACCGGTGATGTAACACGGCGGAAAATCACCATGTTTCGTAAATATGGTTGTTTCCTAAATTAGGGGTACCCCCAAATCATCCATTTTTTATTGGATTTTCTATGAAATAAACCCATCTATTTTGGGGTACCCCCATTTTAGGACGCCTCCATGTAGGTGAATGGAGGTCTGTTCCTCTCCCTGGGAAATACTGATGTAACATCTGGAGAAACCAACCATATGGCTCAGCAATCGACGGAACAAACAGTTCGTTGACAAATATTCCCTGTCTAGGGTTCCAATTCCCACAGATTTATTCCAGAAGCCATTGTCATCATCATTTTGTCCCATTGTTTTGTAGCTATTTCAAGACTTGTACTGTAAGAAGATTTTGAAGCATGTCCCCATCTGAGATAGTGACGATACATGATTTTGATGCATGTACTGTGTAACACATTGTGTTTTTTTTATATAGTATAATCTAGCTACGTTCAGGCTACGTTCAAAATCAATGTTCTTGTTTTGACCATGAAACCATGAGCCCAGCAGAGATAGACACAGCACATTGCATACCAACTATACATTGATTAACAACTCTATACTACTAGATACTACTAGCTGGTTGATGGTTTGAGAGAGTGTATCTTTTATTTTCCATCCCGCAATGATGCAGCCCGCTGGGGAGCATGTGTTCCATGGGCAACTACCAACTATTTTGTGCAAACTAAAAACCTATATATATATATATAACAGATTCAAAACACATGTTATTTCAATGGTTTTTATTCATCCCAATGTTTATCTACGACGTATTAAGCCATTATGATTCATGCTGTAGTTATATCCAGATTGTTTGGTTCATATTGACATTATGTATATATATATATATATGTAACAATTATATGTATGTATCATATATTTGGATAAATCAATCATTATTCACACGCTAAAAAGTTCAGCCATTTGGGGATAATTGCCTTATTCTATAACCATCAGCTCAGGGAGTTTCTACAATGCGGGGCCGTTAGACGCCCCCCTAGATAGCATAAGTTGAATTCAAAACCCCTATGAATACTAAAGTTACAAGATGTTATAAGTGCCATAGACCAAAGGCCTATAGGGTTTTGAATCCCCAAATAGCCAGCTCCACATCTTCCAGGCGGCCCGACCCCATGGGCCAAGGCACAAGCGCCCCAAGCGCAGTGGCTGGCGGGAACCCACGCGGCAATGGTCACCCAGTGCCGCTGCCGCCACGCTGCGACGCGCCTCTGGGAGATCCAACCGTTGTTGGAGTTGCCGGGTTCCCGCAACAAAAAGTGCTGAAAATGTCGGAAAATGTGGGAAAACTCATGGATCATCTTAGAAGTTACCCTCTGGTAAACTAACATAACTATAGAAAACCACCATTTTTAATGGGAAAACTCACTATAAATGGCAATTTTCAATAGCTATATTAGTTGACCAGAGGGTAAAGAACTGAGTTTACCCAGGTCGTTGGTAATAGGCTATGGTCACCTCCGTCATTGAAATTCACGGTCAATCACGCTCATTCACGGTAAACTAGTTGATGCTCACCGCCAGTGTATCGACCACACCGTGCGTGGTTGGCCAAATAAACTTTGGGTGGAAACACAATGGTACGGATTTGGGAAGGTTGACAGTTGACGCGTTGCGAAACTGCACAGGATGTGGTATATAAATGGTGATGCACAGCCATGGGTCTATCTCACGCCTATCTCACACTTTTCTCACGCCTACCTCACGCCCATCTCCTAGCGGTTGAATATCTTCTTCGTCGGACAGGTTTCTACAGTTTTGTTTGTAGTCAAGCTGCCAAGACACGGGGGTGGATCAAAACAAGGGTCCTGGGACCAAACGTGGATTGGCTCGTCATTGTTCAGTACCAAGCATCACACGTGATTCTTGTCCAAGTTTGGCGTTTTTTTTTCGGGGACCATTTTTCTGGCTAAAACCAGAGCTTTGACAAACGTCACGACTGGGCCAGGAGCTTCACATCTTCCTTGCCGGGAGTCGCCTCCAGTGTGGAGCCATAGACACGAAAGTTTCGAGGTGTTTCTTGCCTCTGGTACCCTCTGGTTATGACTAACAGTTTGCCATGGTATAGATGGCCCATAGAAATAGATGGATTACCTGGGTTTTCCTATTAATAGCATGGTGATTTTCCATGGCGAACTGTTAAATAACCAGAGGGTAATAACTGTTACATAGCTATGGAAATTTGTTACACAGCTATGGAGAAATAGCCCATGTATGACTTACCTGACTTACCTATTAAAGACTGTGTTTTTTTTTTAAAATATAGCTATGTTAGTTCACTGCGAAGTAGATCATCATCATGCGTTCACAATCTTCCCATCTCCGGATCATATGATTCATGCCCTCATTGGCGCCCTCCAAAATGGATAGAGCCAATACCAAACCAGGGTGTTTTTCGGATTCGTTTGGGTTGTATTTACTAGGGAGCCGGGACGATTTACAAACGCTAAACTGCAAAGAGATCAATACGGCCGCGGAAGATTTTTTTTTGTGGCTCCGGAAGGGTCCATTGCTTTGTGTCGGAGAAACTGACGGATGCCAAAATCCTCCATTTTGGACGATCCACGATGAATCCTTAGTCAGAGTTACTCTGCACAAGGGACTCAATAAGGGATTCAACTGAATCAATGAATGGGATTCAAGAATTGATGATTAAAATTAAAGAGTGTTCTCTCCAACATGTTATCAATCTAGGGGTAACTATCCCAAAATCGCCTTATTTGAGGTTTGTGAACAACTAGACTTTACCCAGATGAATGAAATCCCCTGAAATCCCATGAGATCACTCCTAGATCACCATGAAATCACCTGTTTTCCCAGATATCCTCAGGTCTCAGCCATTTATTTCTCCAAGGCTCCATCGGACCACTGTCAAACAGATCAGGCCTGTCGGATGCTGATGTGGCTATGGGTCAAAAGATGTCAACACCTACTATAAAAATTACGGGTGTTGTCTGAAAATCTGGTATATCCCCAGTGATTTATCATGTTAATGCTATTTTTAAGGGGGAAATTTCAAAGGGGAATATGATGGTGATAATGAATCAGAATCCAATGGATTTAGGGAAGAAGGACATCCAGCTATACCAGCTATGACTTAGACCCTTTGGGAGGGTTTTGACGAATATAGCATAATATAGCCATGTAAGTTTCTGAGTTGAAGAGTTTATCCAAAATCTGGGAGTTTATGGCATTAAACAGCCACTTCATATGGGGGAGTTCATGGGATCGAGTGGGATAAATCTGGAGTTATTTTGGTTGGATTTGATGAGGATGAAGTCCACTGAAATTGGGCGGATTGAACCACTTACCATCTGGGCATGACTAACAGTTCGCCATGGAAAATCACAATTTTTAATAGGTAAAGCATCTATTTCTATGGGCCATTTTTCATAGGGTGCTGGTAAGATCTGGTAAGAGCCTGTTGGGAGTGACCCCTCTCATCTTAAGGGCCTCTGCGCGCAGAAACCAAAATCATACACATTGTCAAACCTGTGGATTGCTCACTCCATCTGAATGCACGAAACACTGTAAATACCGACAAAATCAGGGTGTGACCCCTCTCCTCTTGACCACTCTCAGTTGCTCTTTACTACCTCAAACCCCAGAAGAAAAGAAAAGAAAACATCGGGACGATCGTCAATCGTATGTGGATTTAGAAAGTAAAGCTGTTGGGTGTACCAACAAATGGGCTGGTTGGTGGTTTGGAACATGTTTTATTGTCCAAAATAGATGGGATGATGATCCAATCTATTCCAATCTGACTCATATTTTTCGCAATAAATAACCAATTAGTGGGTGTACCAACAAAACATGCTGATTGTTGTCACCCTGGGCACCTGGATGCGGCTGGTGAACTTAGATTAGAGGTTGATTCGGCTGGGTCTATGGTGGTTATATCATGTTATATCTATAGTTGGTATAGTTGGATGGGGTTATAGACCGACTTATATAAATTTAAGGGGCAATGTTCTTTTTACATCTACTTGGATTCATGATGCCCATTTAAATCATATTTTTAGTGTTTTATCCCCCAACAAAAATGAACCCTGTCATGAGATCGGGGATGGAAGACTACTTTCAACTAAACATCAGCTATTTTCAGGGTCAAAGTGTTACTATTCGAGATTTTTGGAGGGTAAATATCCTAATTAATTCTTATGTTTAAATGTCATTAAATCGCTGTTTTTTATCCCTGAAATCCCGTGAAAAATATATGGTTGACATTCCGATCGCCAGCGCGCCAGGCCCAATTCCAAAGATCTTAGCGCCTCGGTGGTTCCGAAGAAGCAAATCGAAGGGACATAATCCGTTCCCCCTAATATTAAATAGAGATTTTGAGAGGATATGTAAACCATATATTAATCAGTAGTATTAATCTATGTTAACCTATGTTAACCATCAACAACTTTCTGTTAGATATAATCCATCTCCTAATATTAACATATATTAACCATCAACAATGGGGATTCCAAGCATTACAAGATGGATCACGGGGACTAATATTAAACACCCCCTGTGAAACTAATGTAAAAAAGTATAGGGAATTTCCACATTCCATTGGGACCATCTAATTAATATTGTGGGGACCATCTAATTTCATATTAGGGTGATGGGACGATTCAGATCACTACTATATTAGTACTTTTAGTATCTTTTAGTGGGATTTGGTTTCTGACTTTTTGTGATGTTACTAGAGCTCACACCCTTCTTGAGCTAGATGATATCAGATGACTTAATGTTCGATGTTCATCCCCATTCCTCCAGACGTGAATGATGAACCTCAGATTTTTGATGATTAAGCATGCATGCGATTGGTTGAGAACCGTCAAAGTCAGGGTCAGACATTGGTTCCAGGTAGATATCCCATTTTGGCGGGGTTGGAATCATAAAGAACAAATTCTACTGCGTGCTCTGAGCCCTTGGCAGAGTGACACGATATGTTCTGTCATTATCTTGGAGATCCATAAGACAATGACGTTTTTGGCTTTTCACCGAAACTGTGTGCAGAAGTCCCAATGGACATGACTTTCCAGGGCAAATTTTCAGCGATTTGTTTAGTGTCTGAGATTCTCCGCAGTTTCCGTTCGCCACATTGGCCTTGAGTTCATCGGGTTCAGGCAAATTCCGATTAAGATTGCTGCATACTCAAAGACATAGGTTGATGGTTGGAACAAACCTCGAATTGGAAACGGAACAGTAAACTCAATCGAGGCTTTGAAGATGTTGTTTCTTATGGACATCTATTGTGTTGTCATTTCGCGATGAACACTCTTGGACACCCTGTCACAACGGATGTTGTTCAACCGTCAATGACTTGGGGTCCAGTAGTGATTTTCCAAGTGATGCATCCAGAAATATCATCAAATATCTAGATAAAAACCCGGGATAATATGTTTTCATCATATGAAATTAGATAAAATATAAAGGATTAGATAAAATATAAAGGATATCTAGATAATTGATCATCATTTATATCATCAAATATCATCGTTGCCATCCTTGGACTTCATTTTTTATATGTGTTCAATGGGGGTTTTGTGAAAACCCATTGCCATCACCGATCAGCAGCCATCACCTGGGATGCGCCGCCTGAGATCTGGCCTCCCGACGCCGAATATTCGCCACCGGCGGTCTATTCTCCGAAGGAGGTGAACCACGGCACGGGGCTTCGGGTGAGTTATAGTCAATCTGTCTGGGTAAATTATAACGACCTCACTGCGACCTCACTGGAAATCATGGTTAGTAAGGGAAATCATCCCCAAATGGCCTTAATTCAGGTTAGTGAAATATTATAATTTACCCAGATCTGTATTACAATGTCTTACATAGATGAAATACCATCTATAATATGTATATGTATATATAACAAGCATATATGTATGTATTATCATATAATAGTACGGCCAGGCGCTGTGTGTTGCCCGGAGATTTACAGGGACGTTCCCGGCAGTTTTATGAAGATATCTTACATGTTATTTCCCATTTCAATATAGAGTTTAAGGGGGTGGCGTATTTTAATCCCTCATGATGATATGAAGATATCTGACATGTTATTTCCCATTTCAATATAGAGTTTAAGGCGGTGGCGTATTTTAATCCCTCATGATGATATGAAGATATCTGACATGTTATTTCCCATTTCAATATAGAGTTCAAGGGGTTGGCGGATTTTTATCCCTCATGGTGACATGAAGATCAAGTTTCATGTTATTCCTAATTTTTATATATAGTTCAGAGGGGGTGGCAGACTTTAATCCCTCAGGATATCTTAACATGTTATGATCTATTTCTTGGTTGCCGCACCCAGCGGATACTGGGTTCGCAAGTTGTACTGGGCACTGGCTGCTTGCCAAGCGATGCGATCGCGGTCATCATCATCATCATCATCATCATCATCATCCAACATCATCTAATGAATCTAACATCATAGTTGTGGGTCTGGGCAACACACGGTGCCTGTGGGTAATTATAATATTATGTTGGGATTAATTATCAGAAATCCATGATGGGACTCCCGTTCTCAGCCAGTATCATCCGCCATTTGGGGTTCGCCTTGGTCATCTAAAGGTTTACTGAAACCTGTTGGGTACTAACGCACTAGTGGTGAGAAAGTTCGTGATGACTCCCTGGTAAGCAAACCTGGCAATGGACAATCCATTTGTTCAAGAAGAACATTATCTACCCTCACGTTTTTTCCCATCAGGTTGGAATGATGAATCAGATACACAGAATGAAGTAAATCAGTTTCGAATCAAATAGATTAAATAGATGCTTCCCATCTTTTTAGGAACCACTTTTTCCCCGCGTCCCCAGATGTATAGAACAATGACTCGCTGCTATTCCAATGGTGATATAGTCTTTTCTATCCTGGTGGGTGGTTTTAATAGGCTCTGGCAACAGCCCCAAAAAAATGCTGAACATGTCTGGGGACCACCAGCGCAAATTTGGATTCCCCAAAACGTCAGAGTTCCTAATCGGTTTGGAATCCCCCAAAGTTTGTGATATTGGAGGGACCCCTAAGACGGGGGGTCCTTATGTTTCAGCGTTTTTGACAGGGTTACAGGGTACACATCACTTGTTGGTCACTTGTTGGTGGTTAAACAATGATTGATCCCAAAAAAGGTGATGCCTATCAAGGACATAAAAAAAAAAAAAACGAATCCTGCAAGAAAAGCACGCCTGCATCCCGGACGCAGTTCACCCGCAAAACAGCTTGGAATCCCTCAAAAACTCAGAATCCCCAAGAATTTTCTGGTTGGTGGTTTGGAACCATGGAATTTTATGACTTTCCATTCAGTTGGGAATGTCATCATCCCAATTGACTTTAATATTTTTCACAGGGGTAGGCTCAACCACCAACCAATTTTAAATCCTCCAGGTCCAATATCCGCGCAGGAGCCTCGTCGATCCACTGAGATCAGCCTCTGAGCTCAGCCGAAGTCTTCGGCTGAAAACGGGAGAGTTTCGCAGCAAAAAAACAATGGTGGGCTGAGAGATGCAGCACTCATTTTGGTTGTATGGCCATTGATCAATGGAAATGATCATGATATATCATGATATCATGCCAATAATTATAAGGCCATGATAAGGCCATCATCATGAGGAATTTGATCAATGAATGTTGTTTAAAAACAAATAAAAATGTGTGTTTCGAAGTATCTGGGAGGCGAGGATAATTTTCGGTGATTTCAAAGAACTGCCAGTGTTCTTCACTCGGACGATGATTTTGGTGGTTTCACCCATGTCTCATCTTGATTCTCTGGGATCATGATCCCAACGAACTAATATGCTTGAAGGGGGGTGAGACTAGACTTAGAACCTGAAAAGCGACAAAGCTATGGTGGTTTTACATGGTTTTATTGAAACACATGCAAACATGCAGCTTTCTGCTTTCTTGAGCAGAACTATCAACAGCAAGGACAAACATGATGATCTGATGACTGAATCTGGTTCAATTATCCTCACTGCGACGTTACTGGAGTGATGGTTAGTATAGGGGTAACTATCCCCACATGTCCTTATTCCGGAAGATTGGGATTTTGGGGATGTAAGTTCTGAGGTTAGAAGACTTGTAAGCTCCAAGAGCTGTCCACCACATCCGGTTTGCTCAGCTCATCTCAGCTTCCATGGCTGTAGAATCCCATAAGTAACCGATGACTGATGATTTTCCCCGTTGGCAAGCTCCATTTTGATGATTTTCCAGCCACATTTGAGTACTAGAACTTTTCATTACTGCACCCAACACGATAGACGGTATAATGATGTATAATTGCAATTAATGTACCATAATTTAATTGGATTTCACTGTTCATGATGTTGTTGTTCCATCCTTTCGTTGGTTATCGTAAAATGAAAAGCCACCGAATCACAGTACAGACCACCCACCAGGGTCGCCTTCTGAAATTCGCCTTCTGCATGGTTTTCTGTCGCCTGCGGTGGCATCTTGAAAGCTTGGAGTCTGACTGGTCCCATTTTTGAGGGGACTCTGACATGGATAGATCCAATTCTGAGGATTTCGTTTGGGTGATAGTTACAATGTGAGGCCCCCAAAAAAAGCTCAGTTGGTGAACATGACTCCAATTTCACCATGGTTTATGAATGATTATGATAGTATGATACTTATAACATCTTATAACTTATAACTTATAACCCATATAATTATATATATACACTTATATAATGGGCGTTATAAACCAAGAAACATCACTGGGGGCCCCACATTTTTTCATATGTGTGTCTCATGGTTGATCCCTCTGCCATACATCCAACAGTGACGGCACAAAATCAGTTCAGTTGAGTCAGTTGGGATATAACAAAATCATGCCGTAACTGCAGTTATGGCCATGGCTATCAGTTATAAGTACTAACTTAAGTCACCCCATTTATAGAATGTATTTCATCCCATAGTTTTATAACCACTTATAACCGGTAAATGACCATAACTGTGGGAATGAACCACTCGCGATTTTTACATATGTTTACTGTACTTAGATGATATCAACAGTTATGACAAGCTGAAAATGGCCCATCTAAGATATCATCTATAAGTACAGTAAATGCATGTAAATGCTGTTGAACCACTCGCTCAGCCGCACGTGTGCCGACGTGGTTCAACAGACTCTCAGACGAAGCTTGCGTTGCCTAGTTGTGCTCGCCGTTTTGGTGACGCCAGGGCTGTCAGATGCCAGGGACTGCTGGGCCCGGCATAAGAAGATTCTGCCGTATGGCGGTCCTGGTTTAGGCTAGTTATACAGTATATCAGTACATCTATACAGGATGGTGCCCCCCAGTTATAAGTTGGTTTATAAACCCCATTAATTAGCTATAGTTATATCTACTCGTACCATAAACCATAGTTATGGGAGTTATAAACCAACTTAGCTAACTATGGGGCATCACCTTGTACCGTCTGTACCTTGCTTTTTCGGGGTGAACACTTTGTGTCAGATGCCGATTTGATCAGTGAAAGCCCTGGTTCTGAAGGTTATTTGGTGGCCAGGGGGCACTAGGTGTTTCCAAGAAGAACCTAGTGCGTTGTAGGCCTTACTGTATAAGAACAAAGATGTACAAAGAATCAGCAGTTGTGAAATAGCCTAATTACTTGTTTTAGTACAAAGAAGGCATGCCTCGTACCTTCATCAAACAAGTCTGAATAGTGATTCAGAAGAAGATATGGATAATGATTTTTGTTTCCCCACTTGCCAGGTGAGGGTCTCTAGATTTTATCGGAGTTACTTCCGCTTTCTCCTCCTCCCTTCTCCTTCCTTCCTCCCGCGAGCTCGCAGTTGAGGTCCGGCAGTGCCCACTGAGATCCGGCACTTGCAGTTGAGATCCGAGGCTGCCGGAGGAGAAGAAAGCGAAGGAGAAGAAAGCAACTCTGATAAAATCTAGAGACCCTCACCTATATACACATACAGCAGTGAGCGAATAGGGTCTGCAGGGCGCTCAAGGATTGTTTACATATGTTTTTTCTTGTGCAGGGGGGTTGATGATTTCAACTGGGCTGAAGGGTTGTGAAAAAATCTCACCGGCCATGCAGTCTTTGGTCCCCCTTGGCAGGGATCCACAAGTGTCCCCCCCTGAAGCGTGTGAATTCCACAAGCTCCAGATGCCGTTCAGAGATGGGGATGGGTCAGAATTGAACCATGTGTTTTTCGGTTTGCCACTTTTGATGGTGAAAGACTCCGATTTTCCACCTGTTTTTTACTTCAAAGGGTATCTAAGGTTGGCCAAAACTTGCACTGCGTAGGCGAATGCTGCACGTAGATAAATTCTGAACATATTAAAGAAATGGGGACCATTTTTATCCTCGTTTTTTAACCCAATGCTGAAATTCACCAATAAAATCCAAGAATGTCAGAAAATCATAGAATTCATAATATTTTGACCCATAAGACCCCGACTGAACTGAGGTGCTGGAAATGCCATATACATTATATACACTGTTACAAAATATCGACTTGGGTAAGCAAAGATAGTTCAGGAGCAAGGAAGGCTGGATTCGGCTGGATGCTACTCAGGAGGAAGCTAAAGAGCCCAGACAGACTCAACCACCGACAAGTTTCCTTCAATAGAACCATGTTTTTTTCACACATATTTCAAATTTCCAACATCAATGAACTTGTGCCGCCATGTACGTGGTACGTTTCCGCATGCGGAAAAATAAAAAAACAGCTGCTGGATCCGGATCTTGTGTTGCCATCGGTTTGTTTGACCTCTTTGGCTCATGGTTTCAGATAAAATTTGTGAATTTTGATGTTCAGTTCCAGTATATACTGGATGCTATCTTTATACAAAATATCTTTATTGACCTAGTTATATATTCCTGAAACTCCATCAAACAATATTTATGTTCATTACTGCAAGTTAATGACCCTGGTTGTGGTTGTTGTTGTTGTTGTTGTTGCTGTTGCTGTTGCTGTTGCTGATGCTGTTGCTGTTGTTGTTGGTGGTGGTGGTAGTGGTGGTGGTGGCGGTGGTGGTGCTGCTGCTGTTGTTGTTGTTGTTGCTGTTGTTGTTGTTGCTGCTGTTGTTGTTGTTGGCGGTGGTGGTGGTGGTGCTGTTGTTGTTGTTGTTGCTGTGGTTGTGTTGATGGTGTTTGTTGTGTTTGTTGTGTTTGTTGTTTTTTGTCCCTGTTCTTGTTACTTTTATTGTTTTTGTTCTTGCTAGTGTTAAAACAAAATCATATAAGTGAAATTCATTTGTTGAATACATGTCTCGAATCCAGGATCCAATTGATACAATCCTGACGCCGCAGATTGGTTGTAGACACGACCATTCGGGATATGGGCCTCAAAAACTGAATCCTGAGATTCTTTGAATTAGATCAGTTTTTCGTTTTTTTTTGAGCATATAACTAAGTAACATATACCTCGAAATATCATACCATTTCTCCATTCCGAAGTCTGATGCTCGCCAAACATCACCTCCCCCGGGCTTTACTGGGGACCACAGGGCACCACTGGATGCGGAGGCGGCTGAGTGCCCCTGTTCCGCTGGTGAGTTTTAAGTCGAACACCTCGTTCAGCAGTGAACGGCTTGGATCTCAGACGAACTGACAGGATCTGATGATCTGATGAGTATCTACATTTGTGGCCCAAAATACCAGTTATAAGTACTGACATAGTCCCATATTTATATATATAATATATAATTATATATACACACACATAGAATGTATAATCCCATTTATTTCCAGTTATAACAGTTATAACTAATCAATGGCCATAACTGTGATGATCTGATGGGTATCGGTATATCGATGTGGTAAACTCCATAAACACAAACGCCGGAAACGCCCAGTGTTTTAACTTAAGTGAATATCCAACCATTTCTGAAAAGTGATGGCATCATATCCCCCACAATTTTTTGCCCAGATCTGTTGTTTTCGTTCCTTGCGGGTGATGACTGGTGCAAGCAACCAGTCTACTACTCGTATTGTATAGGACTAGGAAGTGGGATGAGATGTGGGATGAGAAGTGGGATATAATATAATATAATCTATAATTGGAGTGGGCAGAGCCTGAGTAGATACACTTCATCAGTTCCATGGATGTTGTGATGTCCAAGTGATTGTTTTCGTTCATCCAGTTGAACCTCCCCACAGTACAGGTAAACAGATGATACCCTTGGGAACCACCGTAGCTCAGGGGTGTGGCACCTTATACGAGATCCAAATCTTCGAGCATGCTCTCAGGCAAGGACTATCGCTCTCTGCGGGTGAAGCATCGATTAAGGAATGCTGTTGAATCATAGAGTGGCTCCCTACCCAAGCTGATGATTAGACAGGAAAGTTCGGGAAGTGTTTGATTGAGAAAACTCACATAACAGGTCAAAAATGAGAGTCATCATTGATTGTAGTTCATTAAGTATTCTCACTGAAGAATTTGCTGGCCAATTGGAGGTAAATTCTTTTGCGACGTCACCAGGCATGATGGTTATATCTATATATATATAGATATATAGTATAGGGAAACGACTATGAAAAACTACAATTGCACTATGTAAGATATTTCTGCTGGGCAGCAGCTTAGCCAACATTTTTCTACCTTAGTCGCCTTAGCCCCTGGCCCCCTGGCCCTTGCGCACAGCCCTGTAAACCAAAGATATCGGAGTTTTTTGGGGGCCCCAATTTTTTTTGGGGCCCCTGGCTGAGAATTTGCACAGGTCTTGCGTTTTAACTGGTGGCTTGTGTTTTATGGATTGGCCCCCCCCAAATAGGCACCAAACTCTGCATTTTGGACCAAAGAGAAACCATGCCATTCTCATGGATTCATGGCTCAACAAAAAAGATAAACCACAAGGCAATGCAAGTTTGAGTCACCTTAGTTATCATACATGTTACATATAACTATAACTTGTAACCAGGTAATTCATTTTTTTATTACATATATACTTACTACATACTTAGCTCAAACCAACCCATCCAAGATTCAAAAGTCAAATCATTGTCATTGTCATAGAAGGCTGGGAAAATTTTAAAATTCAAAAAAGGCTGCGAAAAGATAGCATTATGGATTCCCTTAAACGATTTTTTTTCAAATAAGAAAATTTTAAAAATCAAAAAAGGCTGGGAGAAGATAGGGTTATGGATTCCCTTATTTGATTTTTTTTCAAATAAGAAATTGATTTTTTTAAAAAAAAAACTAGTTTTTTTTAAGGAATCTCTTAAACGATTCTCAAATAAGCAAATTTGAAACTTCAAAAAAGGCTAGGAGAAGATAGGATTATGGATTCCCTTATTATGCCCTTATTTGATGTTTTTTTCAAATAAGAACTTTGAAAAAAACTAGGATTTTATATGAATCTCTTAAACGATTTTTGTTCTCAAATAAGCAAATTTGAAAATTCAAAAAAGGCTAGGAGAATATAGGATTATGGATTCCCTTAAACGTTTTTTTTCAAATAAGAAAATTTAAAAATTCAAAAAAGGCTAGGGGAAGATAGGATTATGGATTCCCTTAAACGATTTTTTTTACCTAAGAAAATTTTAAAATTCAAAAAAGGCTGGGAGAAGATAGGATTATGGATTCCCTTATTTGTTTTTTTCAAATAAAAAATGTTTTTTTTAAAGACTATGGTTTTATATGAATCTCTTAAACGAGTTTTTTCTCAAATAAGCAAATTTGAAAATTCAAAAAAGGCTAGGAGAAGATAGGATTGTAGATTCCCTTAAACGATTTTTTTTTACCTAAGAAAATTTTAAAATTCAAAAAAGGCTGGGAGAAGATAGGAGGGTTCCCTTATTTGATAATCAATTTAAAAAAAAACAAGGCTGACATCGGTTCTTTCATCAAATTTGCTTCCAAACTGGTGTCTATTGTTTTTTGTTTTTTTTTAATTGTTTAACATGTTTTGGTTGCATTTTTTTTTTGGAATTTTCCTTTTTTTACTATTTAATTTAGTTTAAATATATAAACAAAAACAATACCAATCTCTCTGACTCTATTCTACCTACAGTTTTTTTTTCAATCATTTTTCTTATTTTGATTTGATATGTATTTGATAAAAAATATGGCAATCTTCTCCCAGCCTTTTTTTAATTTTCAAATTTTCTTATTTGAAAAAAACGTTTAAGGAAACATAATCCTATCTTGTCTTCTCCCAGCCTTTTTTAATTTTCAAATTTTCTTATTTGAAAAACAAATCAAATAAGGGAACCCTCCTATCTTCTCCCAGCCTTTTTTGAATTTTAAAATTTTCTTAGGTAAAAAAAAATCGTTTAAGGGAATCCATAATCCTATCTTCCCCCAGCCTTTTTTGAATTTTAAAATTTTCTTATTTGAAAAAAAAAAATCTTTTAGGGGAATCTACAATCCTATCTTCTCCTAGCCTTTTTTGAATTTTCAAATTTGCTTATTTAGGAAAAAACTCGTTTAAGAGATTCATATAAAACCATAGTCTTAAAAAAAAAAACACAATTTTGTTATTCGAAAAAAAAACAAATAAGGGAATCCATAATCCTATCTTATCCCAGCCTTTTTTGAATTTTAAAATTTTCTTAGGTAAAAAAAATCGTTTAAGGGAATCCATAATCCTATCTTCCCCCAGCATTTTTTGAGTTTTAAAATTTTCTTATTTGAAAAAAAAACGTTTAAGGGAATCCATAATCCTATCTTCTCCTAGCCTTTTTTGAATTTTCAAATTTTCTTATTTGAAAAAAACGTTTAAGGGAATCCATAATCCTATCTTCTCCTAGCCTTTTCTGAATTTTCAAATTTGCTTATTTGAGAACAAAAATCGTTTAAGAGATTCATATAAAATCCTAGTTTTTTTCAAAGTTCTTATTTGAAAAAAACATCAAATAAGGGCATAATAAGGGAATCCATAATCCTATCTTCTCCTAGCCTTTTTTGAAGTTTCAAATTTGCTTATTTGAGAATCGTTTAAGAGATTCATACAAAAAAAACATAGTTTTTTTTTAAAAAATCAAATTTCTTATTTGAAAAAAAATCAAATAAGGGAATCCATAACCCTACCTTCTCCCAGCCTTTTTTGATTTTTAAAATTTTCTTATTTGAAAAAAAATCGTCTAAGGGAATCGAATCCATAATCCTATCTTTTCCCAGCCAGGATGTTAGCACAGGACACGCATGCACCAAAAACAGTGCACGGCGCACAGTGGGGAAAAAAGGCCAGCAGCATCAATTTGGAAGAACTGGGTTCCATGTGTTTTTTTTCTGTTTTGGAACTTGCGCAATAATAAAACGCAAGGGCAAACTTATACCGCAAGCAAAACAGCTACCTGTGAAAATTGACACCCCTGGCCTTGTACTTGTTGGTTTCATCAACAGGTCAACCTTTGGAACTAGCCCCCGTGGATCCCCGTGCATCCCCTCGTTGAGGCGACGTTCCAAATCACTCGCCCTCCTCGTCCTTCAGCTCCTCGTTGAACTCCACCTTTGCCGCCGCCTCGGTTTCGCCGCCGAGCTGTGGGGTATGAGCTGAACGCAAAGACATAATAAAGGTACTAAGAAAACATGTTGCAGAAAACTGAATTTCTAAGGCTACTTTGAAGGTGTATATATATATATCGATCTAGAATGCTATAGATATGTCCCGTTATGTCCCCCAGAAACTTCACTGAAGCTAGTTATAAACTGACAGAAAACTGCTTTTCGTTTCGGGGGCCCTTCTGTGTATTGTGAAGGGTGAGGCCCTTTACCGAAACCACTCAGTTGGTGGACATAGGTCAATTCCGTCTATGGATGTCCATGGTAGATATGATATATCGATCTAGTTCACTAGAAACCAACAAAGTTGACTTGGGGGCCCCACAGTTGCACCATATTTGGGGATGTTCTATTCGAGGCAAATAGCTGCGATAGTGCCAGGTGTTGTGTTGGACGAAAGTGACGAAAGTGGATAAATCGGTACAGAATGTATTGCATTAGAAGTACAGCAGCATTTACATGAACTGATGGACTCGATCATGGACTTCTTCTTTCGAAGCAGATGTTTTGAAGTCAGGCTCAGCCATGATGGCTGCTATAACGACCCGTTGAGGATGAGCCCTTTTTTTGGGCGCAGGGGTATGTTTCCAGGTCAAAGAATACCAAGGTTACCAGAGATTAAGAAGTTCAATTATCACGGCGAGGTTCAGGACAAGAAGTGAGTTTTAGAACTTAGCTGGTTGGTGATTTGGAACCATGGAATTTTATGACTTTCCACATATTGGGAATGAAATCATCCCAATAGACTTTCATATTTTTCAGACGGGTAGGTCAACCACCAACCAGCTTGGAGCTTATTTTCATATCATCCAACTTCGAAGGTCACTGATCCTGAGTCCGTCCCCTTGTTTTTCCACCCAGGGCGAAGCGCCCACATGGCTTTTGTCGGGGAACTCCGGGAGCATCATTTTTCGAAGCCAATCAGATTTGTTCAATAGCTTCGATGAGCTTCACTTTGCAACAACCTCCAAAGCAATGCCGAGCAGGTTTCGAAGTTATGTTATGTAACATATATATATATATGATCATTTGCCAAAAATAGTTGACAGAAGTTTTGTACTAGTTGTTGATAATTAGTGTGAATCTAGAATCTAGTGTTTTTTCTCTTCGTTATAAGGCGGCACGCAACTAAATTCACCAATTCTGAAAGCCAGCGCTAGCAAACCCGCTAGGTTTGCGCTAGTTATTTTTAATATCAATGTTCAAAGATTCTTGTATGTGTTGCTGACTCGTTGGTATTTCAACACTAAGAAAATAATAAGATATAGCACGTAGCGCCTTAAACCTAAGGATGTCTTAGTGAATTTCTGTGCTACCCAACCATTTTCCTATGCTTTTTAATGTGTCGTTCAATTTTGCGAATTTATACGTAATTTTACCCGCTAGATCCCCGCGAGCAATGCGCTAGCAAAAGTTGCAAAAAGATGCAAAAAGCGGCTTTGGCTGACCCGTGACCCAGTCGCCGCCAGAGAACAGTGCCAGCAAAGGCAACGACAAGGATTATATGTATATATATATATATAGAGGTCATTATAGATCTCCCATTCTTGGTGGCTTCAAGACCCCATTAATCCCCATTATTTGGTTCATTTGGTATCTATAAGAACCATGCTCTTATTTAACCCCCCTTAAATGGTTCAAAAAACAACCATCACCTCAGCCCGGCGCGAAAGCCCCGCCTAGCCAGGTCTCCAAGCAGCTCACGAGTGTCTCCTTTCGTTGGCAGCCGGGCGATGCCTTTATCCACTGTTGGCATCGGAAGCTCAGCGACACGTGCGCGGCTGCGCGGGCAGCAAACGTTGGGCGGGCAGTGGCTGGGAGTGGGAGATGACCATAGTTCAATGTGTGGGAAACTTGTCATAGCCAGATCAATATAGAATAGAAGACATAAAACTAACAAGTGATAGATCTACGGGCAAATCATAGTTAAGCTAGTTATAACATGTCATAAAGCAACTTAACTACCGTGTTTTTTTTACCCCAGCTAGTATTGTCTGCAGGGTATATCGACGTCATTGATTTGTCCGGCTTCACCCTGGGCAGGAATCTGCTGATGGCGATTCCCGATGTCAGCTATACTTACATTGCCTGGTTGGTGGTTTGGAACATGATTTTTGTTTACCTGTATTGGGAAGAATCATCCCAACTGACGAACTCATATTTTTAGATGGGTAGGTATACCACCAACCAGTTGCTATCCAGTCAAAGTATGCAGCAAATGACTATCCCTTAGTAAAATGTTGGCGGTTGATTCGAGTTGGCAGAGGATTTCAATAGCCATTTGCAGAATGATGTCACAGGCCAGGGTGCAAGCCTGATGTTGCAGCCCTTGGAATTCAACAACCACAACATTTCGGTTTGTCCGGGAGATACATTAGTTTCAAGAGGTACACTTGCTGGTATACAACAAATATAAGTAGTTATAAAAACATCAATTTTGGGGAAGTAAAAAACAGAATTAGCTTATTTTAAGATCCCATATCATCCCATTTATCCCATGTCATATCGGATTTTCCCATATATCTAATATATTATCCCATGTTATACCATATTATCCCATTAAGTGTGTCAGAGTATTTTATTCCATGGCATCCTGTTTTCATCTGTCGATTCTTCCATCGTTCAGAGCGTCGTCCACAAAGTGGGGCCCCCTAGATAGCTAAGTCGGTTTGTAACTCCAATAAGTATAGTTTATGGTACTTATAACCATAGTTAATGGGGTTATTTCGACCAACTAACATCACTGGGGGGGCCCACATTGCAGGTATCAGGACTACAACATGGTGAACCTCATCGGTGAAGGGAGGAACGGTGCCGTCTTCATTGTGGTGACCTCAGAGCCAATTTAAATGGTGTATTATATTGTTATATCTTGTTAAATATAAGATAGCTAAGTTGGTTTATAAGTGGCTGAATTCTATGGTTTATGGTAGATATAACGAACTAGTTAATGGGGGTTATTTCATGGTGTACAAACCAACTAATGACCTCACTGCGACCGAAGCCTGGAATCATGGTTAATAAGGGAAATCATCCCCAAATGACCGCAAGTTTCAGGTTAGTGAAATATGATAATTTACCCAGATGAATGAGTTAGACCCAGAAAAAAAATCCTGGAAATGATATATATATATATAGTTGGTTTGTGAAGGGTAAACAAACATGTTGGTGAGTTGCTTTTGTTGATTAGTCAATGTTAAAAATCTATAGTTGGTTAATGTTGGTTAGTTTTTTTTTTTGGTTGATATAGTGAACACAGAACTTGGTCATTTTTCCATACCCACATATACATATCTTTGTGCTTCTTTGGGTACGTGTTTGTTTTTTTGTTTGTGGGATGGTACTTTGGTGGCTAGGTGAAAATAGTGAACTCTGCAGTAGAAAACTATAGCGCATGGGCGACTTCCCTAGAAGCTATGGAGCCCCAGAGTTAGAAGTTGGTTTTGAAACCCCACTCATGAAGTAGTTCGATATAAACCCTATAAACCATATATATATATATATGCATGTATAGATTATAGATTGTTTATTGTCATGTTCACCAACATAGCTAATCGTAATCGGGGGCCTTACCCGGTGACTGTAATTTGATGATTGGTCAGGTTTTCTGGTTTTCTGGAGGGTAAAGTCAACCCCCGCGTATATCTCGGCTTGAAACAAATAGGCATGGGAAGTATGCTCAAAAAGCAATAGATGTTTAAACATTTTCCACATATGGAGGTTTCCTAAAATGGGGCTTGCCCCAAATAAATAATCCCCCCCAAAACAATAATGCCAATGTGTTGTTTGGCCATATTATTCGGTCAGTTGGGCACCACAGGCACTAAGCCGTATGATCACCGAAGTATGGCCAGTCTCGCAGAAGTTGCCCGTGTTTCTTGCTGAAATGAGACATTGACATCGGTGGTCGTTCAGTGAGAGTTGGTGTTTACACCCTGAGGTTCAGCACAAGATCAGCGAGCAGTACTATGCTTGCAAAGTCCTGCACAAAGCCTGGGTCCCGGTGGGTCCTGGTGTTGGAAAATGGCACTTTGTGAATATCCCAACAGTCCCAACTAAGTATACTAAGTAATATCATTGGTGCAAATGTACAGAAGCCATCATTGGTGCCTTCTTTAAATAATTTATTTGTGACTTTGGGACATGTTCACCAGCATATTCTGCAAGCAGTTCCTGTTCCAAACGCTCGGAGAATGCCTGGTAGGCGGAACAGGACTCCAGCGCGCTACGAGCGGAGATCAAGGACTGGATCAGCTACTGTCTGAAAATGGCGGACCGAACGAAGCAAAGGGGATACAACCGGTATACCCTCTGGTAAAGTAACATAGCTATTGAACATGGCCATAGAAATAGTGGATTTACCCATTGAACATGGTGATTTTCCATAGTTTTTTTGTATGTTTACCAGAGGGTAATGTTGGTAAAACAACAGCTGGTTGGTGGTTTGGAACCATGGAATTGTATGACTTTCCATTCAGTTGGCAATGTCATACTCCCAACTGTTACTCAGTCCATCATTTTTCAGAGGGCTAGCTATACCACCCAGATAAATGTGGATCAATCAATGCCATTTGCACCACCTTTTTCTTGGGAGATGGTTCAATTCATAGCTATTAAATTTGGGGATTTAGGGGGACGGTTTATTAGAATTTTACCCACATGAAATATTGGATATGATATTGTAGGAATAATTATACCCTCTGGTAATTTAACATAGCTATTGAAAATGACCATTTATAGTGGATTTTCCCATTGAACACATGGTTATTTTCCATAATTTCCATAGTTATGTTAGTTTACCAGAGGGTATGTGGAACAATGGAATATATACGATGACTTCCGGTTTGCAAGCTGGATATTTTTCATGTTTTAAATATGTTTAAGGGGTAAGCCGGGTAAACGATCAAATTTTGCATGGTCCACGTGCCATAGCAACTCGTTAAAACACGAGAATATCATTTTGATGTGTGCAAATCGATGAATTTCAAGATAGGTTAGGATAGTCATTTACAGAAAAAAATAATATCACTTATTTAAATCCTTAAATAGATGATAGATGGAGAACTTTCACTGGAGATGTTCAGACATTTTCCTGCCCTTCTCTCTATTTGATGGGCATTGTCCAGAAGTTTCCTGGATTTACACAAGGTCGGCCCTCGGTCCCTGTTGCTTTATAAACCCTTTGAACTACATCGAACTATGTCTACTTCTATCATTTTATCATATTTTATCTACCATAAACATCCATAAACCAATACAGTAGAATCCACTTTTGATGGCCACTAACTTAGCCAATTTCCTAAAGATTTTTCACGGACCCTCCCACCTTGCAGCTTTCCGGCAGAACTTGCGGATGCTGGACCATCCCCACTTGGTTCGCCTCTACGAAGTCAATGAAGACGCCGAGGCGAACGCAGATTTCCCACGGTTCGTTGTTTTTTTCAATCTGACGTAGGATCCATGGTTTAATCAGAGTCACTGGTATTTAGTTAGCTTTAATCATGGGATATAACTTGATATAACCATATAACCAACCAAGTTGATATGACACTTACCCTCTGGTAAACTAACCTAACATAGCGAACTGGAAAATCACCATGCTATTAATGGGAAAACTCACTCTAAATATTTAATTAATGGGCCAGCTATTCAATAGCTATGTTAAATTACCAGATCAAAGGGTACCCTTAGGATCAAAGTAGACAAATAGGGCAGTATCGGCAAAGTCGGTCCCAGAAGGGTACTTTTCGGACAATGCACCATCTTTTGATCCTCAGAGTATAAGGTAGTTTTAAGTCATTCTGAATGAAATCTATTGAAATCTCATGTTTGTTAAATCTGACTTAATAAATATAATATATAATAATATATATATATATAATAATTATAATCTTAATAACAATCTGATCTTTTTTGCCCTGCTTGAGGCAGTTTTCCTGCTGATGGAGTATTGCAGTGGAGGAGATTTGTTCAGTCCGGTGGCTCAGATGAAGAGATTTCAAAGTGTCAAAAGTGTGCCAACTCGGTGTTGTTCCAGTTCGGTGGCCAACTCGGTTTATAACAAAAGACAATGATTTATAGGGGATACATGTATTTATATATACCCTACAAGTCCGCGACATGAAAAGAAAGGGGGTTAGGACTCGACCTTTCTTTGGCGTGAACCCCCTTTGTTTGCATGCTTCGCTTTTCGGCTTTGGACCGATTCTGGTCAAAAACACATCACTGGGGGGCTCCATCTTGTACAGGTTTGGGACAAATGCTCTTAGTTGAATGCTAAACAACGATTGAATGCAGAAACTCGCGATTCAAACAGACAACTTTGGTGATTTGAGACAAAATGTATCAAAATGTAAGCCAGTGGCAAACTCAAGTCACCAGAAAATATGTTAGACTTCACGTCAGCAAACTTTCTTCAGAACCGTTAGACATCATTACAGTTATGGCCATAAAAACCAGTTATAACTGGTTATTTCTATGGGATGAAATACATTCTATAAATGGGGTGACTTGTTAGTACTTATAACTGATCAACTGCCATAACTGTAGATATCATTAGACTTAAGATTCAACAAACTTTCAGCTCTCCTGCCAGGCCTCGTGACGGAAAGCCCCGAGGGTCGGCTGCCGGAGAAAACGGCCAGATCCTTCGCTGAGCAAATGCTCAGTGCGCTCCAGTGCCCCGGGTGGACTGGTAAGGTGCCACTGTCAGGAATGAGATATCACTTAAAATTGGGCGGTAAACCGGAACTAACCTCTCCTGTTTTTTTCGACAACGGTGATTGCCCCAGGGTTGATTTTATGTTATTCGGAAATGTAGCCACCTACTTGTAGCAAAGTTCATAAATGTTCCATAGTTTGAAATTGAAATTATTAATTAATGTATGTATGTATGAGGTATGAACCATTGCTATCCATTGCTATGTTAAATGGCCCAAGTGCAATCATGTTTGTATTCCAAGTCTTGTATGGGAGGACGCCCATTTAATGAATTTGGGAAAAAAAACGGGTTATGAACTATTTGCAAACTGGGATGCACCCCCGGTCGCCTGGTTTCGACAAGTGTTTCTTAAATGTTTGGGGCATCAAAAGCTCCGGTAATCAAACACAATGGAAATCCCCCATTGAATGATGTTCCATTGAAGCTCCATTGATACAATGTGCGGTCCCCCAGTTATAAGTTGGTTTATAGACTCCAGTAACTATAGTTCTAAGTACCAACATATAATAACTTTTTTATACCAATTAATATAAACTATAGTTTTGATTAGCCCGTTATAACTATATAGCTCCAGTAACCCCAGTAGCATTTTAAATTTAATAAGTTGGAGTCACGTTCACCAACTGAGCTCCGATTTTCCGGGGATTCAGGCCGCAGCTCACCTCAAATGGCTGCAGGTATTGCCACTCCATCGGCATCGTCCACCGGGACGTGAAGTCCGGGCCCCAGTGGAGAAGGACTTTCTGGGTCTTCTGCGGTAGATCCTAGCAGAAACATCCATAAACCCATATAAAAACCCTACAGGATGGGGCCTGGGGCTAAGTTGAGATATAAGTGGTTTAACTATGGTTTATGGCTTATGATAGATATAACTATAGTTAATGGGGTTTATAAACCAACTTATAACTGGGGGGGCACCATCCTGTATAGTTAGTGCGTGTTAGGACAAAGTGGTGCCCCCTAGATAGCCAAGTTGGCGAACATAGCTAGTATAGCTATATTTATAGCTAGGGCTTATGGGAATGATAACTATATAATATCACAGTATATATATATATATAAAGTTCATAGGGCTTTACAAACCAACTTAGCTAACTATGGGGGGGCACCATATTGTGGGATGATCCTCTAAGTATGAACTACCCCATTCTTTGGGTTGAAGGGGCAGATTCCAAGGACTTCACGACGATCTGTGCCATAATCTGACATCTCACAGATACCAGCCTTGCTTGTTGCCCAGAGAAAGGTTCCTGGGTTCCAAGGAAATGGCATTGCTTTGTCTGAAATTCCGTTTGATTCAAGGTCTTGAAGGCATTCCCAACATTATTCAAGGTCATTATCTCAAATTATGTAGGGATACCCGAGGAATCGGAGTTTTTTGCTGATATCCCTACATACTACTGATTTGTCATAGTCTTGCAAGGTGGAGTCCCCCATTTATAACTTAAGTCTAATCATGATCAAACATAGCAATCACCACAACCATCCCATAACCGTAGCACCGTGTGGGTACCTCTCTGTCACACCGAAAGCATACTGAGATCGCCCTGAAAAGTTCCCTGACTTTGTTTTGGTTGTTTTTTTTTGAGGTGAAATCCTAAAAGGAACATGAGCATAAGGGTTAAATATGCTTAAATCGCAAAAAAAAAACATGAAAAAGAATAAAAAGAAAACCATCGACATCACAAGTTTTGCTGCGAAGTTCCAGTTTCTGCCCGGATCTATCGCCTTCTATCCCCAGGCCAGAGAACTTCCTCCTGGAAGGTGCTGTCGGGGAGGCCAGGGAAAAGCCGGGGCTTGGGGAATAGAAAGGCTGTTAAGATCGATCAAAACCTATAGAAAAAACTGTGGTTACCCATAGGATCCATCTATGGTATATATGCTAACATTGGGGGTATATTGATGGTAAATGTTACATATATAGCATACATGGATCCTATGGGTTTTGATTTATGATTGACGAATCTCAAAAAACAGGTGTTAAACTCGTTGAAACATAATATGTTGAAAAAGCTCGCACGAGCGTAAAACAAAGGATAAAAATAGTGGATCCGCTCCAACTTGCTTGGTTCATAGAGTTCACATCGCGGTTCTGAACACGTGTCAACATCGCACAGGACGCGTCCACGGCCACGTTGAAATTAGCGGACTTTGGCATTGCCACGCACATCCGGCCGCTCTGCGTGACACGGAGGGACGTGGAGTTGGGTATGCAATGAGTTGTGCATTTGCAAATGGGGTACTGGTTGGTGGTTTGAAACATGTTTTACTTTTCCATATCTTGGGAATGTCATCATCCCAACTGTTACGAACTCCGTCATGTTTCAGAGGGGTAGGTCAACCACCAACCAGGGTAGTTTACCACAAAAGCCATGCCAAATCTCCAGTAAGATGACTGTAAGTCACTGGCCTCGGAAGGATAAGCTAAGCTGCTTTCCTGGCCTCCAATAACTCTGCGATTTCTGATATATATATATATATAATATATATTATATATATAATATTTATATATATATATATGTATATGGTATATATGATATATATGATATATATGATATATATGATATATATATGGTATATATGATATATATGATATATATGATATATATATGATATATATATGATATATATGATATATATGATATATATATATATGATATATATGATATATATATATATGATATATATATATGATATATATGATATATATATATGATATATATGATATATATGGTATATATGATATATATGATATATATGATATATATATGATATATATGATATATATATATATATATATATACGTATATATATATATATGTTTGTAGTAATCATGGGGGTTATAAGATGTTATAAGATACTTATACGGTATAAGTTGCACCTGTAGTATTCATGGCGGTTATTAATGCGGTTATAAACCAACAAACATCGTGTTTTGGGGGGCACCAGATTTTCATTGGCTGCTCACTGCCTCACTGAAGATACTGAAGCGGTTTGTTGCCTCGCGCATGGCACCCATGGGTATTGCCTCCAAGACTCATTTGCATTCATTTGCTTCATCCTACAAGGTGGTGCCCCCAAGATAGCTAAGTTGGTTTATAACTCTAATAACTATGGTTTATGGTACTTATAACTATAGTTAATGGGATTATAAACCAACTTATGACTTGGGGGGCACCACCTTGTATAACATCCTATAAAAACGACCACAGATGTTCAAAGTTCACTCTAAGCCTTGAAGTATTTTAGGCAAAATCTTTACTGTACCCGTACCCCCCAAAAGTGACACTATGCGGGGTTACCAAGCTGCAATATTGTCCACTGTCGCGGAGTTTTGTGGATGTTAGTGGACGGGGAATTTGACACCATCCACTGTTCCCAGGATGTTCCGTGATGTTTCCCACATATTTTCCAGGTTCTCAACTTGTCTTTTCTTTCCCATGACGGATCCGGTCCATGGTGCTGCTATATATGGTGTGCCATGGATCCCATCATTTTTTACCCCAGTCATGTTAGCATTAAAATACTAGCACCATGGATCCGTCATGGGTGTTGGTAAACCATGGAAAATCACCATGTTTAATAGGTAAAGCACCTATAAATGGGCCATTTTCCATAGCTATGTTAGTTCAGCAGTGGGGTGCCGACACCTTGCTCCACTGCCTGCGGTTGTCGAGAGCCCAGGTCGGCTGAGAGCCTTTCGGAGGGACAGGTGAACGGCAGCAGCTCGGAGCGGAGCGGAGCGCTGGGAGAGATCAGTTGGGATGCGCTATGCTATGCAGCAGGCCATGGTATTAGTAGGAAATCGAAAGGAAAAACATCACACATACATTATATCATATACGAATATATACAGATACTGATTGGTCGTTTGGAACATGTTTTTTTTTATGACTTTCCATATCTTGGGAATAATTAATAATCCCAACTGTTACTCACTCCATCATGTTTCAGAGGGGTAGGTCAACCACCAACGAGAAAGTTATATCAATGGTCAATGCCTACAAACTATTATTACAACCTATTGTGACGGAGTCAAAGTTAGAATGAGTCCCGGTTTTCCAAAAAAAAAGGATTCGTGCACTTAGAATGAGGTGAAAAACACCCTCAGTTAGAATGAGGGGGGCCTTCCAACCTTCAAATCAAATCATAAATCTATCTTAAACCATCCAAAATCCAGTAAAAGGAAATAATTTCCAATGCAACGGGTCATCAAAACCACAAACTATATATATATGCATGAGTTGTCAAGGTTTATATTCTTTCTCTTTCTCTCTCTCTCTCTCTCTCTCTCTGAAACCTATCCCTTCCATCCCAGCCTGCACTCGTCACGCCCATAGGCGGTTGTGGTCATTTTCCCCGTTTTCCCGCCTTGTTTTGAAATTTCGATCCTCTAGTCCCTAAGTCCGCGTGGATTCATCAAAACAACGAAAATATGTATTTATATATATAAATATCCAGAACTAAAAAGATTCCAACACCAATAGGATGGGGGTTCCTGTTTTGGAACTTTCAAGAGCCCCTGAAGCGGACAGAATTCGCACATGCTTTGAATTTAGCCTGAGGCCGCCAAACTATGGAACGTACTGGGGTGGCCCCGAGTTCGGGAAGTCCCAATGAAAAAATAGATTCACAGTTAGAATGACTGCCCTTAGCCGACATGCATGGACATTTACATAAATAAATAAATAAATATATATATATACCGTATATACACATAAGAAATCATGCTTTGTGATGAAACCAGAAGTTTTGATGGTTATAGTGACCGAGGGAAAGATAGAATGAGCGTTTGGAAAACCGCTATGATTTTTTTTGGGCCAAATGCAAGGCAAAACCCCTCATTCTAAGTGAAGGCACCCGGTTTTTCCATTTATCACCACAGTTAGAATGACGTCGTTTTTGCGCTTTAGGCTCTGACTTTGCGGCATGTGTGGGGAACTGCATTTTGGCGACCACAGATAGAATGACGACCAAACAGATGCCGAAACCGTTACGCAGTCCCAATCCGTTAGATTCTTCCAGAAAAGTGTCGTTTAGTCCATGCCACCCATACCCTTCCGCCTAGGATGATTCATAAACACGACCATCATCATCACATCATCTAAATCACCTGATCTAATCACTTCGTCATTACTACCACCATCTGCAAGAGCCATGGACGACATCAGGGAGGGACTCCTGCTATCAGCACCACCAGGCCTGACTGGTTTTGGGCCTGCCCTCAAGCTTTACACCGAGAGAGAAGGGGAGAGACAGTTAGATATAGATATCGATGTAGATATGCATACACAGCATGTACATATTCATATTTATATACATACGCGCACACCTGTGATATTTTAGTGTGTATATAAATATAGTGATATTTGCATATAAGTAGAGGATCCGGTGCTCCTCTTTGACAAATACTTCCCTTTCAATTTCAAGCATGTTGCAGGCGCTGAACCTTGGGAACGAAGGGAGCTGGCTCCCCTGCCACCACCTGATGAACCTCCCCCGGAATCGGTGGAGACGAATTCACCGACGGCTGAGCCATCGGCAAGTTCAGTTGAACCTTCTGCGATGACAGCCCAGCCCGTCCCTACTCCAGATCTTCCCGCCGGGATCAAAGAGTTCAAAACCACGTGCCTTGGAATTGGTCATGGGTGAAAACTAAGTGGATCACTTCAGTTTAACTTTGGAAGATTATCCCGGTATGGTTTTTTCACTGGTGTAGGTGGGGAAACTGCTGAAATTTGTGAGGCTGAGTTAGAATGGGGTGCTTGATTCAGAAGCTTTGCTTCCCCCCTACCAAGCTTTGCCCGAGAGCCGCAGGTTTCAAGTGAAAATAGAGGGGAAGACGCGGATCTTCCCAATCAAGCTATACGGTGACAAGCTAGCCGCCCGAAAAGCAGCTGTCACGTTTCAGCAGCGGGTCACCCGCATGCTGACCCGATGTGAGGTCATGAAGGGTCAGGCACGGATTTAGCCTGAGGCCGCCAAACTATGGAACGTACTGGGGTGGCCCCGAGTTCGGGAAGTCCCAATGAAAAAATAGATTCACAGTTAGAATGACTGCCCTTAGCCGACATGCATGGACATTTACATAAATAAATAAATATATATATATATATACCGTATATACACAAGAAATCATGCTTTGTGATGAAACCAGAAGTTTTGATGGTTATCTTTAATGAAACTTACAAGCTACCATCAACTCATATGATTCTTTCGAAGGAACGTTCGATTCTGTTAGATCCCCTGGGCTGAACATTTTTCTCCAGCTGAGTTAGAATGACTGTTCCAGAATACCTAAACCCCCAAGTACCCTATGAAAAAAGGTAAAAGTACCCAAACAATGGGGAAGTATTATAGATGGGTATATATGGGTATATGCAAATTCGCACAATAAGGAAGGCTTGAAGGTCAAAGTATTTACTTGGGTTCTCAGATCCGTGCCTGACCCTTCATGACCTCACATCGGGTCAGCATGCGGGTGACCCGCTGCTGAAACGTGACAGCTGCTTTTCGGGCGGCTAGCTTGTCACCGTATAGCTTGATTGGGAAGATCCGCGTCTTCCCCTCTATTTTCACATGAAACCTGCGGCTCTCGGGCAAAGCTTGGTAGGGGGGAAGCAAAGCTTCTGAATCAAGCACCCCATTCTAACTCAGCCTCACAAATTTCAGCAGTTTCCCCACCTACACCAGTGAAAAACCCATACCGGGATAATCTTCCAAAGTTAAACTGAAGTGATCCACTTAGTTTTCACCCATGACCAATTCCAAGGCACGTGGTCTTGAACTTTTTGATCCCAGCGGGAAGATCTGGAGTAGGGACGGGCTGGGCTGTCATCGCAGAAGGTTCAACTGAACTTGCCGATGGCTCAGCCGTCGGTGAATTCGTCTCCACCGATTCCGGGGGAGGTTCATCAGGTGGTGGCAGGGGAGCCAGCTCCCTTCGTTCCCAAGGTTCAGCGCCTGCAACATGCTTGAAATTGAAAGGGAAGTATTTGTCAAAGAGGAGCACCGGATCCTCTACTTATATGCAAATATCACTATATTTATATACACACTAAAATATCACAGGTGTGCGCGTATGTATATAAATATGAATATGTACATGCTGTGTATGCATATCTACATCGATATCTATATCTAACTGTCTCTCCCCTTCTCTCTCGGTGTAAAGCTTGAGGGCAGGCCCAAAACCAGTCAGGCCTGGTGGTGCTGATCGCAGGAGTCCCTCCCTGATGTCGTTCATGGCTCTTGCAGATGGTGGTAGTAATGACGAAGTGATTAGATCAGGTGATTTAGATGATGTGATGATGATGGTCGTGTTTATGAATCATCCTAGGCGGAAAGGTATGGGTGGCATGGACTAAACGACACTTTTCTGGAAGAATCTAACGGATTGGGACTGCGTAACGGTTTCGGCATCTGTTTGGTCGTCATTCTATCTGTGGTCGCCAAAATGCAGAGTTCCCCACACATGCCGCAAAGTCAGAGCCTAAAGCGCAAAAACGACGTCCTTCTAACTGTGGTGATAAATGGAAAAACCGGGTGCCTTCACTTAGAATGAGGGGTTTTGCCTTGCATTTGGCAAAAAAAAAATCATAGCGGTTTTCCAAACGCTCATTCTATCTTTCCCTCGGTCACTATAACACATTTACAAATAACATCAAATAACCCGTTCCACAGTTTTCTTGTGTCTCGTGAACATGTGGATTTATGAGTAGGCTTGCCGCATTATAGGCGGCCCTTCAGAGCCTAAGTAACCTCTAAAATCCTCTCTATATAAATCACTGCAAAGTAGTACAGGGTTCCTTCAACCTACAGCAGGTAAATGATTGCCACAAGTGGGGAAATGGCTGATTCTACCTCTTTATTTAATTTGGCTAATTTGCCCCTGTAGTATCCGGGGTGAGCAACCCTTCAGTAGTTGTTACATGATGATGACATACTCCAATGGGATCCAATGGGTGTGTTGCCAATGTCCAGCCTAGATTCAAATCGAGGGGAATGAGAGGGTTACCACCCGAAAAGTGTGATAATAAGTTTTTTTTTCACAAAAAGGACTGCTCTAGTTCAACTAGTACTCATAGCTAGCCAGCTGTGTATGATTGATCCAACCGGCAGTAGGAAATCGAAAGGAAAAACATCACACATACATTTACAAATATATACAAATACTGATTGGTGGTTTGGAACATGTTTTTATTTTTCCATATCTTGGGAATAATCATCCCAGCTGACTTTAATATGTTTCAGAGGGGTTGAAACCACCAACCAGTATACTTCCTGCAATTTAATTTGGCGAACAGCTTTTCTGGTTCGTTTACCTTCCATGAACTGAATGAATGAAAACATATTGTGGACAAGTCACAGTTTAAATCATATAAAGAAGTGCATTAGTGAATGGGTGTGTCTCAAGATAGGGTGCAACATTCCATCTACTGGTTACAGTTATGGCCATTTATCAGTTATAATTAAGTACTTATAACCCCATTTATAGAATGTATAATCCCATTTATAACCACTTATAACCGGTAAATGGCCAGAACTGTGATATTTAATGATCATGTTTCCCTTTCTATGAAAACTGCTAATGGTCATGTCATGCTTTGGGTCAATCCCCCATTTTCCCCATTAAATCCATCGATGATATCACCATTGTCCATCGGTAGTTATACCCGGTTTGCATGGACAAAATGGAAAGTACCCTCTGGTAAATTAACATAACTATGGAAAATCACCATTTTTAATGGGAAAATCCACTATAAATGGTCATTTTTAATAGCTATGTTAAATTGCCAGAGGGTAAACTGACGCTTCAACATGGACAAAGGAACATATATATATATATATATATATATATGGATCTCCATAGGCGTTTGGAGTTGCCGTGTCTCATTAAATCATTGGCACTGTTGAGGTCTTCATGTCCACAGCCACTTTTCACAACTAGACTGTGATATGCCGATTTCTTTGGTTGCACCTAAAACTAGGGCTACCCTGAATCATCGATTTTCATAGGGTATTTCCGTTAACCATCCATTCTGGGGTATGCCCATGACTTGGGAAACGTCCATATTCTACCCTTCAAAGTTGACCAGAGATTCAGAATGAAGCCCTCATTGTAGCAGGCAGCTTTCGGTTTGTAAGCAAATGGACACTTTTGAAGTCAAAATCCCGAAGTGAGCTTCAGTGAGTATGACAATGAACCAGGGTCTACCTATTTAGGATTGACAATGGTTGACACTACCTCAAGCGACTGTATAAACATTATAAACCCCATAGATGATGGGTACATGTTGGGAAATGAACACTTTGATGAAATCAATACCGCAATCCCAGTACCAGGAAGCCTGGGGTTCGAAGTATTTTCACCTCAACAGAGTCAACTATTGGCCAACAAAAGAAAGATATCCAACTGAAATTGTCAGATTCATTTATAATAAACCCCAGATAAGATGCAAAAGTAAATCCCTATAGTTAATAGAGATAGTTTATGATATGTTGTAATTGCTATATTGATGATGGTTACACTACATCAGTATTTCTATAAATGATTTCTCTGATATAAGCTACTACTTTGACAGCCGGGCGTATCTGTTCTTCCTTGGCGCTTGAGCGCTTGATCTTCGGCTGCACGGCTCACTAAGGTGTGCCATACATGGCTCCAGAGCTCTTTACCAAACGATGGAGCTCGTTGGTTCGGGACCGCGGAGATTACTGCGCTTGTTTGATCGGGGATGGCGTATCAATATCAACCCGACTGGTTGATCCATAATGACTACAATGTGGGAAAAACGATGCCATAAACCATCCCCCAAATCACCTTTTAAATAGTTTGTATACGGTATCCGTATACATGTATAAATTATTATAAACCCTTCCCAAATGGGTGGTTTGTTGTTGTTCTACCCGCATTAGAAGCACCAAAAATACTTAAATCTGGATTCTTACCATGGATCGATGATCAATGTATAGGTGGTTTATCACACGACAGTAGCTTGCTTCACCCCAGTGGAGCAACCAGAAACTTTGCCGATAAAGATAGCAAGGCTTCTCCCACCCAAAAAAACGATTCGGATGAAAAAAACTAAGATCCAACGTATAAGTATACCTTGACCCTTGGATGGGTAGAAATACTCGATGGGATAAAATCGAATGTTTATGGATAAATGCATGAACAAAACGTTGAATTTTGATTTGCTGAGATCATTCGGAACTGGTGGGGGAGCGTCAGCTTGGTGAATTATAATAGCTTAAGGGCCTGATTCGTGTTGACCCATCCTGATACCAGCAGGAATCCATATCCCAAACCCCTGATATAATATCTTACTCAGATATAGAGTAGCTCACAAAAAGATAGAACAACTGGTTGGGGTTGCACTTCCAGTTGTAAAGTATTATACATGGTCTCAAACCATAGATGCAGGGCTCTCCCATTTTTGAAGGTTCTGACCAAGGTTATACAAGGTGGGGCCCCAAACGTCAGCTAAGTTGGTTTCTAACTGCAATATCTTGGGTTTAAGGGGATCTATCGAACTAGCTAGATGGCATTAAAAGCCCACAAAGATAGATCCCCTACAATGTTTAGATGGGACGGATCCCTTATTAAGTATAGACCCTAACCAGGATTTATAACATGTAATAAATAGGATTTATAGGGGATTGATGGAACTATGATTAGATAACTTCTTTTCGGGCCCACATTGTACCAAGTTCTCCAGGGTCACCCTTGGCCCACCTGGCCCTGCATGGCTGGCGAGGACTCCCAGGGTGATCGCCAAGTGTTGGCAGCCAGTGATCTCTGGAGCTGTGGCATTGTGATTTATGTCCGCGGCCGAGCCGACGAAGGGATGCTGAGAGGATCCTGGAAACCCACGACTCGTGAGATCGAAAGTGGTTTTTGAAATTGCTTCGAGAGTGGTTTTTGAATGTTTCTGAAAGTAGTTTCAACCTCCAAAAATAGTTGTTAACACCCATTAAAAACTGAAGTTAACTGTAAGTAAGTGGTTTGTAACATGTGGTCAGTTCACCCATTTTCCATAGGATCCATGTATGCTATATATGGTAACATTTATATACCCCAAATGTTAGCATATATACCATACATGGATCCTATGGGTTATAACTGGGATAATCCACATGGGGACAATCACCAGGCTTCCAAAAACCACTTTTTCGCTGTGATCGGATGATCCCCCGTTGGGGTCGTAAGAACTGACCGATGGTTTCTATAGGGACCTATATTTTGCACCCTCCAAAGAAATATGGGAAATTGATGGAAATAGATGTAGGACGGTGATGAAAATAAATGGATTAGATATCAGGAAATTGATGGGAATTGATATCCTGAAGTGATGGAAAGTGATGGAAAGTCATGTTTCTGTTTCTATCTTTTTGCGGGGTACTGCACATATGACATACCACAGACAGGAATGAATGGTCTGGTTTATGAGTTAGGAGGGAGGTAGGTCGAGAGTTGAAATGTCATGTCACACGTCATTGTCTTTGGTATGGAAATATCGGTAATGGGGCAATCGACAACAGCATGACATATCGAGACAGCTGACCATTGGAAGGTACCCACGTTCCTGGGAATTTAAGATCTTTGCTGCTAAGTGGAATAAGCTCTGTGGGTCACAGCCAGCTGCAGACTGGTCTCCCAGAAGTTTTTTTTTTTTGCATTGATCAAAATGTTCATGACTATGGACTATCGTCCTGTTCCACTAAGTATACCATCATGTTCTCGGGCACCACAGTTCTGGCGCATGGATGCGTATGGTGCGCTGGTGGAGCAATGGTTCAAAAATTATCCACGGTCAGACTTAAATGATACTGAAATGGCCAGCAACTTGCTACCCCCTTTAATTACAATTTAATAACCTGTTTTCATTTTATTTTATACTAATCTACAATTACCATAAGACATCATAAAACAATGGTAACTTTATAATGGTTTCCATCATATACCACTTCAACATGTTAACTGTTATCATATACAACTTGCTTACTTCAGTACCAGTTCCACTTACCACTGGGGCACCACCCGACCTTCACCGCCTCACCAGGTGATGTTGTCCGGCGACTTGCCCTACGGCTCCGATGAGTACCGGATCGCTAACGGTGACTCGTCCGATGGGTCGATGGGTCGATGAAATGCGGTAGAATGGTGTATAGTAGATATGAACTGTTTATTATATGGTATAGATTATAGTAAATGTTATTTACATGTGTAATGTTATATATTTAAGTAAATACAGATCTCTTAATATATATATATATATATATATATAATATATATATATATATGGTTTATATATTTATATTTGTAATGAATGAATCGAAGTATGTAGATATTCAAGGTACTTGAAAGATGTGTGGTATTGTTTTTTCCCCTCATAGTCTGAACATGTATGAAGAACACATATATACATATACACATATTACATATGTTTGGATGAATATTGGTTGTGTTGCTGATTTGTTTGATAGATATGAATCTATATGCAATCATTTCTTGAGCATGACATTGCTGAACAACGGCAGTTTGACAACTGTCTGACGGGCCTGTCTTTGCTTCTAACCTCATCAAAAATATTAGGTTGATGTTTGATGAGTCCCATGTTGGTTGCTTAAATGATAGGTTTAAAAGTCAACTTCTTACTGTATACAACATGCCCACACCCCTTGGATATTTCATCAGGAAACCTTTTCTCATTGGTTACACCAGTGGTTTAAGCCTAGTTGTCATTATATGTTAATGTTGGCTCCTGATTAGTAGCTAGGGTCGCTATTGTGGCAAATTATTCTGAAACTCATGTATTGTTTGGAGGGTTCGCTTTTGTGGCAACACAAAATTGGGAGACCCCTTTTTTTTGAAAAAAAAAACTGTAATTGCTGAGATGCATTTTTTTTCTAAAAAACGCTGTAGCTCAGTCAAGTTTTTGTTCATCTCCCTATCTGAGCCTGTAAATGCATCTCTCTCTGAATAGGTTTGTTTGCTGGGTTCACTATTGCAGCAAGCTGTGCCAGAGCAGCCCCTGGAAGCCCAGAAGGGAAGCAAGCCATTTCCAAAATTGCCAAATTCAAACTCCAAGCCTTTCCCAAAAGAACCAATCCCTTATTAAACCCTTATTAAAGAACAGCTTTTCCACAATTTTCCAAGGCCCTGGACCAGGAGAGGCCCCATTTCACTTTAGTAGGTTTTGTTTGATGGGTTCAAATTTGCAGCAGCTGGTTGCCAGAGCAGCCCCTGGAAGCCCAGAAGGGAAGCAGCCTTTTCCAAAGGCAATTGCCAACTTCAAACTCCCAAGGGGGGGCCTTTCCAAAAGGAGCCAATCCCTTATTAAACCTTATTAAAAGAAACAGCTTTTCCACAATTTTCCAAGGCCCTGGACCAGGAGAGGGCCCAATTTCACTGTAATAGGTGACATGTCTCCCCGGGTTTGTTTCGCCGGCCTTCAGCCTTGTTTTGTTTGAACGAGACCTTGGGCATGGGGGGGTTCACATTGCGGGCAAGCTGTTGCCAGAGCAGCCCCTGGAAGCCCAGGAAGAGAAGAAAGACTTTCCAAGGCAATTGCCAAGTTCAACTCCAAGGCCAATCCTTATAAACCCTTATTAAAGAACAGCTTTTCCACAATTTTCCAAGGAGGAGAGGCTCCATTTCACTTTAGTAGGTTTGTTTGCTGGGTTCACTATTCCAGCAAGCTGTGCCAGAGCAGCCCCTGGAAGCCCAGAAGAGAAGCAAGCCTTTTCCAAAGGCAATTGCCAAATTCAAACTCCAAGCCTTTCCCAAAGGAGCCAATCCCTTATTAAACCCTTATTAAAGAACAGCTTTTCCACAATTTTCCAAGGCCCTGGACCAGGAGAGGCTCCATTTCACTTTAGTAGGTTTGCTTGCTGGGTTCACTATTGCAGCAAGCTGTGCCAGAGCAGCCCCTGGAAGCCCAGAAGGGAAGCAAGCCTTTTCCAAAATTGCCAAATTCAAACTCCAAGCCTTTCCCGAAGGAGCCAATCCCTTATTAAACCCTTATTAAAGAACATCTTTTCCATAATTTTCTAAGGCCCTGGACCAGGAGAGGCTCCATTTCACTTTAGTAGGTTTGTTTGCTGGGTTCACTATTGCAGCAAGCTGTGCCAGAGCAGCTCCTGGAAGCCCAGAAGAGAAGCAAGCCTTTTCCAAAAGCAATTGCCAAATTCAAACTCCAAGCCTTTCCCAAAGAACCAATTCCCTTATTAAACCCTTATTAAAGAACAGCTTTTCCACAATTTTCCAAGGCCCTGGACCAGGAGAGGCTCCATTTCACTTTAGTAGGTTTGTTTGCTGGGTTCACTATTGCAGCAAGCTGTGCCAGAGTAGCCCTTGGGAGCCCAGAAGGGAAGCAAGCCTGTTCCAAAATTGACAAATTCAAACTCCAAGCCTTTCCCAAAGGATATTAAACCCTTATTAAAGAACAGCTTTTCCACAAGTACTACAAGTACTACAAGTACTACAAGTACTACAAGTACTACAAGTACTACAAGTACTACAATTACTACAAGTACTACAAGTACTACAAGTACTACAAGTACAACATGTACTACAAGTACTACAAGTACTACAAGTACTACGAGTACTACAAGTACTACAAGTACTACAAGTACTACAAGTACTACAAGTACGGCCAAACACCTTGATTTGCCCGCGCTTTTCGGCGGCCATCTTCCGACGTGCTGAAAACGTGGTAAAAATGGGAGTTTTTTGCATGACCGGTAACTTGAAGTTGTTTATCTCAACGCACAGGTCCCTGACCTGTGCGCGGCTTTTACACAGCAACATCATCATCATCAACATGAACATCATCATCATCATCAACAACATTAACATTAACATCAACATCAACATCAGTTTAATATTCCCCAAATACCGTTGTTGATTTTCCCAATTGAATGTAAAGTTTAACGGGGGTGGGAGTTTAATATTCCCTAAATACCCTTGTTGATCTTCCCAATTGAATGTAAAGTTTAGCGGGGGTGGGAGTTTAATATTCCCCAAATACCCTTGTTGATCTTCCCAATTGAATGTAAAGTTTAACGGGGGTGGGAGTTTAATATTCCCTAAATACCCTTGTTGATCTTCCCAATTGAATGTAAAGTTTAACGGGGGTGGGAGTTTAATATTCTCTAAAACCTTTGTTGATCTTCCCAATTGAATGTAAAGTTTAACAGGGGTGGGAGTTTAATACTCCCTAAATACCCTTGTTGATCTTCCCCATTGAATGTAAAGTTTAACGGGGGTGGGAGTTTAATATTCCCTAAATACCCTTGTTGATCTTCCCAATTGAATGTAAAGTTTAACGGGGGTGGGAGTTTAATATTCCCCAAATACCCTTGTTGATCTTCCCAATTGAATGTAAAGTTTAACGGGGGTGGGAGTTTAATATTCCCCAAATACCCTTGTTGATCTTCCCAATTGAATGTAAAGTTTAACGGGGGTGGGAGTTTAATATTCCCTAAATACCCTTGTTGATCTTCCCCATTGAATGTAGAAGTTTAACGGGGGTGGGACATTATCTTCCTAATTGCATGTAAAGTCAACCCAATGGTAGGGTATAAAAGGGGTGTGGGCGAATCAGGGTGTTTGCGCGTACAAGTACTACAAGTACTACAATTACTACAAGTACTACAAGTACTACAAGTACTACAAGTACTGCAAGTACTACAAGTACTACATGTACTACAAGTACTACAAGTACTACAAGTACTACAAGCACTACAAGTACTACAAGTACTACAAGTACTACAAGTACTACAAGTACTACAATTACTACAAGTACTACAAGTACTACAAGTACTACAAGTACTACATGTACTACAAGTACTACAAGTACTACAAGTACTACAAGTACTACGAGTACTACAAGTACTACAAGTACTACATGTACTACAAGTACTACATGTACTACAAGTACTACAAGTACTACAAGTACTACAAGTACTACAAGTACTACATGTACTACAAGTACTACAAGTACTACAAATACCACAACTTCATCGGCAAAAAAAAACAATAGTAATTAGATTTCAATTGTAGCCAATTGAAATCCTTACTTAATCGAGGATATGTTTTTCTTTTGGGAAGATTTTTTTTGCTTTTCTACTTTAAAGAGAGTCCAGATATAGTTTAGGGGAGGGGGGGGCCACACACTAATCAGGAACCAACATTACAAATCCAAAAGCATCAAGGGTTGATCATCCATGTCCTGACATTTTCACCCCAGGGTTGATCATCAATTTCCATATTAAATCCCATTAGATCCGATGAAATCCCGTGAAACTAAAAATCACATTCTCCCGTCTATTCCCATTGAACCCCATTAGACCCCCTTTAAATCCCTTTAAATCCCCTTAAATCACATGAAATCACTATAAGATCCCATCAAAACCCATCAAAATCCCATTTTTTTTGGACCCAGTCACCTCCTTGCGGTACTGCTGCATGGCAGCTGGCTCTTCACCATCTTCTGGAACTGGTCGATCCACCTGGCAGCATTCAATGGGGTACGCATGGAATCATATATACATGTATATAACTGATTATAACTGTAATTATATATTTAAATATATAAGTTATTATTGTACACCGACTCAAACATTGTGTTGCATTTGGTACTAAAATGTATTAGAGCATGCATTTTCCTGAGCAATGACAAGCCACAGCATGCCACAGCATGCCACAGCATGCCACAGCATGCCACAGCCGCTGGGCTGGTGACCCGATCAACTGCTACCCACATGGTGGGTCATTCACTTCCCTAATTTTGCTTCACCCGGAATTACCCTCTGGTAATTTGTTGCATAGCTATGGAAAATGGATGAACATGGTGATTTACCGATTTACAATGGTGATTTTCAATAGCTAAATTACCAGAGGGTACTGTAGGTTCCGCATCAATGTTGGTTGATTAACTCAAGGCGTTGCTTTAAAGTTAACTTTGAAGGTCCAAGACAGGGCCATCCGCGCACCTGCAGCGCAACGCCCATCGCTTGAGCCTTCTGTGCGTTCGCTGGTTGGTCTGCAAAGCCAGGGCAGCCCACCATGGGAATGCCCACGGACAAAGACCTCGGCGCGGTCAACAACTGTCACGTCTATGAGGTACACCAAAAAATGTGATGATTCATCATCATATTTTTTCTTTGATAGACAAGTTTGACAACGAGACATCAAAATAGTACCAGGCACAGATGGCAATACTCTTTTCTCCTGTGGAAAATTCGTCGCCTTTGGAATCAGCAAGATTGGGATCTCTTATGATATTAATCTTGCCATTGAACAGGCAGTTGCCTGGAAAGCCCCACATGAAACAACCCACAGGGTCATCTTGGGCTATCCCTTGTGGACATGCGCAGACCTGTTTTCAACTTTGTGACCAGAAAAGCATGACCTGGTCCTTCCTACAGCGTATTATTTCAATATCGTGAAAGTTTGGGTCAAATGGGGGTTTGAGCCACAAAATATGGTGATTCGCACATGAATAATTATGGGGGCTTCCAAACAAAAAAATCATGCGATTATGGAGGAGAGAAACCGTACCTGGTTTTCACAGTAAAAAAGAGCTGAAACAAGCGGAGTTTGATCACTTTGATGCCCTTTTCAACCGATGATCTGATAGGCATTGACCAATCCCCTTTTTATCCGAAGCAACCAATGGGCAAGGAACATCTGTGGTCGTGAGTGTAAATCCCCAGTATTGGTTTGACTATCCTTCTTGGTACGGCAATTAATATGGGAGTACATAGTGATTCAGGTAGTAAAATAGATACTGTGTGTATATATATATATAATAGAATGATACAACATCGAATGTCATATACTATAAAATAGTACTAATGAATAATCATTAATAATCATCATTAATAATCCATAAAATACAACACATCACACCCCAGAACCAAGTGTGTCCATGGCCCAGCAATCGCATTCGGCGGGGCGGCTCCATGAAGCTGTTCTGTCCAAAGTGAGTCAAGAAGACATCCACGCCGCAACGCAACAAATCCACCTGACCGATGCTGGGCCCGGCCAAATGGAAACGCGCAAGAAGGGAGCTATGGTTGGCCCGTTTCGGCTTAGTTCTCATTGGATCCTGATTTTTTTCTCTTTCATCTTCACATTGATGATATGATGTTATGTTTGATTTGGGCACACATAGAATGAGGGCCACTTCTGTAGTAATCAGAGCCATAGTTCGACAGAATCAACTGCACATCAAAGGACCTGTTGGCAAGGGTAGCTCCTGGTCAGCCCAACAAAGGTTCAAATCATGCTCGCAAAAAACACTTTGGCACTTCTACACTTTGCTAAATGTGGAGCAGGAGACTTCATCCATCCTCATCCTCATCTATCCCACGCCCTGGTCCCGGTGGGTCCCGGTGGGTCCCGGTGGGTCCCCGTTAGCGCCTGAGGCACTTCCGGCACACACACTGCATTTTCTGGAACCTCCAGATTTTCCAACGCATCTGGCTGTGGCCCCGTGGACATCACAATTAAAGGCGCCTCACTGGGCCTCGGCGAAGGACATCGGAAAATTTTCATGAATTTTGTCACCATTTAAATTGGACAGGGCAAAATTGCAAAATTATGCGAAATTTCAAGTACATATATATATAATTTTATGTATATATATTGTATATTATATATATATGGGTACAAACATCAATATAAATAGACCATGTCCTGTGATTCGGAGTGGCCAGGGAAAAACGGTCAACGTCAGGAGACGGAGAGTTCTCACCGAAGGCATCAAAGACCGCGCCAAAGGCTGCTTGACAGAGCCTTGGGCATTGGCATTGCAGGTCACCCCATCCAAGTCAGGCCATTGTGACTCAACATCCCATTGTAAATTCAATGCCAGTCCCCCTTCAAAAATCCAGGATGTTGAAAACCTGCCCCTGGTATCATGTTGAAAACATCATGTTCATTGACTTCCTCTGTCATCAAGTTTCAACTCCTCAAGAATCTGTAGGGTGGTGTGGTTCAGGGAAACCGCCATGCGGTTTTCCACTTTCTAAAATGTAGATTGATGCAAACATATATTCAAACAATGACCATTCAACCCCATTACCCCCCATCCAATGCCCGTTTTAAGTACTTATTGGTTGGTTGGTATTGTATTATGACTGCATGCGGGACTACCAACTAGTTTCATGTTGTATCATACATCATATATGAAGATCATGTAACCACATCTTGATACATTGAAAACAATACACCCAAACAAATACAATTGACAATTACACACCAAAAAAATAGACAAACCATCACCTGGCCTATGGTCATTGCCGGTCGTGTTGTCTCCCCAATCGCCCTGCAACCGGGCAGCTGTTTTCCTGTCAGCCCCTTTCGTCGTCCCTCGGCTCTCTGTGTTTTTACCGTCCATCCAAAGTCTGGGCTGTCGCCTGTCAGAACCTGTGCCAAAAAGGGGCGGACCGTAGTTTATTTGGATAGCAGGGGGTCCCAACAAAAGACAACAAACATACAGAGTGCGTCTACTGTATATATATATAACATATATATATATTCTTACATATAGTTTCCAATCATTAATATTATAAATATATATATTATTAAATATATATATATATGCATGTTATGTGCAATATATGTGTATATGTAGATGCATCATGTCACGTACTTAATGTGTAATATATACGGTAACTGTATTTAAATATACGGTTGTTTAAATATATGAACGGGTCTTGTAGAGTACCTCCGAGAGGTTTTCCTTGGCCCGCCCAGCCATTTAAATATATGGAATCCAATTTGTTTATATAATTTTAAATATACGGATGTTTTGGTGTTTCATATTACCTCCGGGGCGTCGTGGTCTCGCCCGCCCTCCACATATTTTAATCTCGTTACCGTATATATATATATGTGTGTGTGTGTGTTATACATGTCACGTATTTAATGTGTCTGATATGTAAAATTATGATATTGTCACCTGCGGAGATTGGCCGCCAGTCAATTGCCAGGTCCCAAAAGCAATGACATCGCCGAGATTTTCCACAGACATTCAATCGGAATAACTTAACCAGACAATTATACGGGTGAGATTCTACAGCTGATTAAGTAGAATCAGGACTGGGAAAACTCACCAAACATGATGGTTTATTGACTTCGTATTGCAAGAAACATAAGAGTAACACCCAATAGATTTGATATTAAAATTCTGACCATGTGACATAGCACCCATCAGCGACGCATCTGACAAGGCACTGTTCCCATCGAAGCATACACCACACGGCGTCCGGCCTCATCCAGACTCGCGAAGCGTCCAAGAGTTCCAAGAAACCCAGGGACCGATTTAAAGGAAAGCCCGCTGAAGGATGTGCATTTCGAGGGTTTCAAAAGGGACCCCGGAATCATCAGACATTTTCTAATGTTTCTGTTAGTCTTCCAATGGATGGATGTAACCCATTTGAAGCCCTGATTTCTGTCAGCAACTCGTTGACTCGTCCATAAGCTCCGATTTTACAAATTGGGGAAACTAACAGCGCGGATTCATCACTTATGTCTTATGTCAATTTTGGGCCGTCGAACAAATATATGTTTTCAGCTGGTCGGTGTCTTTCCCATTTGATTGTGTTGCAAAACATGCTGCGATCCACTCAGTTGGTGCGTCTGAAAATGGGGGTGTAGACCAGAAAAATCTATGGTTCATGTTCATTCATTTTTGCTATTTTCATACTGGTACCTTGCCATAATTTGGGATGTAGCCTTTTCATGTACCTACCAAGCAAGCTTAACCCAGTGATCATCCACATGTTTGCCAGGACTTCTCTCGCCTCCTTCGCCTCTCGCACTTGCTTTAAAACATCAGCGCTGGAGCTGGAAGTAACGCCTCCCCCACGCCCAAGCTGACAGGTTGGTGTTGTTGAAAGTATGTGAAAATTGCGATGTAACTTGGCATCTGACTGCTAACAATTCGTCTAAGATTTGTCAAAAGTGTGGACTTCACATTTCAATCTCCGCTTTTTCAAAGTTTTTCCGTTTTTCCATATAGTTTTTCCATATAGTTTTTTTCCCAGCATTGAGTCCAGAGATGTTTTCAAATTCCACCCCTTGCATCCCCTTGCTGAATCAGAGATCATCCCATGGCATCCCGCGACGCCACGCCTGTCTCAAATTTGTGTACGGCAGCACGTAGCGCTCCCGTTTGGTCCAGGAGTGGCCCGACGCCCACGAAGTGGACGCCAGCCTGGGTTCATGCAGTTTGTGGATGTTTGTGGGTTGCACTGATGTTGGGTTTGTGATGGTATACAGCCATTAAGCGTTCCTAACATGATCAACCTGGGACTGAAACATGCTGACTTCTGGCATTCTAGCTGAAGCATGTTGAACGGTTTAGTCTTGGCGACCCGTTCCGGATATGCTGGTCAAGTATCGGCAGAACCAGTAGGCAGGTGCGTATCAGATCCACTTTTGGAACACGATGGACAACCTATGTAGGTGATCCTAGGTGACCATCTAGATCACCTAGGATATAGTGATTGATATATCAATGTTAATAGCCCCGTCCTGCACAAGATTTGGCACCCGATTCTGGGGGTTGTCCACGGCTGACCGCATCCAAGCCTTCTGGTACACTTCCAGCACATCTGGAGGTGCTGGGTCTTGCAAGTCCTGCCAAGGAAGCAAGACGTTTTGAATGGCGAATTTTGCCTAATTTTGCTAGGGGCCTTAGTCATTGATAATAATGCTACTGTTCAACAGATTCAAGAGACTCTCTGCTCTCAAGTACAGTATCTTCCAGAGTCCTCCAAAGTGCCGAAACCGAAAACAGACACTTGCCACATGACTCACATCTTACATCTTGCCACCACAGCAGGTAGTCACCCCAACCATGCTCGAGGAATCTCTTCGAGCTACGCATACGCTGTCAACTCTAGTGGCCGTTTGCAGTTCGTACCTTTTTCCATCCAATTGTATAATCCCTTCAAATACCCCCCTGTCCCCCATTCATGAAGAGATCTGATACTAAATCAGATTTCGTTTGGGTGGCATCAGGAAGGGATTACTTCCCAAAAACGAAAACGGTTATCTCCTCGGTGGTGGTCATCAGCACCAGCTCCGCTTTGGTCAAAATCTTGATGAAACCCGGTGTCTCGAGTCCAGCGAAGATGTCGTAGTCAATATTGAACTTCCTATATGTTTTTTCGGCCAGGTGGAAAAAAAAAACTACCAGCCAACGCACTGACTAACGATGACTAACGGAAAAAATGCATTCCCCCCCTGATATTGAATATCCGGTATTCCCCGTATGGGTATACAAAAATGCATTGGTCCATTTTTCCCCACAACATTGTGTGAGGTTCTTGTTTTTGGTTCTGTATGCCGTCCACGGCCTCCTCCTCCTCCTCCTCTTCCTCCTCTTTGTCACAACACAATCTTTCACACACAACTTTGTCACACACTAATTTGTCACACACAATCTTTCACACAACAATCTTTCACACAACAATTCTTCACACAACCGCTTTCTCACACACAATCTTTAACACACAACTTTGTCACGCAGCAATTTTTCACACACAACTTTGTCACACACACACACACTCTCTTTGGCACTTGGCGACATCCACGTGCCTTTTGCGTGGTAGGCATGGCGCTTTTGGCATTGGGTTGGATCTACGCCGTGGCACTCTGCGTGGCAGGCGTGGCACTTGGCGAAATCCACGCTGCTTTTGCGTGGCCGGCATGGCACTTATGGCGCTGGGCTGGGTCTGGTGGTTAGTCGTGCGTGACGCTGCGGCACTTTGCGTGGCAGGCGTGGCACTTGGCGACATCGACATTCCCTTTGCCTGGCAGGCGTGGCACTTGGTGACATCGACGTTCCATTTGCGTGGCAGGCCCGGCAAGCCCGGCAGGCGTGGCAGGCGTGGCAGGCTTGGAGGCTGAGTGCGTGGCAGGCGTTTGGCAGGCGTGGCAGGCCCGGCAAGCCCGGCAGGCGTGGCAGGCGTGGCAGGCTTGGAGGCGTGGCAGGCGTGGCAGGCGTGGCAGGCGTGGCTCTTGGTGGCATCCACCTGAGCCATGTTTGGGCATATGTTAAACGAGCAACCGACTGCCTGTCAGGTCTGTGCAAGTCATGTTTAAGGTGCCGGGCGTCTGAGAGGCTCGCGACTGTCATTTTTTGCATTCTACTATGAAAAAACATTGTGTGGGGGTGTGGGGTCGGGTGGGGGGTGGGATAATCACGTCATTTGCACTTCCACACATATGTGATGCAATAGATCTGTACGCTCTCTTGCATTTCATTCACATCCACACATACGTCATGCTACGCTTCTGTGAATTCTTTTGCGCTTCCACATATACGTCATGCTACGCTGTAGGTACTTTTGCACTTCCACACATGCGACATGCTACGCTGTAGGTACTCTTGCACTTCCACGCATGTGTCATGCTACGCTGCTGTAGATTCTCTTGCACTTCCACACATACGTCATGCTACGCTGTAGGTACTCTTGCACTTCTACACATGCAACATGCTACGCTGTAAATTCTCTTGCGCTTCCACACATACGCCATGCCACGCTGTAGGTTCTCTTGCACTTCTACACATGCATCATGCTATGCTGTACATTCTCTTGCGCTTCCACACATACGTCATGCCACGCTGTAGGTTCTCTTGCACTTCTACACATGCGTCATGCTACGCTGCAGGTTCTCTTGCACTTCTACACATGCGTCATTCTACGCTGTAGATTCTCTTGCCCTTCCACACATACGTCATGCTACGCTGTAGGTACTCTTGCACTTCTACACATGCATCATGCTACGCTGGTGTATGTTCTCACTGTATGATGATGATAATGATGATATAATGATAATAATGGTAATAATGATAATAATGGTAGTAATGATAATAATGATAAGAATGATAATAATGATAATAATGCTAATAATGATAAAAATAATGATGACGATGTTGTTGATATTGCTGACGATGCTAAAGTTTCGTTTTTGAGCCTTTTCAATTCCCTCCTAGAATATGTTTGAAAAGTGACGACAGTCGCGAGCCTCTCAGATGCCCGGCACCATGTTTAAGCATGCCTTACTTCTGGGCATGTTTTACAGACAATTCGCAATGGTTGGTGTGCTCGCCGCAAAAAGCACGGCAGGACTTTTGATGGGCGCTCTACTGAAGCGGCTACACGCAGGTGATCTTTGCAAGCCCCATGTTTAGGCATGTGTTACTTGCGAGCAACTGACTGCCTGTCAGATCTGTGCAAGCCATGTTGAAGCATGTCGTACTTCTGGGCA